TTCCCAGTAGCTCCTAAATCGATGAAGATCCTCTAAGTTCTTCAATATGTGGAATCTGCCTAAGATTCCCAGTAGCTTCTAAATCGATGAAGATCCTCTAAGTTCTTCAATATGTGGAATCTGCCTAAGATTCCCAGTAGCTTCTAAATCGATGAAGATTCTCTAAGTTCTTCAATATGTGGAATCTGCCTAAGATTCCCAGTAGCTCCTAAATCGATGAAGATCCTCTAAGTTCTTCAATATGTGGAATCTGCCTAAGATTCCTGGTAGCTCCCAAATAAACTAAGTGTCTCATACTTAGTTTCCATTAAGTCATTCAGGTTGAGTGAAAATATTCCAAGTTCCTCAACAGCTCCTCCAAATGAGCTAAGTTTCTGGTACTTATTCTCAATCAGGCTTGAGTTATATAAACAATGTAGGGAAATGACAGAGTTTCTCAGTCCAGCTGTATTTCCTCAATCAGGCTGGAATATTCCTCAATCCAGCAGAGTCCTTCAAACAGGCTGGAGTTGTATCAACTATGTCGGGAAATGACAGAGTTTCTCAGTCCAGCTGTATTTCTTCAGTCAGACTGGAATATTATGAACTTTGTCTGGAAATGGCAAAGTTCCTCAGTCAAGCAGTATTTCTTCAGTCAGGCTGGAATATTGTATAAACTATGTCGGGAAATGACAGAGTTTCTCAATCCAGCAAAATTCCTCAATCAGGCTGGTATATTATGAACTTTGTCTGGAAATGGCAAAGTTCCTCAAACCAGCAGTATTTCTTCAGTCAGGCCGGAATATTGTATAAACTTTGTCGGGAAATGACAAAGTTTCTCAATCCAGCAAAGTTCCTCAATCAGGCTGGTATATTATGAACTTTGTCTGGAAATGGCAAAGTTCCTCAAACCAGCAGTATTTCTTCCGTCAGGCTGGAATATTATATAAACTTTGTCGGGAAATGACAAAGTTTCTCAATCCAGCAAAGTTCCTCAATCAGGCTGGTATATTATGAACTTTGTCTGGAAATGGCAAAGTCCCTCAAACCAGCAGTATTTCTTCCGTCAGGCTGGAATATTGTATAAACTTTGTCGGGAAGTGACAGAGTTTCTCAATCAGGCTGGAATATTATGAACTTTGTCTGGAAATGGCAAAGTTCCTCAGTCCAGCAGTATTTCTTCAGTCAGGCTGGAATATTGTATAAACTATGTCGGGAAATGACAGAGTTTCTCAGTCCAGCTGTATTTCCTCAATCAGGCTGGAATATTCCTCAATCCAGCAGAGTCCTTCAAACAGGCTGGAGTTGTATCAACTATGTCGGGAAATGACAGAGTTTCTCAATCCAGCAAAGTTCCCCAATCAGGCTGGAATATCATGAACTTTGTCTGGAAATGGCAAAGTTCCTCAGTCCAGCAGTATTTCCTCAATCAGGCTGGAATATTGTATAAACTATGTCGGGAAATGACAGAGTTTCTCAATCCAGCAAAGTTCCTCAATCAGGCTGGAATATCATGAACTTTGTCTGGAAATGGCAAAGTTCCTCAGTCCAGCAGTATTTCCTCAATCAGGCTGGAATATTGCATAAACTTTGTCGGGAAATGACAAAGTTTCTCAATCCAGCAAAGTTCCTCAATCAGGCTGGAATATCATGAACTTTGTCTGGAAATGGCAAAGTTCCTCAGTCAAGCAGTATTTCTTCAGTCAGGCTGGAATATTGTATAAACTATGTCGGGAAATGACAGAGTTTCTCAATCCAGCAAAGTTCCTCAATCAGGCTGGTATATTATGAACTTTGTCTGGAAATGGCAAAGTTCCTCAAACCAGCAGTATTTCTTCCGTCAGGCTGGAATATTCTATAAACTATGTCGGGAAATGACAAAGTTTCTCAATCCAGCAAAGTTCCTCAATCAGGCTGTATATTATGAACTTTGTCTGGAAATGGCAAAGTTCCTCAAACCAGCAGTATTACTTCCGTCAACAAATTGATGAAAAATAATCGATCTAAAAAAATGGCTAAGTTTCTCAAGTTAGCTAAATTATGAAAAGAATAATGTAAGTTTCTCAATCTCAAAAATTGGCAAAGTTTCTCAAATTAACAAAAGAAAAACATTAAGTCTCTTGATCTCGAAATTGGCAAAGTTTCTCAAGTTAACAATAGAAAAACAAGTTACTAATAACACCTGAAAATACAAGTTTCTGGCACTCCTTCTCAATCAGGCTGGAATAATATAAACTAAGTCTGGTAATGACAAAGTTTCCCGGTCCAGCAGTAATTCTTCAATCGGGCTGAAATATTCTAAAACTTTGCCTGGAAATGACAAAGTTTCTCAGTTCAGCAGTATTTCATCAAACGGGCTGGAATATTCTAAACTATGCCTGGAATTGACAAAGTTTCTCGGTCCAGCAGTATTTCTTCAATCGGGCTGAAATATTCTAAAACTTTGCCTGGAAATGACAAAGTTTCTCGGTCCAGCAGTATTTCTTCAATCGGGCTGGAGTTATCTAGACTATGTCTGGAAATGACAAAGTTCCTCGATCCAGCAGTATTCCTTCAAACAGGCTGGAATATTCTAAACTATGTCTGGAAATGGCAAAGTTCCTCAGTCCAGCAGTATTTCTTCAGTCAGGCTGGAATATTGTATAAACTATGTCGGGAAATGACAGAGTTTCTCAGTCCAGCTGTATTTCCTCAATCAGGCTGGAATATTCCTCAATCCAGCAGAGTCCTTCAAACAGGCTGGAGTTGTATCAACTATGTCGGGAAATGACAGAGTTTCTCAGTCCAGCAAAGTTCCTCAATCAGGCTGGAATATTATGAACTTTGTCTGGAAATGGCAAAGTTCCTCAGTCAAGCAGTATTTCTTCAGTCAGGCTGGAATATTGTATAAACTATGTCGGGAAATGACAGAGTTTCTCAATCCAGCAAAGTTCCTCAATCAGACTGGAAAATTATGAACTTTGTCTGGAAATGGCAAAGTTCCTCAGTCCAGCAGTATTTCCTCAATCAGGCTGGAATATTGTATAAACTATGTCGGGAAATGACAGAGTTTCTCAATCCAGCAAAGTTCCCCAATCAGGCTGGAATATCATGAACTTTGTCTGGAAATGGCAAAGTTCCTCAGTCCAGCAGTATTTCCTCAATCAGGCTGGAATATTGTATAAACTATGTCGGGAAATGACAGAGTTTCTCAATCCAGCAAAGTTCCTCAATCAGGCTGGAATATCATGAACTTTGTCTGGAAATGGCAAAGTTCCTCAGTCCAGCAGTATTTCCTCAATCAGGCTGGAATATTGTATAAACTTTGTCGGGAAATGACAAAGTTTCTCAATCCAGCAGTATTTCTTCCGTCAGGCTGGAATATGGTATAAACTATGTCGGGAAATGACAAAGTTTCTCAATCCAGCAAAGTTCCTCAATCAGGCTGGTATATTATGAACTTTGTCTGGAAATGGCAAAGTTCCTCAAACCAGCAGTATTTCTTCCGTCAGGCTGGAATATTGTATAAACTTTGTCGGGAAATGACAAAGTTTCTCAATCCAGCAAAATTCCTCAATCAGGCTGGTATATTATGAACTTTGTCTGGAAATGGCAAAGTTCCTCAAACCAGCAGTATTTCTTCCGTCAGGCTGGAATATTGTATAAACTTTGTCGGGGAATGACAAAGTTTCTCAATCCAGCAAATCTTCTAAGTTTCTCATCAATCCTCAAATGAAACGCTGGCACGGGAGATGTGTTCCAATCAAAAGTTGCTTACGTGTCTCATAGGAGCGATCCGGGCTCTGTATTTATACCCCAGACAGGTTTTGCACACGAACCTAACAAGTGATTAGTGGGCTGATGCAATACCTCGTCACCGGATGTAATCACTGAATCAGGATATTAGTTTCGTAAAAATAACTGGCTTCACTTACAAATCACGATCTCGGCTTTTACACCCAATATCAATACATGTTTGGTACATAATCAACAAGATTATAGTATAAACTCAATAAATATAACCATAAATGATCGCTATCTAGTCTAATTACGCTTCGATTTGATCGAATTGAAAGCAGGAAGTGATAATTTCTGTAAAATGATAGTCAAGAGTTCTCGATCAACCGTAACCATAGTCACTGGTAAAACTACCCGATCAACATTAACTAAATCTGAACTCGATAAAATAAAAAGTTGCTAACACCTCTGTAAGTACAAATAAAGTGCTTTAATCGATACTACAATTAGAGATCTTAATAATCTCAACTGTGAAGCACTTAAATCAAAAAATTTAAAATCAAAATTTTGTTACACTATGAATAATAATATATATCATTTATCAAATGAACGAGAAAATCCGAGCGGAGATCAACCCTTTCAAGATATTTAAAGAAATGTGTCTCAGAGGAAGACACATATTTCTACTAATTGGTCCAAATTGCTCAAACAAGGTCAAATGTATATGTGTCATTATAAAAATTGCGAAATTCATTTCAAGGTTCAGCATGGCCATCATGAGAAATCTGGTGGCACTTTTACAATTCCTTTCTAGATTCTAATTGAGAACAGAAAAACGTCATGATAATTATTAAAATGTTTATTCACTGGTTTATTTTGAATTGTGAATATAGCTACGAGTTCATAAAAACACCGACTTTGTAAAACCTACTATTCCGTTTTTGTGAATTTGTACATTAACCTTATCCGATTGTAGAAGCCCTTTATATGTATTAAAACCAAAACCGCGAAAACCAAAGTAAGTTTCAGAGTTCATTGCATTTAGTGGAGATACGATAAATTCACCAACCTATCTTTGGACTGTGGCTGGAGGGTCGTGATAATTAAAGACAATAAGTGTATAATGAAGCCCTATCAGATGTGAAACATAATTATAATGTCAAAGGTAATGTAGGGCGTGACTAAAAAACACATTTTTAAGATACCTTAAAACTATCCTCTGGACTTTGTTTACTTTATATCCCCTCCGTGTAATTTATATACATGAATGGAGAACAGGTGTAAGACAAGGATAACGGCCTTACCTGGCACGGGAACGTATATGTTCAGGTTCAGACATTCTTCCGTCTGGGTAACAAGGAATTTCTGTAATCTCTTCAGATGGAGAACCTTTCCCCGGGGGAGATCTTTCTCTAGATCTTTATCCCGGGGGATGTGCTGGGGGCAGGCTGGTCGGAAGCTAAACGCTGACCTTACGTCAGTCCATTTTTCCATCGGAGACGTAGGGGGCATAAAGCGTAGCTCGCCCCCTAGGAGTGAGGCGTATTGGATACCGAAATAACCTTCAACGGGTGTTAACTCTCGGTTTGGGATCTCCATAAGAACGCCTTTGATTTTACCGTATTTTGTTTGGATGACCCGTTGACTGATTTGCTGTTTGTACACTTTCCCAAATGTGTGGTCCAAGAGGGTCAGAAGAACTGAGAAGACTACCAAAGGCTTTGAATCCATCGTGTCCAATTGTCCTAAACTGTGCTTTGTTTATCAAAAATCCAACAAGTTCATACCTTACACGTGATTCCTTATTGCTCTTGCGCCATTAAGATGGGGTTATTATTAACAATATCTGTTAAGTAGATAAATCCTATATCCAATACTTTAAATTCGTTTCATGATCATTACTTATTTATTCAAAATGAACAGATCTAGCAGTTTCCGTCAAAGATACGTACAGCAATGTCAGAGTCAATCTTGCATGTCTGGAATAATCATGGGATAATCTAATACTCGCATGTCAATTATAACTTGGAATGTGTCAATCTGAACGTCCCAGATGTATAGCTACAACTACAAAATTCCACCTTCCCGCATATATTTTATGGACCGTGACAGTAACCTGTCCAATAACACACCTATTTATAATCGTGTCAAGAATTATTTCCTTGCGTCTTTAGGGTGCTGTTGCAGGTTCAGAATTCTTCAGTCTAAACGCATGTATATCATTCTTTTATCAAGTATATTCCAATTTATTTATTTCTCACTCAAATTGTTGATGTCTCACTCATTTAATGTAAAGAGTTGTAATGTAAAATCACAAATAGTTTCTTACTTGCAATATGTACGTCTTCTTGTGGACGCTCTCATTCAAACGTGTCAAATACATTTCTAAACGTGGACATAATCAGCGAAGGTGGCATGTTTGCCGGAGATGAGTTGATGTCTCTTTCAGCTAAATGCCTATCTTACTAATCTCTTATTACAGCTCTATAGCAATATCACTAACTGGATGTTCTATCAACTAATATCATATCAATAATAGAAATCATCACACGGAAGATTCCAAAAATAGCGCCGTATTAATCCTTCTTAGATCTTCTGAGATCCTAAGGAATCATTAATTTGTCTCCATTTAGTGACAGTGTGTCCAAACGGCTTTGAGTGGCAGCTAACTCCCATAAACGCCTTGGACACGATTGGTCTCCGGGAACACTCGCAGGCCTTCTACGCTACCGAGACTGATTGCATCTGAGAAAGCAAGTGAGATGTTTGATCGAAGTAGAATCGTTCTTTTGGCTATACACTGCAGAAAATCAATATATGATTGTAGAATTCTTTATGAGTGTGTTTACAGGTCTTCGCAAAGCCGAGCCATCGTCCCAGGACAGACTAAATATTTAAATATCAAATTTCGGTAGTTTATATTATTATTCGGGCGACATTACCCAATATAGAAGAACATATATATTTACTCCTTCAAATACACTGGTATAATTGCATTTTACCATTTCCTTAACTCAATAGTGGTTATTGAAACCAGCGTCTCACAAATTAAATACTCATAGTGTTCGTAACGTTCCTGCAAAAGTGCTATTTTACTATATGACATGTATGATGAGAGATATGATAGGACTTTTGCAGAGATATAATACTCGACCTACTGTAAGCATAAGCTTCTACTTAGAACCAATCTGACCTCCATGGTGTAAATCCTTAAAAATATAAAACGTATAAATTATGAGTTCGGGCGAACTCATAATATGCCTCATGGGGACATTTTTCTAACATTCTGTGAGCTTCTCAAGTAATTTTCTATTTTGGGCACTTTCTAGGCAAAAATACAGTGATTTTTATTAAAACAATATGTTTTCGTTCAAGTAAAGTACCCACGATGATAAAAATATCAATCGAACAATTCGAAAATTTATGGATAGGGACCCCATGTCAACACGTCTTTCAAAATGTTGAACCTTTTTACTCACAAGAGGATCTTCTTTTTCCGTTTTTTATTGCATGAAAAGCTTATTCAACAAGGGGTCTAAAACTTGGTATTGGAAGTGTAGTTTTGAAGATATCAATTTTCGATGACCAAAATGATGCTGAAAACAATGGATAGCATGAGTTTTCCCTGTGGGAAAATAACATGGGGTATGTGGTTTTTAACTTTAACGGATTTCAATACGCATCCCCTTTTCAGAAATCGTTAATTAGTATAGTGTAGAAGAAACTTTCAATATGTTTAAATTGAGAAAAACAAGATCCTCGTTTTAGAAAATGAGCCTAACATTTTTAAAAAAGTGCAAAGATGGGGTCCTAATCCATAATTTTTCAGAGAGTTGGAATGATATTTCACTATCATGGTGACTTCACCATTGCATTGATGGCCAGAAATTTCCCATGGAGAAAGATATGACCGTCTAAAATCACTTGCTATACTGCACAAGGACCTTGAGGGAGTTGTGAAATGTAACCTGTTATTTTTCCCAATATTCATTGCATGATGCATTGATGTTATTTTGATCACAAGATGGTACACTCCCCTCCATATTACAAGATGGTACGCTCTCTTCCATATCACAAGATTGTACCTACAGAACGGATCAAATTACAAGAATTCTAGCAATTGTGTAATAACATGACAAAATATCACCATCTGTAAGTGTTGCAGTTATACGCCTAATGCCGACGACAAATGTCATCACAGAAATCCCTGGTGACATAAAAATAGACTCTTGTGCGAACCGATGCGCAACTTTGCGCATGCTTCCGAAGCCGTCACATATAGTCATATTCGCCAGTACACGCAATACAAGTTGACGTTGGTGGGGGGGGGGTTCATTCATGTGCGAGGAGGCTTTTATATATTCAAAGTATCAAAGCGGAGAAATGATGGAAGTGAAAGCTACTGTTGATGAAACACAAATGTGTTGTACGTGCGAATATTATTGTTTCACAATATAATTAAATTTATACATGTATAATTGTCAATTAATATCAAGAAAATAAAGATCTTCCAAAATGGTTTCACAATGGTATCACCAATAATTCTCAATTTAACCTTATTCATCCATTCATCTTCTGAACTCAATTCATTTATAAGTTGATATATTTTCATGTGGGACTCTCCACATCTATCCCTCATACGTTGAATTAGGAAATATGTGGAATCATTGAAAGAGTGACATTTGCAGCGTAAATGCGTAAATTGTAATTCAATTAGGGATTTCTTTTCTATGCTGATCAGCATGACAAATGTACGCTGATCATTTGTTTGAGAGCTGGTTTGAGGCATTTTTGAATATTTATGGAAAGTTTGGAGTTTCGATGCAAATATTTATAGGCGGGGCAAAAGGCTAAAGGAGGTATTATTAATTAGTTACATTTCCACATTTCGGCCGAGATTTTATGATTTATGGTGTAATATATGACCGAAAATTTCATTCTGTTCATTGTTAAAAGACCGAAATCGCGTAGCGATTGAGGTCTTTGGCAATGGCCAGAATAAAATTTTTCCCAAGGGAAATATGTGTATATCCCGAGGGACCGCAGGGACCGAGGGATATACACATATTTCCCTTGGGATAAACCCTGTATCCAAAACCGACCGTACATAACAGATGTATTTCATACCTACTGATGTTCTAGGTACGTCATATACCTTATAAAGTTCCAAAAATCAAAAATATATTTAAGATACACATTTTCTTGGTGTTATAAAGTGTTTTTTAAGTTTCTGAGATTTTCAAACTCATATAACTCATATTTTGAAAAATTTGAAAAGAATGTGAACATTTTTTTAAATAAAAGAATGTGAAAAAAAATTGGAAAAAATGTGAAAAAAATTTTGGAAAAAAAAGATTTGAAAAAATTGTGAAAAAAAATTCAGGAGCGGGACCGGATTGGATACAGCGTGTATCCATCCCGCCCTGGACCTTGGCTAGATACAGTATATATTCCCGCTCGTTATGTACCTAGAACCTCAGTAGGTATGAAATACACTCCAATATAGACCAGTAAATCAATTGTTCTAGCTATTGTGACGTCACGTATCATATTAGAATTAAGAAATATAGACCGAAGAGCAGGGGTAATATTGTCGAATACACCCCGCAGGGCTAGGCACAAACGTTTTCTGTACCCCAAACGACCGAAGGTAGTGAGGGGTTCAAAAGCTTTTGTGCCTAGCCCTAAGGGGTGTATTCGACAATATTACACCTGCTCTGAGGTCTATATTACGATTCGAACATGAAAACTCACCAAAATGTTTCGAATATTCATTATGGTCCGCCATTACTACGGCCCGCCGTTATGACGTCACACATTACACGTATTACCAGGGGTTTTGTTCGCGAATATACCCCGGGTGAAATGTTGACTTTGTTAAAAGTTTATAGAAGGCGTGAATACAGTCATGTTCGAATCAGTTTTAGTTGAAGAGTCTGAATAAATAAATTTCTGAAAACTTGTCAAGGACGTGAGCCGCCTATGACATCATATAAGCCATCCATGCATCGCTTGTTTTATACCTGCTTAGATAAGTTTTTCCACAATGTGCCTCGTATTTAGAATACACCATGGTGTTTTTGGTGATCCTATGGATTCACTGAACTCATTTTATTTAAAGAACACATAAGCACTATGCAAGTTAAAAGACAAAGGAGATGTCCCTCCAATGTTTATACACATTTGTGGCATCATATCTAACACCTATTCGTGATGTACACTCAATAAAGTCAAAATGCGGTTTTATCAATTTCCCATGCATATGATCTGTTCCTTAAATTTTAGTAATGTTCTTTTCACAAGATTGTAAGATTCTCAGAGATTAATTTAAAGTTATTGAGAAATTAGTCAGAAAAATAAGATTTGAATTTATACTCTAGCTTTGATTATAGGGATATTGCTTGACATAATACTTCAAGTTTAACAGGAATAATTTTTCTTTCTTAAATTATCAAAGTACTGAGATCCTCATCACATCAGGAACTCATTTGTCTTTCTTATATTCATTTGACAAAGTCGTTTTAAAGAAATGTTATAGCTTTGAAACACTGTATCTATCATCTACATTCTCAGACAAAGACTCTATCAGGCAAAATGGCAATGTCGTTTTTATTTTATTTTATCGTTTGTATGTAGTGACAGCCGCCATTTTTTCACTTCAACATTTAGAATCGTGATTTTTGGTCTTATTTTCTAACGAAAATTTCCAAAACCCACAAGTAATGATCGAGATATTGGTTCGAATCTTTTGGACTGTTTTCATTGTTGGAAAATATCGAGTTTCAATCCTGGGAGCCAATCCTCTTTGCTTTTGAAGTATATATCTAGAATGAAATTAATAAATTAGTTTTATAATTCATAGCTCTATAAGGCTTATTTTTAACTATTTCCTGCATGGCTTCTAATTAGGTACGATCCATTAGTCTCTGTTTTATAGAAAGTACATTAAAAGGAAACGAAGGATTAGAGATAGGATGATCGTGACCTTTTTAAAAACTGCCTTAATTTTACAATTGTCATGAACGAAGTCTGGCATTTCAATTTAAGTTTAGGAATGCTGTCAAAGTATAAACAGTTGTGGCATAACAAAGTTAGTTTAGTTAGGTGGAGTTGGGGGGTGGGGGGTAAACGATGGTTACGTTAGCGATTAGTGTTGATTTTTTAATATTCAAGTGAAAGACAAATGAACACATTACGTCAAAAGAGGGGAGGGGTCAGACCATAACACAATTAACTTCATTTTCCCATGACTATTGATGATTAGACATCATCCCTCATTTTGTAATATTCCTGGTAAACTCTCTTGGCAGTGTCTGAGATAGAGTTGTCGAAGTCTAACATAACAATACCATGGAGTGAAATAGACCATAATTGGAGTGAAATATACCATAACTCTTCTCTTGGACAGTAAATTAACAACTTAGCTATTTAGTATAAAGATATGTATTTCAAACAAATATAAATAAATGGTTTGTGAAATAGCACCTACGGAATTTGTATAGTCAACACACTGCAAACTGATTCTAAACCAAGCCAGTACAAAATACAAAATAAATATGATGAAAGCAAATTTTCTTTTAAATTAGTAATACTGGTGGATCATAAAAATCTGACCATGATTTCAATTTTTTGTGTCCATTGTCCTGCCATTTTGTTTAGAATCACACATAACACTGTAATACTGCATTGGTGACTATAGAAATGTAATTTGCATTGATTTGAAATGTCATTTTTGTAATTTTATCAGTAATAATATAGTCTCAAAACCTTGCTCTCATACCTTTGCATTCATTTATCTATCATGTATATAGTCTAAGCACAGCCATGCATGAGACAGGTAAGGTTAAAACTGGCTCACAGAAATGTTCTAGTGGAGGGGGTCACAAGGGCATGTGGCTAGACTACTGAAATGTTATGAAATAATATCCATTTCCTTTTTTAAATAAAAGTAGAATTAGGATTAAACAATTAATTTGCACTTTCCGGATTTTAAGTGAGATCATTTTGCTAGAAGACATTAAACTGTCCATGTCTGTCTTTGCTTCATTCATATTCCTGAGATCACTTAGTGTAAACTTTCACCAGAGAGTACATATTATCATCTGATTGATCCTCTCATCAACATGGCCTTCCCCATATGTCCAGAGTCTTTCACTTTTCCACACACAGACTTCTTGGTTTTATCGACAGCAAAACATTTCCACAAACGAATTGTCTCATCTGCTGCAGCACTAGCAACAGTGGTGCCATCTGGTGATAGAGCCAGAGAGAGAACACGTGCAGAATGACCTGTGATTAAATATAAAGTAAATGCGATGTCTAGATTTTAATTCATTTATTGTATGTGACACATAAATCTAGTAATGTTGGTTTATGTTTGTTTTCAAAATGTAGTAGATAACTTGGTATTGCCCAGTGTTCTACATTCCTCAAATGTTGCCCATTGCCATTGCAAAGGAATGTTACATATTACCAAAAAAACAGTAATTTCCTATACTGTCAAGTTCTCATAAATGCATCTAATATTTTGGTATTTTTGTAAAAACATTTATTTTGCACCATATACAGGGTGGTCCAAAAAAAGTGAACCCTTGCAACCGGCTGTATTTCACTTATTACCTGCAGGAATCCTTTCATAGTTTCCAATGTTGCAGAGGAAGGTCTAAAATTTTTGTTGGTACTATACATTTTTCTTAGTATTGAAATTTGCAGAAATAATAAACCCTAACGAAACATCACTAAAAATGGGTAAAATGTGAACTTCAATCTGCGATTCTTCAACCCTTCAACAATCTTCCCATGGAAATCTTTTAAGCCAGAGTCTGGGAAACCTAATGTTTTCTGACTTTGTTTGGTTTTGAATCCCACACAATATGATGTAAAAGTTAGCATCCTACCTCTGTTAGTTGCAAAGTTATTGTGATCAAAAGAAGTGTTCAATGCTTCCAAAGACGAGAACATCTTCCAGTGAAATCGCAACATAACCCTGGTTTTTGTAAGATTTTATATGAAGGGCTTCTCAGATTTTGGGTCACAAGGGGTAACTTTGCCTCCCTCTACCCGTTGGTTAGGTAACATGCCTCTAAACTGTTGAATGGTTAAAACAGCTTCAAAATGGTCAATAAAAGTGTGAAATGTGTTTTCTGCTCAAATAGTGTCCCATTTGTCATATGGTAGAGTTTAAACTTATAATCTCTCACTGAAAGCTTTTTTAAGATCATCTAATGTGTATCAACAATTTCCATCAATCACATTGGTAAAATTTTGCACAAAATCTAATTTGAGGCATGTTTGTTTAAGTGTAAGAGAATAAATGATGATGTCAACAAAAATTTTAGACCTTTCTCTACAAGATGTGATAATATGAGCAAATTCATGCATGTATTAAGGAAAATATAGCCTGTTGCAGGGTTCACTTTTTTGGACCACCCTGTATTTATTTCACTGGCAAAGGGTGCCAATTCATGTAGACATTGCAGAGCATAGTAATTAGAAACTGACGGATGTATGGAACACATGAGAACAAATATCAGTCCGCAGAACCAAACACACAGGCCAGTACTATATTGATACTTTGAAATATTTTCAATGTTACACACCCAAAACTCTGCTACTCATAGATGGGTACAGTGTACTTCCATATATTAAAATATATTAAAGTAACTCACCTGTTAACTCTGCTACTCTGGTCATATACAGTATGGGTACTTCCATATATTAAAGTAGCTCACCTGTTAACTCTGCTACTCTGGCCATAGATGGGTACTTCCATATATTAAAGTAGCTCACCTGTTAACTCTGCTACTCTGGTCATAGATGGGTACTTCCATATATTAAAGTAGCTCACCTGTTAACTCTGCTACTCTGGTCATAGATGGCTACTTCCATATATTAAAGTAGCTCACCTGTTAACTCTGCTACTCTGGCCATAGATGGGTACTTCCATATATTAAAGTAGCTCACCTGTTAACTCTGCTACTCTGGTCATATTCAGTATGGGTACTTCCATATATTAAAGTAGCTCACCTGTTAACTCTGCTACTCTGGTCATAGATGGGTACTTCCATATATTAAAGTAGCTCTTCTGTTAACACTGCTACTCTGGCCATAGATGGGTACTTCCATATATTAAAGTAGCTCACCTGTTAACTCTGCTACTCTGGCCATAGATGGGTACTTCCATATATTAAAGTAGCTCACCTGTTAACTCTGCTACTCTGGCCATAGATGGGTACTTCCATATATTAAAGTAGCTCACCTGTTAACTCTGCTACTCTGGTCATAGATGGCTACTTCCATATATTAAAGTAGCTCACCTGTTAACTCTGCTACTCTGGTCATAGATGGCTACTTCCATATATAAAAGTAGCTCACCTGTTAACTCTGCTACTCTGGCCATAGATGGGTACTTCCATATTTTAAAGTAGCTCACCTGTTAACTCTGCTACTCTGGCCATAGTTGGGTACTTTCATATATTAAAGTAGCTCACCTATTAACTCTGCTACTCTAGTCATAGTTGGGTACTTCCATATATTAAAGTAGCTCACCTATTAACTCTGCTTCTCTGGCCATAGATGGGTACTTCCATATATTAAAGTAGCTCACCTGTTAACTCTGACCATAGATGGGTACTTCCATATTCTAAAGTAGCTCTTCTGTTAACTCTGCTACTCTGGCCATAGATGGGTACTTCCATATATTAAAGTAGCTCACCTGTTAACTCTGCTACTCTGGCCATAGATGGGTACTTCCATATATTAAAGTAGCTCTTCTGTTAACTCTGCTACTATGGTCATCAATATGCACTTCCATATATTAAAGTAGCTCACCTGTTAACTCTGCTACTCTGGCCATAGATGGGTACTTCCATATATTAAAGTAGCTCTTCTGTTAACACTGCTACTATGGTCATCAATATGCACTGCCATATATTAAAGTAGCTCACCTGTTAACTCTGCTACTCTGGCCATAGATGGGTACTTCCATATTTTAAAGAAGCTCACCTGTTAACTCTGCTACTCTGGCCATAGATGGGTACTTTCATATATTAAAGTAGCTCACCTTTTAACTCTGCTACTCTGGCCATAGATGGGTACTTCCATATATTAAAGTAGCTCTTCTGTTAACACTGCTACTATGGTCATCAATATGCACTTCCATATATTAAAGTAGCTCACCTGTTAACTCTGCTACTCTGGTCATATACAGTATGGGTACTTCCATATATTAAAGTAGCTCACCTGTTAACTCTGCTACTCTGGCCATAGATGGGTATTTCCATATATTAAAGTAGCTCACCTGTTAACTCTGCTACTCTGGCCATAGATGGGTACTTCCATATTTTAAAGTAGCTCACCTGTTAACTCTGCTACTCTGGCCATAGTTGGGTACTTTCATATATTAAAGTAGCTCACCTGTTAACTCTGCTACTCTGGCCATAGATGGGTACTTCCATATATTAAAGTAGCTCACCTGTTAACTCTGCTACTCTGGCCATAGATGGGTACTTCCATATATTAAAGTAGCTCTTCTGTTAACTCTGCTACTATGGTCATCAATCTGCACTTCCATATATTAAAGTAGCTCACCTGTTAACTCTGCTACTCTGGCCATAGATGGGTACTTCCATATATTAAAGTAGCTCACCTGTTAACTCTGCTACTCTGGCCATAGATGGGTACTTCCATATTTTAAAGTAGCTCACCTGTTAACTCTGCTTCTCTGGCCATAGATGGGTACTTCCATATATTAAAGTAGCTCTTCTGTTAACTCTGCTACTCTGGTCATAGATGGCTACTTCCATATATAAAAGTAGCTCTTCTGTTAACACTGCTACTATGGTCATCAATATGCACTTCCATATATTAAAGTAGCTCACCTGTTAACTCTGCTACTATGGTCATAGATGGGTACTTCCATATATTAAAGTAGCTCACCTGTTAACTCTGCTACTCTGGTCATAGATGGGTACTTCCATATTTTAAAGTAGCTCACCTGTTAACTCTGCTACTCTGGCCATAGATGGGTACTTCCATATATTAAAGTAGCTCACCTGTTAACTCTGCTACTCTGACCATAGAAGGGTACTTCCATATAGTAAGCTGATTCTGTGAGAAACCATGGCCTGAGAGCAACTCTTTGTAGTCCTTGTTCCACACTATAGAACACACCTGAAGAAATATGTACACGAAAGAATGAAAACACATGTTGCAGACACTCAGATGTCATGTTAAAGAACATAAATATACAAGGCATTAACATGCAAAATGTCACCAACTGCCATTTGTAACATTTGATACAGACGCTGACCACCAAACGCCAAACACCATTCACAAAAAAGTTGGAGTTGGTGGTAACTGGTAATATAAAAATGAATATTTTGACAGATATCTGCATGGAGAGATATTCTTAAGTAATTACATGTTTAATTACAAAAGCCCTTGTATTATCTTACCTACAAACTTTTCTACAAACTTTTCATGACCAAATGTTATGGCATTAGGAGTGAGAAGCTATAATTAATAAAGACCTATTACATTTGTGAATACCTGAGAGTTTGTATCTGTACTGGCCAACATTGACCCAGTTGTGATGTTCCAGAAATTGATGCAGCGATCAGCTGTACCACCTCCAGTTGCTAGGAGAGATGGTTGCCATGGACACCATGACAGTGCCTAAGAACAACAATAAATGCGTTTAATATTTAAGAAATATAGACTGAAGAGCAGAGGTAATGTCGTCCAGTACAGCCGGCATATCGAGGCACAAATGTTTTCTGTAAAATAATACCATGGATTTTTTTTAGATAAACGACACATTGGTCCAAAAATCACAGATGTTCATAAGCGCAACTACATATGAACATTTACCTTGACAGCTGCCAGGTGTTGAGTGAAGGTATGTATTGGGGATGCGGATTCTTGCATGGTAGCTCCCCATATATTCACCAAGTTATCATTACCACCACTGCCAAGATGGCGGCCATCAGGTGACCAAGCAAGACCACACACCTCCTGGCTGTGATTGGCCAGTGTTCCAATATGGTGGTTAGCAACCCTGACGTCATGGTGATGTATTGCACCTGATCGGCAGCCACTGTAATCAAATAACATAGTTACCAATAAGGTCAATCATCTGCTTCGACTGGAGTTTCTATAAAAAGATTATAATCCAATAAAAATTCATATACTATAATTGTGAATTACATTGCTCTGTTGGTGTCTCTAGAGAATGCTATTTCTAGAACATAATCCATTTTCTTGAATATTTTCCATAGACTTTATATAAAAAGGCCCTCTTAAGATCTCCAACTTACAATAAACTTGATTTGTGGTGTTGCCTTACAGGTTTTACTGTAAAGGGAAAAAGTAAAGAACTCACAGAGAATGATTACATTTTGTGGCTTACCTCGACAGTATGTAAGCATTCCATGCTAAACTTCCCACTCTTGCTGCATGCCCTGTCATTGTTCTCACCAACTTCTGAGCACCTACATCCCATAGCTGGAACATATGCAGCAATATAATATCAATTATACAACAATATCCTTCTATGGTAAAGTACATCATCCACCTCTTCTTACTTTTATTAATACTGATTCCCCAAGTCATACTTTTTGTTATTTGATCATGCAATACTTTAGGAAAATGAAAGCTATCACTCTTAAAAATGGTATCACAATTACATATGGAAAGCTAGTTCGAAGGTCAACAAAAAATACCATTGGTTTTTCAGCTTCTTGACAGACTAGTAAATAAGTGAATAATAAATAGTAGGTGGCATACCTGTACAGCCCCTGTGCTAATACCAACAGCCAATATATTGCCTTCTTTGATTCATTGCATTCAACATACCTGTACAGCCCCTGTGCTAATGCCACAGTCAATATATTGCCTTTTTTGATTCATTGCATTCAACATACCTGTACAGCACCTGTGCTAATACCTACAGCCAATATATTGCCTTCTTTGATTCATTGCATTCAACATACCTGTACAGCACCTGTGCTAATACCAACAGCCAATATATTGCCTTCTTTGATTCATTGCATTCAACATACCTGTACAGCACCTGTGCTAATACCAACAGCCAATATATTGCCTTCTTTGATGCATTGCATTCAACATACCTGTACAGCACCTGTGCTAATACCAACAGCCAATATATTGCCTTCTTTGATTCATTGCATTCAACATACCTGTACAGCACTTGTGCTAATACCAACAGCCAATATATTGCCTTCTTTGATGCATTGCATTCAACATACCTGTACAGCACCTGTGCTAATACCAACAGCCAATATATTGCCTTCTTTGATGCATTGCATTCAACATACCTGTACAGCACCTGTGCTAATACCAACAGCCAATATATTGCCTTCTTTGATGCATTGCATTCAACATACCTGTACAGCCCCTGTGCTAATACCAACAGCCAAAATATTGCCTTCTTTGATCCATTACATTCAACATACCTGTACAGCACCTGTGCTAATACCAACAGCCAATATATTGCCTTCTTTGATCCATTGCACGGATGAGACGTATTCATCCTGATTCTCAATTTCAAACAGTTGCGATATACTTCCATCAGATGCATCCCAGATGTAGACAGCGCCCCCTAGGGCCACGACAAGGTGGTTGTTGGCAGACCAATGTAGCAGGTTCAGATCTGGAGTTGAGGGTGTATTTTTGATGTATTTTAATATGCATCTCTCTTCTGTATAGAGAATGTATCAAAATTGGATATCTTATATTTAATATGATATCTCTAACACATAGAATAACATTAAGCAGAGTACATACACAATCAGTGTGATTTCATACACGGTTTGTTCAAGTTTGCAGAATCGATGTTAGTAAAATGACATGTGTTCATGTGTATTTGTACTGTGAATGCATTGTTTCAGAATTACATTGAATAGAGTCCACAAATGCAAAAAAAGAAGAATGCAATAAACACATTCTAGTTTGAAATGCCCAGAATGCACCATATACAATGTCAATTTTAAAATATTTACGGGCTTGTAGTGATGCAAACCCAAAAAGCACACCCCACATTCACTATTGCTGGCTATGCCCCTTCATAGCTCCAATGTAATTGTTTTCTACATTCTTGAATACTTACAGTAATCATTGAGTAGTTCAGGGGCATCTAGCACTCTCTCAGCTTGTTGGGGAATGAATCTGGTAGATGTGCTCTTGGGGGCTGTTGTCTTTGCTGCACTGTACAGAACCTTCAAACTGCTGATGTGGCCTAGGTACATAAAAAGATAACTGGTTTAAGCTCCTCATTTCCAAATCATTGTTAGTATGATTGCACATATGAAACACTGACTTGTATTGATCACTTTTGCTTTTTTTGAAATTTAGAACAACAAATGTTAATGGCTGCACAATTCAGTCTATCTGATCTTATGAGAGATCCATGATTCAATTCAATCAAAATCAATCAAATCAAATGTTAAGAAAACAAAGAGTAGTCTTATTCCCTCCTTCTCACCCTCTTTTGCCTGTGGAGCTTTTTGTTTGAATGATAGGATTTTAGCATTTTGTTCTCCAACATTCTCATCAAGTTTGCGTTGATATTCAATTTTATTAGGACTCAAGGGGTCTTCATTTTCTTCATTGTTTAGCAGCCTGTAGTGACTGATGTCCATCTCTGTTGTGGTTCTGTTAGGTATGAATCTGAAAAAGGAGTGGGATCATTTGACAATGGAATGTATCAATATATAATATCAATGGTTGCACTGTACTAATAACTCAGAGATACTGATACTGATGTTCAGAGATATACTGAATGTCCTTCCCAGGAATTTTCTCAAGTGGGTGCGAAATTTCCATTTTCATAGCACTGTCCAAAACATGCTGATTTTTCAATGTGATTTTACTAAGATTTTTTCTTGCTTACTGTTAAAAGAATGGAGAAGATAAAATCTGAGGTCACAGCTTTGTCATAAATCATGGAATCGAGGTATCTATGATCCTGATATAATTAAAGTATGCCATTGTAACAGACATAACAACAGTTACTGTTTGTGGAGCAAAATTTACTCTTCATACATACCCCACTATAGACCAGTAAATCACTTGTTCTGGTTATTCTGACATCACATATCATGTTAGAATAATGATGAAAGTGAACTTTACCTGTCTGAGGCACCCTGTGCTCCAGGTTTGCTTGTTGGGGTGTTCTTATTCGGAGTCTTTCCTCTCAGGCGGAACTTGCTTGTTGGAGTTTTAGAAGGGGTCTTTGATGGTCGAGCACTTGTTGGTGTATTTGGGGTCTTTTTATTTGGAGTTAGCTTCATTGTTAGAGGGTTGGCCGACTTTGGTCTACGTGGTGACAGACCCCTTGAATCATTCACTAGAACAAACTGAACACTTTGAATTGGCTGAAGTGATGCATATTGCTTATTTGCATGTCCGGATATCTTCAAAAGGCTACTTGATTAATTGGTTTAGAATTACTGAATTTGACGACAGACTTTTTTCTTTAAAGCTACAGTTCTTTGTTTGTATGTATCTGAGTATCTATGTACCTGCATCACTTAAGGAAAGAGTTCTCACTCCAGACTCCAGTGCTTTACGTTGCCACCGCATCATTGGACCTTTCTGTATAGGAGCATCCATCCTAACAGAGTCCTGTATGGCACTGTCCAATTGGAAGTGTGACATGGTGGATAGTATGGCCAGTGATTGCTGAAAGATTCAGGAGTATGCCAGTCAACTGACGTTGAAACATGAAGAATTGAGATGGATGATGAATATTAGAATTTTTCTTTTACGAAGGGCAACAGGGAAAGGATTTTCCATACAAGAATGTTATTAAGTGAGGACGTCACTTGAGTCAATGGTATCATTGGACCACCTCTCTCACCCATACAAGCACATCGAAACCATGTTGTGATAGGAGAACACAATCAAGACCCCCTGGACTTTTTGCATGTTCAGTCGTACCACATATTCAACTTTCTACTTCAAAGAAGAAGTTACAAATCCGCCACTTTATGTGCTAATTTTGCGATTGTACTGACCAGTTGAATTATTTTTGTCAAAATTAAATAAATCTGAAGTTTAAATAAACAAGGGAAATCCTCTAATTGGTTGTTACATTAATTTACCATAAACCTGATTGGCTGCCTGGTTCAAGGCGTGTGTTGGTACAGGTGTCGACTTCATGGGGATTCCCCTTGATTGCTGCGGAATCAATTGTGTTCAATTCTGACAGACCATAGGTTGTTCTGTTGATTATTTCAATATATCAGCGATACTATACCCATTAGTGGTACCAAGGTATATCTAAGGTATGCAATATATTAAATACGCAATATAATGGGACATTACTGATTGTCCGGGAGAGAAACCTATGGTATTATACTGCATCTTTAAACATGGGATGGTATTTCCCTGATGACCAATTAACAGTTACAATACTACACTCTTAAAACAAACTCAAAACAAACAAACAATTTTGATGATGATAATTTCCCAGTGGTCTTTGAATAATTTCTAATGTTGTTATTAAATATAAGGTGTTTGTTTACTTTTTTCGACCTGATAGTGATTTTGAGAAAAGTTGGGTGGAGTACAATCAGCCAATCAATCCCCTCCCCAACATGACACACAATTCCTACCACTGTATCTACCTAAAGCATTTTGGGTTTCAGAACAATGGTGTGGCCAAAAGTCATACATTCGTATATAATTAGAAGTCAATGCTTCATGCTTCCATGTTCAGGGGAGGGAAGGGAATGTCTCAGAACAGGCAAGTCCGAAGAAGAGGGGGGATAACCCCTTTTTCCGGAATCTTTTTTAGAGCATTTATATCCAAAACGTGGCTATCAGAAATGCTTAATGCACCAAAGAGGTCCAAATTTCTCAGGGGGCGTGCAACTAGCTTGCTGAACTCTGCCCTGGCTACACTATGGGTGCACATTCCATGTGCCTCCGTTGTGATAGTGGCGTAACCCATTCATACGCAAAAGCGAATTCTTCCGCAATAGATCTAAAATTAGGTTCAAGAAAAATAAAAATTATACTAAATATTAGATTGCGCTTCGTGGTAGGTCTCTAAAGCTAGCCGTACACCAATGGGACATCAAGGGAGTTATTGAGTAACTATTTTCATGGGACATGAAGGGACAAGTTCGGACATTCCCATGGGACATCCCACGTTGTGCCCGGGACAACTGTCCAAATCTGTCCGATTTTGTCCATTTATGTCCCAATAAAAGAATGAACATGTTGATTCTTTTCTGGGACATTATTGGACAAATGAGGAGCATTTCATCACGTGATGATCATATGACCATTTTCTGACAAAATAGCGCTAGACTCTATATTCCAGACATCATCGGATCGGACAAAATGGGACAACATGGGACATTGTCCCATGATGTCCGGGGGACAAGAGCGAACAAGTCGGGACAAAACGGACAAAGTCAGACATTGTCCCATTGGTGAACGGCTAGCTTAGAAACATCCAAATGGACTCAATCTCAAAACCTGCAAAAAATTAAAAAATAAAGCTGAAAAAACCTAAAGTGAGGTATTCTCTAGAAAAATAATGATTTCAATGTCAAACTAGCATCACATTGTAAACCTGATGAACCAGCAATATCTACAATACACGTAAGATACCTACTATCCGTGGAAATCAGTCTAAAACGAGTTTTCGTAAAGTTTTCAACTTTTAAAGTTGGTGCAGTTTTCCTCTTCGGCGATTTCCGGAATCGATCGTCAATTTCCGTCAAATTTCCCGCCAAATCAAACTTTTTTAAGTTTATAAAACCTATCCTAGAATTCGGCCCCATACAACTTCCTCAAGGTAAGTACATTGATTCAACCTTTGAAATATGTCGTCGGAATATCCAAGGAGCACGATAAAGTAACTTTTCAATTATAGATATCAATAGAACACTTTTTATTTGGTACTTTTAAATGACCTACTTTTCCATGAATTATTCAAGATGGCGACCTCCTTTTAGCAAGCCGCTTTGTTGGTGAGTGGTGTTTTCCCGATTAATGCAATATGTATATGTGATCGGTCTATATGCAAGAGTTATTTGTGGTCTAGACATTATAGTTTTTTTGTTTATGCTTGTGAAAATTACGTTTGCAATGTAAATCGAAAGATATTTTACAGTATTTGTGAGCGATAATAGAAAAATCTTAATTTTTAGCTTTTGTTTACATTTTTGAATTTTGTATTTTCCACTCAATTGCTAATCCTGTGAACTTATACAGTTTTGTCATGTATTTTTTGATTTTTATTTATTATTTTCACTTTTCAACTTTCTAATAAAGCATACACAGCACCATAGGGTACCGTGAGCATATATGGCACAATGCTCGAATGGTACTGTACAGTATCATTCTCTTGATTTACCAAATTTGCAGTCACAACGCTTCTTTCTATATCTATTCTGTAATGTTGCCTTTACTCACTTGGCATAATTTCATTTTGCTTTTATACCATTGATACCATTAATTGAAGTATTGTTCTTTGTCATTGCTTTAATGGTCAGTATACCAAGTATAATCAAGAAAAGCTTGTACAATGAACAACGAAATTTGGAAACAAGTACTATAGATTTGCTTTCAGACACTGAACCGATTGACCTAGATAATAGCGATGCGTCTTCTTTGGTCAACTGCTCAGTTGTTTGTGGGTTTTCAATGTAGCTCTATAATGCAATTTGAAGATGAGTACTTTTATTGCATCTATTATGTTGCAGTTTGTAGTGCAGTAAGATTGGAATGAAAGTGTCGAAAGTTGAATGAAACTATTTTTTCCAATATGGCGACGAGTCAACTGATCACGTGACCTTCTCTTCTGGAATATTTTCTCACTTTTCGATCATCGTTTTCATCATGCTATGAATCAGTACAATGAAAAAAACATCTGTTATCTTAAGATAGAGATCAATCGTTTCTGATAATCTTTTCTGTACTCCCGTATGGGAATAGTAATGAATATATTGATAGAAAAATAGGTGTGAAAATCCCCATGTCAAACCTATGGCGGAAAACAAGGAAGTATGAATTTGTTCCTCTGCGAACTGCATCATGGGAAATATTTTGACCTTATAAGGAAAATCTTTTGCGTCTCCTCTTATGAAGAGGGAACCACAAATACGAGAATTCAATGAGATCCACCACATGTAGCGATGTGTGAACAGCTACTGATGGGATGAAAGGGCTTGATCCATATAAAAATAATCTCAAGTTCTAACATTTTTGCTGAACAGAACCTTGGGCTTTTGAAAGCCCATGACAGAACTCATTTAGAAACAAATGTACAGATTCAGAAAGAGCTCAAAAGAAAGCACAGGTGGTTCACTAGAATTTCTCACAACATGTTAAATAAATGAAAACAACAGGCAATTAATGGAAATCATAAATTTAACATTTAACAACCGTTGAAAATCGCCTGTTGCCTGCTTCTAATGAAGCCCCTGAAGCATGAAGAATCTTATTCTATTCATACATGTTACTGACTTCTTTTTTATTTTAAGTCAGCTCAGAATGACATCAAATTTTCAGTTACAACGTATAGCTGAGCTGAGTTTTTAATTTTCTCAGCTTTACATCTGAACATGACACAAGATTCTCACAGTCTTATAAGTTCTTCTACATAATGAAGATGCCAGAGGACTGACAGGATTCAGCTCACTTTTTAATTTCTCAGCTAAACAAGTAACATGACATCAGATTTTCACTGTCTGAAGTGCTAAGTTCTTCTATGTAATGGAGTCTCAGTGAGAGAGTGTGTTGATGTTTTAGATGCCAGGAGTGACAAGGCCACGTAGATTATCCAGAGACGCTGCTAGCAAAAGCAACATAGCTGATACAATGGAGTCAATAATCCAGCAACAGGCAGAGGGAGAGATGGACTCAGAGATGGAACACATCATGGAGCCAACCAGTGAACTTGGAGTGTAAGTTCATATGTTTTCAAGGAGATTTTAATGAACTGTGACATATTTAATTCATGTTCTACATTGACTTGAATTGAAGATGCATGTGTAATCATATTTCATTTCAAGTGGGCTAGTATGAAGAAGAGAATCAGAATTTTAAATGTTGCAGACTATTTATCTCATGTGACCTGTGTTCAACCAATCACAGAATGGAAACATAAAAATGAGATAATATTACCAACAAATATGTTACTTCTTCAGGCCAGAACAAGAGGACAGTGACTTTGAAGAGCCAAAGGCTGCAGGTGCAAAGAGAAAGAGACAGAAGAAAGATGAAACAATGGTGAGTTGTCTTAGCAACTGTATCAATCTTGGACTTTACCTGATTGTCCATTTTCACAGTGAATTCTTTGATATCACATGATTGATGAAAAATTAATATGCTCATTCATTCACAGGGCAATTACCTGATCTTGCCCAGTGTGAATAGTTGACCACATCTGGCTAATCTGGTCACAACATTTAAGTTTTGGCATAAAAAGCTTTGAGTGAATAATGATTCTAGTACTACTCTTATCAGTTCATTGATGATCAATGCTTTGTTTTAGGTAAAGAAGGCTCGTAAGGTGCCAGAGGCTGGTGGAGGCAGAGGGAGGAAGAAGAAACAGATAGACCCCAATGCTGAAGATCAGGATGGCAGTCTGTTTGAGGTTGTCAAGTCTGGCAAGACTGCTCTACAGGTAAGTCTAATATGCTTACACTTGTGCATATTAAGGCAACTTACTCATTACTAGATCCACTCCTCGTCCTAACTTACTCCAATTCTTGTCTGGTCAGTTGTACACAATAACATTATTAACCTGTTAAAATATTCTGCAAAATGCTATCTTGTTGTTGATTTCAAGCAGAGTTATAACTGCTTTTTTAAATAGTTGTATACAAGCATTTACTTTTCAATGATTTTATCGTGGTTAGATATTGTTACATTGGACAGTGTTGGGCAGTTGGTGCTTGGCATATGTAACAAATGGCAGGTGGTGCCATTAATGCATTGTATTTATTTTAGGCTGTGGTAGATGACTGGATAGAGGGCTATAAATCAGATAGGGACACAGCTCTGCTTGAGTTGATCCAGTTCTTCATCCAGTGTTCAGGTTGCAAGGGCAGAATCACACCACACATGTACGCTAATATGGAGCACGCTGAGATCATCAGGAAAATGACAGAAGAGTTTGATGAGGTAAGTTTCATGAGACATGTTTCATGACTGGAAAAAACATCGAAAATTTGAAATGTTGAAGCTCCTGCAAGTTGTTACAGAGGTATATGTTGTAATTTTAGGACAGTGGAGACTACCCTCTCATCATGACTGGGGCACCTTGGAAGAAGTTCAAGACAAGTTTCTGTGAGTTTGTCCAAGTATTGGTGCGCCAGTGTCAGTACAGCATCATATACGACCAGTACATGATGGACAATGTCATATCCCTCCTCACAGGTCTCACTGACTCTCAGGTCCGTGCCTTCAGACATACCAGTACATTGGCAGGTAAGTGAAGCCAAGGGACATTTTAACAGTTTGCTCCAGTTGGTAGAGATACCTGAAAAAGTTAGCCCAGGTAGTCCGAACCATAAGACAAGAACTAAATTTACCAGTTAATTTAGGAACTTAAGATTATGATTCTGTACCAGGCGTAACTTCATGCTCATATTCATTATTTTAACATTATAGCCATGAAGTTGATGACAGCTCTGGTAGATGTTGCTCTGAATCTGAGCATAAACCTTGACAACACACAGCGACAGTATGAAGCTGAGAGGCAGAAGAACCAAAGCAAGAGGGCCAGTGAGAGATTGGAAATGCTCATGGCAAAAAGACAAGAGGTAAACCAAAGGGTATTCTCTTCACAGTAAAACGTAAAGGAAAATGAGATAGTGAAAGACTAGAAAATGCAAAGGCCAAAATGTGGATTGAGTACAAAATGAGAAGTCAAAATATATTTTAATGTATTATATGCTTAATACTGAAAACATTTTTCAGTTTTCCAATCATTTTATATTGTAAGTAGACTTTTGCACATCCTTGTATGCCTCGTCTCCCGCAATCCAGGTAGAAATGGGCAGATATTATATATCTCTCAAGATAAACACTATATCCAAAACCTCCCAGTACATAATCCTCATGCATTTACAGTTAGAGGAAAACCAAGAGGAGATCCGCAACATGCTGACATACATCTTCAAGGGAGTATTTGTCCACAGGTACAGGGACACCCAGGCAGAGATCAGGAACATCTGCATGTCAGAAATAGGTGTATGGATGAAGAGATATCCAAACATGTTCCTAGATGATAGTTATCTAAAGTATGTGGGCTGGACCATGTATGATAGGGTAGGTGAAACTTAATTGCTATGTTTTAGTATTAAAAGGAGTTATTTCACAAGTGATATTACACATTTCATGTGTTTGATGCCCCTGTTTGTATTTTGTAGACTGGAGATGTACGCAGTGGTTGTTTGAAGTGTTTGATGCCCCTGTATGAGGCGGAGGAATTGGCTCCTAAACTGGAACTCTTTACAAACAGATTCAAGGTACAATTTTAGGAAAAACATATTTCTCTGTACAAATGTTATTGTAAAACATCCTTCAATTCTTCATTGTTCGTATATGCATGCAAGCTTAGGAATTCTCATATTCTTGGTATAAGGGCTAATTTTGCCTGATTTAATTGTCCAAATGTTTCTTATCAATCTTTAGATGGACATCTTGTACTTATGCCTATTGTACATCTCATTTCCAGGCACGTCTTGTAGAGATGACACTTGACAAAGAATATGATGTTGCTGTTGCTGCCGTCAAGCTCTCAACTGCCATCTTGAAGTATAATGAACAGGTCCTCACAGACAAAGATTGTGAGAATGTATATGAGTTAGTCTACTCATCACATCGACAGGTAAATGCTTAACTAAACTGAATAAACAAATACTATGTCATAATGAAACTATTAATCAAGGTCATAAAAATACACCCTGTCTGCATATTTGTCACGCATAGGCACTGTTACCCGTTTAGCATTCATTGATCATCTTTCATTAGCATAAAAGCTCAGTTTATATTTCAAAGTATGTGATTGAATAATATAAAATTCTGGTGGTTAATATTTCCTGTATATTTGATATTTCCATAATAAATCTCTCATTCTCAATGCATTGTTTCATGTATATTTCCACTAAACCACCAATGTAATTGGTTTGTGCCTGAGTATGAAACTGTCCTTAATCATAAGGGTCGAAATATTACTGCTGGGTGATTATCCATTTAACATTACATTTTCTTCTATTGCCAGGTTGCCCAGTCTGCAGGTGAGTTCCTGAATGTGAAACTATTCCAGAAAGATGAAGAATCCATGAAGAATGTGAAGACAAAGAAAGGCAAGAAGAGGAGTGTCAACACTCCATTGGTGAGAGATCTTGTACAGTTCTTCATAGAGAGTGAGGTAAGCTAAATATTAACTACATACATACTGTATCCCAGACTGAAGTATGCAAAATAAGACACATGAAAATTTATATATAGCAATATTAGACCCTAGCATACTAACATAGAATTAGACTCTCCAACTTGGGATAGGGACTTTTGATTAGGAATTTTGACTTGTAAAGTAGAAATCAAATGTCTGTTTTTATGTCGTCACTACAAATATAATTGTAGTCTCCAACTTTTTTTGGGATGGTGTTCCGCGTTGACAAATTAGAGTTTGAGACATTTTGCATGTTTCTTACTTAATGCCTTGTTTTATTTTGGTAAACCTTTATTTACAATTTCAGTAAATATTGATTTTCTGTTAATGAATAATGAACCAATCACATGGTACCATTTCATATTTCAGCTTCATGAACATGGTGCTTACCTGGTTGACTCAATGTTTGAGGTGAATGATATGATGAGAGACTGGGAGTGCATGACTGACTTACTCATAGAGGAACCTGGTAGAGGAGAAGAGGTATGTACCCTTAATGTGTTCATTATCCACAGCAAAGGAGGTGTCTACCCAAGATACCTTGTAATTATTAATAGAATATGCACAGTATGGGAATATACTTTAGAATTTCTACACAAGTGAGTTGTCCCAGTTTCATTAACCTCAATTGAATTCCTTTTTTTCTGACCACCTCTAACATTTACATTTTAGCAAAGTTTAGACTAGTTCATTATAAAATCTGGTTCCTGATAATGTAATATTAATTGCATGTGCCTAGGTGATGGATGACAGACAGGAGTCTAGTCTTATAGAGCTAATGGTATGTGCTGTCAAACAAGCTGCCACTGGCGAGAGCCCTGTAGGCAGGGGACCAAATAAAAAGGTATTAACTTTGGTAAAATATTTTTAGTATTGATTTTTTACTTTTAATTTCTTGATTAATTTTAACTTGACGGTGCATGCTCAAAATGATAACAAATACAACAATAAAAACTTTTATGTTTAGTTCAAGTGATGCTGGTATCTGCCATTATTACAATGTATTGAAAAGCCATGTTTGCCTCTGTTTCAGTTGTCATCAAGGGAGAATCGCCAAGTGATGGAAGACAAAACCAAACTAACAGAGCACTTTATTGTGACACTTCCACAACTCTTAGCTAAGGTATGATTACTGAAGAAATCTTTAAATATGTTGTTACCTTTGTTCAATACCAGCTGTGATGAAGTCAAACACTGACATCATTCAGAGAGTAATTTCAAGACTGACAGTATTTTGTTGTGAAAAATGAATTAAACAACTTAACACATCATTCATTTCATTCAGAAACTCTATTCCCCAAATTGAAAGTGACCCTAATAAGACAAAAGATGTATTTCTTATATTACAGTACAGTGCAGATCCTGAGAAAGTAGCTAACCTGTTGACGATTCCTCAGCACTTTGATCTTGAGATCTACACAACCAGTAGACAGGAGAAACACCTTGACACTCTACTAAGGCAGATACAAGACATTATAGAGAAACACACAGATACTGAGGTTGGTTATTGTGCTTAAACTCTCTCTCGTTAATGAAAAGTGACACAAGAGATCCATGTAAACTGCAGTTGATTTGAAAACAATATTTATATCTGTCATTGATTTATTTGTTTATTTGAGTTAAAATTATCTCACATAGACACCATATATGTGTGGTAGGATAATGTAACTTGATATCTGAAGGTAGAAACAGATCCTGGTATTAACCTGACAGGAGGTGGTATCTTTATCCTGGCTAGGACCATAGGCAGTTCAAGCCAGCACAGGCCTTTCATTGAGTTAGTAGCACTCTTGTAGACACCTCTCTGGTGTACTGGGTAACATAGCTAGCTCCTTTTGCCACATGCTGGGATTGATTCCAAGACCTTGGCATTAGCAGTCTAGCATGTTTACCTTACACCACGGAGGCAAAAACAAAGGTCATGTATCGTTGAAATACACATTTTTGGTAATTTTAACTTGTAGGTACTTGAGGTGTGTTCCAAATGCCTTGAGGCGTTTTGTCAGGAAGAGTATGCGATTTCTGGCAAGTGTCAGATCACACGCAGCACATTGATTGATGCACAGGTTGAGAAGTTCAGAGAAGCTTTCCAAGATTTCTTTGCTGAGGTGAGAATCTTACATTTACTAAAGAGAGTACAGTTTCAGAGATATACTCAATTCCTTTTGAGATATCATTTCTTGATATATGTCTGTGAAAAATGATTTGTGCATTTGTTTTGAGATAATACAATGTAATAAAATAGATGATCACATTGGCCGGTAAAATGTAAACACTAGTAAACACTGTTCAATGCTATGTACCAGTTATGATGATAATGTGATTTATAGTGTTTGGTGTCTTTATTGTAGGTGCTTGAATGCGATAATGAATCCTACATGATGTTGAAGGATTGCTAGACTTTGTTACTTTGTGTGATATATTAGAGCATAGTTTGGGATATTAGCTGTTTGTTTTCTACCAACATGTTCCTTTATGACTTTTTGGCATTTTTGCTTATATATTTGTATATACGAGTATATTCTCCCCACAGGGGGAAGAGCCTGATGAGGATGAGGCGTATGCTCTCCATGCAGCACTGAAGCGTGTCTATGCAATGTGGGGCTGCCATGACTTGACCAATTGGAAGCTATGGGACTCTCTTTTCCATATTGTACGTATGGGCAATGAGCACCCTGAATTGCCAGCTGAGGTAAGTACATATCTAAAAGTAAATGACAACCATAGTATTCATATTTTTCATTTACATGTATTTAAAAGCATTTATGAACTCCAGTTCTATTCTTCCCATGTAAAGCATGTGTCCATTTTCTCATTTCATTTCAGTGTTTGGAAATTATGAATTTGCAATATGAAGAAATAAAGAAATATGAATACATGTCTATGAAATATGAAAAATATGAAAAATCAATGATCTAATTAGGTTGTAATGTGTTTTGAAACTCGAGCTTTCGAGTTATAAAATACAAACAGTAATGAAATCAAACAAGAATGAACAAAGATCATGTATATATTTGAAATTTAACTAATTGAGCATGAATGTGATCTTGCAGTTGATGGTGAAAGCTTTGGCATGTTGTTCCCTGGCAGTTGTATGGAGTCTGCAACAGCTCAATGAGAATGAACCCAGCAAGGTGAGTACATTAAATGATAACCCTGCAAGATGGGTGCATTATATAGGTGTAATTAAAAGGTGTACTTTGAGTCAGTCTCTCTCTTGATTTATAATTATTTCTTGTATATAGTGTATTATTTGGTTGTATTTTAAGAAACTGGAATGTTTCAGAAATGATTGTTGTACTTTGAATGTTTCAGGAGGCAATGTTAGGGGTGACGGAACAGGGGCAGTATGCAGTGTTTCAGAAATGATTGATGTTCTTAAATGTTTCAGGAGGCAATGTTAGGGGTGAAGGAACACTTGAAGGAGATGATGAATGCATGTATGGAGGCTCTCTTCCACACCCAGGATAGAGTCAATGAGGAGGTAATAGAATATCAACTGTAGAAGCCAAACTTTATCACTAGCATTTTTGATTTAAGGATTTAAGCCCTTGATTCAGTGCATTGCAGACTGAATCATTCCTAAAAAGGTGTAATTTCAACCTTTGCACGAGATGCGCAGCATCGAGTGTTAAGTATCGAAAATAGCACCTGAGTGGATTAAACCAGCCACAATGCATTGAGTCTTGGGCTTAAATTCTTTTCACACATTGCAAAATATTTTCTAAAAAAATCACCTTAAAGATACAAAATCACCAAAAAAACATTTTCTCAACAAAACTTTTTCAGCGAAACAATTTTAATCTATAGAGTCAACTTGTCACTTTGACAACCATTCAATGAATGACCTTGGGTGGTTAGTTGGTTATATAATAAAGTGCAGTTATATGAAATACTGTGCTTGGACTGGCTGTAATCGGACACACCTTCCTTAGCTATGCATGAATACATTATTGTTGCAATGATTTCCAATTTGTGGTTGATTTTATGTTATTGTAATGGTTATATCTATATTATTGTCATATTTACAAATTGAAGACCTAAGCCGAAGCATTGCTTTTCTGTTTTCCTTCACAATGATCTAATATTATGTATACTATGTTTGTAGGCATTCATCACCATCTGTGATTTGCTAATTGTGTTCAGCAAGCACATGGGGAACCCACTGTTTGCCCTAATATTATGTATACTATGTTGTTTGTAGGCATTCATCACCATCTGTGATTTGCTGATTGTGTTCAGTAAGCACATGGGGAACCCATTGTTTGCCCTAATATTATGTATACTATGTTGTTTGTAGGCATTCATCACCATCTGTGATTTGCTGATTGTGTTCAGTAAGCACATGGGGAACCCACTGTTTGCCCTAATATTATGTCTACTATGTTGTTTGTAGGCATTCATCACCATCTGTGATTTGCTGATTGTGTTCAGCAAGCACATGGGGAACCCACTGTTTGCCCTAATATTATGTATACTATGTTGTTTGTAGGCATTCATTACCATCTGTGATTTGCTGATTGTGTTCAGCAAGCACATGGGGAACCCACTGTTTGCCCTAATATTATGTATACTATGTTGTTTGTAGGCATTCATTACCATCTGTGACTTGTTGATTGTGTTCAGCAAGCACATGGGGAACCCACTGTTTGCCCTAATATTATGTATACTATGTTGTTTGTAGGCATTCATCACCATCTGTGACTTGTTGATTGTGTTCAGCAAGCACATGGGGAACCCACTGTTTGCCCTAATATTATGTATACTATGTTGTTTGTAGGCATTCATCACCATCTGTGATTTGCTGATTGTGTTCAGCAAGCACATGGGGAACCCACTGTTTGCCCTAATATTATGTATACTATGTTGTTTGTAGGCATTCATTACCATCTGTGATTTGCTGATTGTGTTCAGCAAGCACATGGGGAACCCACTGTTTGCCCTAATATTATGTATACTATGTTGTTTGTAGGCATTCATCACCATCTGTGATTTGCTGATTGTGTTCAGCAAGCACATGGGGAACCCACTGTTTGCCCTAATATTATGTATACTATGTTGTTTGTAGGCATTCATTACCATCTGTGACTTGTTGATTGTGTTCAGCAAGCACATGGGGAACCCACTGTTTGCTCCACTCATCTTTGAACCAGACAAGCACATGCAGGCTAAACTATCTGGCTTTGTCAATGAGAAGGTCTTTATAGATGATGATGATGGTGAGAGGCTCCATTCATTTCCAAATTACCAATAACTCTTTATGTCTTTACTGCCCTCTGTGCACTGGTTGATTAAGTAATTTATAAGGAACTGTGATAGGACTTAAATCTCCATCTATATAGGATTTACAGAATTCAAAAATGGAGAAGTTAAATGATTTTTATATTAATTCCATTTTAAAGTGCAAACATTCTCTTGTTCAATTTGTTAAAAATAAATTTTGAATTAAATAATTTTGATTTGTATGTGAGACTTGAGAAAAAATAAAATAATTACAACCTACTATTAGAAGAAAGTTAAATGAATGATTCATTTCTTTTATTTCAGACGAGACTGATGAGAACATTAAGATTGAAGAGCTCCATAAACGTCGTAACTTCCTTGCCTCATTCTGCAAATTGGTCATCTACAACGTGATCAGCATCAAGGCTGCCACAGACATGTTCAAACAATACATGAAGGTATGCTCTTCGAATGTCAGCACTTGTACTTCCTTTTTATTACTTCAGTTTATGTATCTTTGTTGAAGAAAATTAAATAAATGTAATGCTTCAGTCACATTTTATATATGGCAACTATATGGCGGCCATAGCTTCCAAAAGAAAAATATGCAGCATAAAGTACAGGATAAGCAGTACAATGTACAGTAGATTTTGTATATCGATTTTGTGAAGCCATACTCCCGTCGTGAGCAAATGTGACTGAGGCTTAACTAGTGAACTGCAACTTGTGTGTACATTCCAAGATTGGTAAGTAACCATGTTATTTGTATTGCAGTACTATATACAATTATCATTCTGATTGCAGTACTACAATGATTATGGTGACATCATCAAGGCAACATTAAGCAAATCCAGAGAAATCAACAAAGTGGCTACAGCTAAAACTATGGCCAAGGGTCTCACAAATGTAAGTTCACAGTCTTCCATAATGACTTTCTCTATCTAATCAACTGCTTATCCCAGAGCATTTACAATGTACAGCAGGTACAGTATATATGGTTCATAGAATATATTTTTCTCATGCATACAGGTTTTTATCTACTTTCGTGCGAAAACAAAATGACTTTATCTATAATTACGAAAAACAAAATTAGTTATTTGGATGTCTAATTAACTATTCTAAGCCCACAATTCCTTGCTTGATGATTGTATGTAATGATCAATATTTCATCAATGTTTTCTCAATCCAGGACTATTCTCTGAAATAGGTATGATGTATATCTTTAAAAAAAGACGATTTATATAAGGATTCCAGAATAACCCATGAATATGTTTCAGCTAAGGTACAGTGTTTGGTTTAATGTATCTTAAATTTCAAAATTGCTTGTTTATATTGTGCTAGGCATTCAGTGAAGTGAAACTAGAACAGAACAATGTGGATAGATCTTCAGAGGGCTTTATACAGATCAAAGAGTTGGCCAGAAGGTTTGCATTGTCATTTGGATTAGACCAGATTAAGAACAGAGAAGCCGTGGCTGCAATGCACAAGTAAGTCACCCATGGTCATCAATCAAGCAGTTCTATTTTACTTACATAAAGTGTGAACACTGAATACTGTACATCTAACCATGTGTCACCTTTATTTGGACAATTCATCACCTGGCAAGTGATTTTTATTGAGAAAATCACCCTTAAATTGAATATTTTGATTTTAAAGTATAAAATTACAAACATTAATTTGGTAATACATGTGTTAACTGTCAGTAGAGTGGCTTTTTCTAACAAGAATCTCATGAAATGTTTTATGAATGACCATTACCATATATAGACAAACTCTATCTCTTGATATTTTTCTGTATAACTTGCTAGTAGGCCAGATTTCATTGTCAGTTACATGACTACTACATTCTACACTTGCAGGGAGGGTATCCTGTTTGCTTTGAACCCTATGGAGAATCCTGATGACCCTAACGGAGCTCCACCTAATGTTGCATTCCTAGAGATCCTCACAGAGTTCTGTAGCAGACTCATGAAACAGGACAAGAAGACAGTGTAAGTGAAACATCTTAAATCCAGACCCTTAGTTTACTTAATTTGCCAAAAATACTGGAAATTACTGACTTTGGCCATCTTACATCCAGTATAATTTGTTACCATTTTCTTATTGTATTCTACATGCCACTACATTAGATTATATTATATTATGTCACTTGCTTATTTTGACTTCTAGTGTGACATACCTTGACAAGCATCTCTCACATGGTATCCCAGCATCTAGGTCAGATGACTGGCTGCCACTGCTCACATACAGGAACAGCCTGGTACAGGGAGAGGAAGAGGAGACAGTCATACCTCCAGGACCTGGCGCCCTCTATAAGAACAAAGTGGGCAGACCTAAGGGTGGAAGGCACAAGAAGAGAGGAGCAGCTGTACCAGAGGGTGAGTCTTTCATACAAACATTCCCTTTAACATACTTCCCTGTTTATTATAGATTAACGTCCATTGTAAAGTAGTTGAGTAGGGCTAGCTTTGTACCTGCTAACTCACCATTCTATGGATAGATATTTTTCACTTAGCTGAGAAAATTATGTTTCATAGCAGTACAATATTATCATCTTTGGCTCTTTTGCCTCACCTATTCAAACTTTATTTAATAAGACTTTGTGTATATTTGCAGCCAGTGGATTCCAGACACCTGCAGGTCGAATGGGAGGCCCCCAGACCTCAACAGCCATTAAGAGGCCTAGGCATGATGAGGAGTCCGTAGGATCAGATAATCTATCAGAACAAGGCTCAGAAAGAGACTTCCAAGACTCGTAAGTAGCTTCATGAGGAAAGTTTATTCATATACGAATTCACTCAGACTTTGTTTTCAGAATATTATTCATTGAATCATTGGCATGGTATTTCAGGTAATTTATGAAAAGTTTTTCCAAAATATTTCTTGGGATTACTAAAAGAATTGTTATTAGACAGTTTTGTAGTCGATATACTTTTGTTCCAGGACTATGAATATATCTCATATATCGCAAGCCTCTTGGTTGGCCCAGAAACAACAGGAATCTCTCAGACAACAACAACAACAACAGAGCTATGGAAGAGTCACACGTGGCAGGTAAGAACAACAGGCACTTTTTAGTTTATTTGCAAAACATCTCAACACTTGATCCAGAGATAGCTTGTATTTGCAAGTGCAACTAACACATGTCGACTACCAGATTAACCTACTTTTTCATGACCAACTCATTTAAATATGAATGGAATAGTGGCAGGTACTATTCATATTTAAATGAGTTTCCAGTAAAATAGCAGGTTAATCCGGTGGTCGACAGGCGTTAGTTGCATTTGCAAATACAAGCTAATTTACATTCAGTTTTTACCATTAAATGGCCAGGAATAAGTTAATGTGGAGTTAGTTAGTTGCATTATTGTATTCACTTCCTTTGTTGATTCCTGTTTTTCTTAATTATAAATACATCTGTGTTATATTAATTTTTGCTGCCTAGTGGAGAATTTGTTCAACCCTTGATTCCACATCAGTACAGGTAAGATGACTGTTGTAATATGAATGATGATGTTGTTTTATGTACACATACATGTCTTATGTTGTAATATCTTATGCTTATATATGTCTATATGTCAGTGTTGTTATATGTACACACTACACAACTTTTTCAATAATAAGTGTTGTAATGCCAATGCTTTATTGTATACCTATACAGGTAAATGTTGTATTATGAACGAGGATTGAAGTTACCAATGTGATTATTCTAAAACTAAAAGTTTTTATCAAGCCTGAGATTTCATCAGTATATTGTTTGATGGATTTGATCAATATACAGGATTTCAAAAGAAATTAATTTGTTGTTTATATTCATGCTTGAGTGAAGAAGACTACCTGGTCCTGGGGCAATTATTTCATCCAGAAATGTTAAATCAATCAAAATTAAAAAGTTCATTTATTGGGATCAAAAAGAGGTATATTTAAAAAAATGATATTAACCCCTCATGAGAACAACTTATTGTACTGTTATACATCTGTATGTGTATCCGTAGGCGTATGTGTGAATGCGTGAATACAAGAACTATAGGAAGTATCACAACCTCTGTGTTCACCTTTAAAAATTAAATGGTTTAGTTGTTCAAAATGTGCTGTTAATACTGTCTAGGGATGAGGTCCCACTGTGGTTATCTCTTATTGGCTCACATTATATTTACAGACCCCCTGCTCCACCAGGCCAGATGTCTATGATGTCACCTGGCAGTAATGTTAGTATAGGATCATTTGAGAGTCCACAGTCTATACCCCCACAGAGACCCCGCTTTGATGAACCATCGTCACACATTGTCTCAGTAAGTAAATATGTTCAACACTGTCATTATATTTTACTTGTAATGTGAAAACATGTCGTCCCATTTTACTTGTAAATGTGAAAACCTGACAACCTATTTTACTTGTAAATGTGAAAACATGTAAAATTTGTGGAATTTTACTTGCAAATAAGTGGTATTATTCCTAGCAGCTTCAAACTGACCCATTCTGCAAGTCATCTGAGTACTTCAAGAGCCTTTCAGAAATATTTTAAAAAATATATCAAGATTTATCTTTTTTGGTGTAGAATTATTTCTCCAATCATGGACAAATATATGAACACCTTCTGCCCAAATAAATGACTGCCAATATGCATAAATTGGACTTTTATCTCACCATGCATTGCCTTGGTATCTATATATCATCAGTCCACAATTTCAAGAATTGTTTACAGAAATAAACTATTGTTTATATGAGTACAAATTGTTGAATATAATTCTAATTTTGCATTTCAGTCGGAGGTAGATATGCAACACTTTTGAGAGAAAATAAAAGAGGACTATAAAAGAAAAAATAGAGGACAATGAGAGGAATAATAGAGGATTATGAGAGAGAAGTGAGGAAATCTATTTGACGTCAATATAACATGCTCATGACTCAGATGTTTCAGAGCCCTGGAATTTGGAATAAACTAATAGGGAAATAAGTAACATTGACTTTGAACAAAGGCATCAGTAAATTATGTTGTATTATCATTTATAGATTTTATATTGTACACCTCATTGTGAATATACATTATTTTAGTGATATTTCAATGTACAGTACATTTCATTGTTTACAGTATGTTCAACGTTGTGAATGCCCATTGTCACTTCTTTGGAGATATATCATTATCAGACGAATTACTGACCATGAACATCTTCATCATAGTGTTGTAGACTCTTTATAAAAACTGGAAGTGGTTGCCTAATATGTCAAATTATGATACATCAGAGGACAAAGAAGTTGATGTGAATATAGTTACATGTACTGATGTAGCATGAAATTAAAACAATCAATAAACAAAAAGAAATTGTAAATTACTTGTGCAATTTTGCTTTTATTTGATATAAAGTTGAAATTACATTGTAAGTTTTGGAACACATCATAGAATGTAGTAAACTGGTAAGACTGCAATCCATAAGGCTTACTGATATTTTAATGTTGTTTCACATATAGTGAAGTGTACAAAATACATATTAAAATAAATGTATTTATTTCAAACTGGAATTCAAGTTATGTTTTATGTCAAGGTATACATGAGCATATCTGACAAGACTGACAGCCATCAAATCTAAATGGCCATCATTTTATATTACACACGATCACCTACATGAATTACATATGATGAATCAATGAATTTCTTTGACATTTAATGATATTACATTATTATAGATACACTGTAAATATAGTATTCTCAAAGCGTGAGAGGCTCCACAGCTTTGTCTTAGACATTCTGTAATACCGCTCCTGCTTTTAGTGTTACGGTGAATGTACGGTAGGCCTATATATTTTCTACATTTTTTTATGTCGCTGCCAAAAGTGGTGACATAGTTATGGTCTTCAACTTTTTTTGTGATGGTGGTTGGCATTAAGAGTTTGGTGTCTGTAACAAATGGTAGGTGGTGACATTTTGCATGTTTAACCTGTAAACCTTGTACTATAAATGTGGCAAGTAATATTTATAATTCTGAAGACTATACATTTCAATTAAATCATAAATAACTGAACAACATGATGAGACATTATATAATCTTTTTGAGAAACTACATTTAACTAGATTTGTGAAATTGAACAAGTTCAATTTAAGACTCCAGATTTATTTGACCTAGATAGATCAGTAAAGAGCTGAGTAAGTAACTGAGTAATTAGCTGAGTAAGTACCTTAGTAGTAGTTGAGTAAGTAGCTGAGTAAGTAACTGAGTAAAAAGCTGAGTAGGTAGCTGAGTAAGTAGCTGAGTAAGTACCTGAGTTAGTAGCTGAGTAAGTTGCTAAGGAAGTAATAACTAATTAAGTAAATGAGTAAGTAGTCAAATAAGTAGCTGAGTAGGTAGAGAGGTAAAGTAGGGTATGCAGGAATTTTTGAAATCCAGATCCAGATTCCTGAGGAAATTCTACCCCTAATTCATAACTCATACTTTAAAATTGGAAAACTTTTTATTTTGACCTACATTTCGGACACCATATCTCAAAAGTGGGTCAAAAAACTTATTGACGGCAAAATGTTAACATTATTAGCACACTCTTTGCTACAAGTTTACAAAATTTCGGAGAATATCATTGAAGTGTAGTGTCAGAATCGCAAAATAAAAAAAACTATGAATTTGACCTAGATTTTGAACTAGGTATTTTGGTGTCCAAACTTTGAAGGAAAGTAGCTTTTGAGGTCCCCTTCTTCTATGGGCTTTCATTATGTTTAGCTGTACTCATTCTATATCTCGTATTTTTATACTTCAAAAAATTATTCGGTCCCATTGATTTAACATTGGGCACCAAATTTAGCGATTTTTGAGATTTCAAAACGCCATAACTTCCGAACAGGAGGTCGAATCAAAATTTGATTTACAGATTCGGATTCCTGATAAAATTCTACCCCTTATTCATAACTCATACGTTACATTTGAAGATTTTTTTATTTTGACCTACTTTTGGGACACCATATCTCAAAAGTGGGTCAAAATACTTTTTGACGGCAAAAGGCTAACACTATTAGCACACTCTTGGCTACATGTATACAAAATTTTAAAGCAAATCATTTAAATATAGTGTCAGAATCGCAAAAATAAGGGAAAACTATAAATTTGACCTAGATTTTGACCTAGGCATTTTGGTGTCCAAATTTTGGAGCTAAGTAGTCTTCGAGGTCCCCTTCTTTAATAGGCTTTCATTATATTAAGCTGTACTCAGTCTATATCTCGTATTTTACACTTCAAAAAATCTTTTTTTCCCATTGACATGACATGGGGCAGCAAATTCAGCGATTTTTGAGCTTTCAAAACACCATAACTTCCGAACAGGAGGTCGAATCAAAATTTGATTTACAGATTCGGATTCCTGATAAAATTCTACCCCTTATTCATAACTCATACGTTACATTTGAAGATTTTTTTATTTTGACCTACTTTTGGGACACCATATCTCAAAAGTGGGTCAAAATACTTTTTGACGGCAAAAGGCTAACACTATTAGCACACTCTTGGCTACATGTATACACAATTTCGAAGAATATAATTAAAGTGTAGTGTCAGAATCGCAAAAATAAGGAAAAGCTTTGAATTTGACCTAGATTTTGACCTAGGCATTTTGTTGTCCAAATTTTCAAGATTAGAAGGTTTTGAGGTCCCCTTCTTTTATGGGCTTCCATTATGTTTAGCTGTACTTAGTCTATATCTCGTATTTTACACTTCAAAAAAATATTTTTTCCCATTGACATAACATGGGGCACCAAATTTAGCGATTTTTGAGCTTTCAAAACGCCATAACTTCCGAACCGGAAGTCGGATCGAAATTTGGTTTGCAGATTTGGATTCCAGAGAAAATTCTATCCTTAATTCATAGCTCATACGTTAAATTTGGAAATTTTTTATTTTGACCTACTTTTCGGACACGCCATAACTTCCAAACCGGAAGTCGGATCGAAATTTGGTTTGCAGATTCGGATTCCTGAGAAAATTCTATACTTAAATCATAACTCAAACGTCAAATTTTGAGACTTTTTTATTTTGACCTACTTTTCGGACACCATATCTCAAAAATGGGGCAAAATACTTTTTGACGGCAAAAGGCTTACACTATTAGCAGACTCTTAGCTACATGTATACAAAATTTCGAAGAATATAATAAATCTGTTGTGTCAGAATCGCAAAAATAAGGAAAAACTTTGAATTTGACCTAGATTTTGACCTAGGCATTTTGGTGTCCAAATTTTGAAGCTAGATGGCTTATGAGGTCCCCTTCTTTTAAAAGCTTTCATTATATTTAGCTGAACTCAGTCTATATTTCGTATTTTTTACTTCAAAAAAATCTTTTTTCCCATTGACTTAACATGGGCACCAAATTTAGCGATTTTTGAGCTTTCAAAACGCCATAACTTCCGAACGGGAAGTCGGATCAAAATTTGGTTTGCAGATTCGGATTCCTGAGAAAATTCTACCTTTATTTCATAGCTCATATGTTAAATTTGGAGAACTTTTTGGTTTTGACCTACTTTCAGGACGCCATATCTCAAAATCGCTAAGAGCAATCAAAAAACGGATGGCACACTCTCGATTTGTTTTTTTCTAAGCTACATGTAGAAACTAAGATGAAGTAGTTCCGACAAACAACAACGAAGATAATTGACAGAATGTTGATTTGACCTTGATTTGACCTAGTTCTTGACCCTTGACCTAGATAAAAATTTGACCTAATTTCCCATCATCCCAGGTACTGCCCCTAGTTGATCATGTAAGCAGCTTAAAGTAAATTCTTTTAGTTGGTGAGAAATCTGGGAAGGAGGAAGATTCTGAAAGAATAATAATAACTAGATTTGTGAAATTGAACAAGTTCAATTTAAGACTCCAGATTTATTTGACCTAGATAGATCAGTAAAGAGCTGAGTAAGTAACTGAGTAATTAGCTGAGTAAGTACCTTAGTAGTAGTTGAGTAAGTAGCTGAGTAAGTAACTGAGTAAAAAGCTGAGTAGGTAGCTGAGTAAGTAGCTGAGTAAGTACCTGAGTTAGTAGCTGAGTAAGTTGCTAAGGAAGTAATAACTAATTAAGTAATTGAGTAAGTAGTCAAATAAGTAGCTGAGTAGGTAGAGAGGTAAAGTAGGGTATGCAGGAATTTTTGAAAGTATATTTGATCAATCTGCATCGTGAATACTGGCAAGTGTGAATTTCAAACTTCAAAATGGTGTAGAATCTAAACCGGGGGTCAGATTGCAATTTTAATTTCAGATCCAGATTCCTTAGGAAATTCTACCCCTAATTCATAACTCATACTTTAAAATTGGAGAACTTTTTATTTTGACCTACATTTCGGACACCATATCTCAAAAGTGGGTCAAAAAACTTATTGACGGCAAAATGTTAACATTATTAGCACACTCTTTGCTACAAGTTTACAAAATTTCGGAGAATATCATTGAAGTGTAGTGTCAGAATCGCAAAATAAAAAAAACTATGAATTTGACCTAGATTTTGAACTAGGTATTTTGGTGTCCAAACTTTGAAGGAAAGTAGCTTTTGAGGTCCCCTTCTTCTATGGGCTTTCATTATGTTTAGCTGTACTCATTCTATATCTCGTATTTTTATACTTCAAAAAATTATTCGGTCCCATTGATTTAACATGGGGCACCAAATTTAGCGATTTTTGAGATTACAAAACGCCATAACTTCAAAACAAGTAGTCGGATCGAAATTTGGTTTGCAGATCTAGATTTCTGAGAAAATTCTACCCTTAATTCATAACTCATACGTTAAATTTGGAAAACTTTTAACTTTGGCCTATTTTTCGGACACCATATCTCAAAAGTGGGTCAAAATACTTTCTGACGGCAAAACGCTAACACTATTAGCATACTCTTTGCTACCTGTATACAAAATTTTAAAGCATATCATTTAAATATAGTGTCAGAATCACAAAAATAAGGGAAAACTATAAATTTGACCTAGATTTTGACCTAGGCATTTTGGTGTCCAAATTTTGGAGCTAAGTAGCCTTCGAGGTCCCCTTCTTTAATAGGCTTTCATTATATTAAGCTGTACTCAGTCTATATCTCGTATTTTACACTTCAAAAAAATCTTTTTTCCCATTGACATAACATGGGGCAGCAAATTTAGCGATTTTTGAGCTTTCAAAACACCATAACTTCCGAACAGGAGGTCGAATCAAAATTTGATTTGCAGATTCGGATTCCTGATAAAATTCTACCCCTTATTCATAACTCATACGTTACATTTGAAGATTTTTTTATTTTGACCTACTTTTGGGACACCATATCTCAAAAGTGGGTCAAAATACTTTTTGACGGCAAAAGGCTAACACTATTAGCACACTCTTGGCTACAAGTATACACAATTTCGAAGAATATAATTAAAGTGTAGTGTCAGAATCGCAAAAATAAGGAAAAGCTTTGAATTTGACCTAGATTTTGACCTAGGCATTTTGTTGTCCAAATTTTCAAAATTAGAAGGTTTTGAGGTCCCCTTCTTTTATGGGCTTCCATTATGTTTAGCGGTACTTAGTCTATATCTCGTATTTTACACTTCAAAAAAATATTTTTTCCCATTTACATAACATGGGGCACCAAATTTAGCGATATTTGAGCTTTTAAAACGCCATAACTTCCGAACCGGAAGTCGGATCGAAATTTGGTTTGCAGATTTGGATTCCAGAGAAAATTTTATCCTTAATTCATAGCTCATACGTTAAATTTGGAAACTTTTTATTTTGACCTACTTTTCGGACACGCCATAACTTCCAAACCGGAAGTCGGATTGAAATTTGGTTTGCAGATTCGGATTCCTGAGAAAATTCTATACTTAATTCATAACTCAAACGTCAAATTTTGAGACTTTTTTATTTTGACCTACTTTTCGGACACCATATCTCAAAAATGGGGCAAAATACTTTCTGACGGCAAAAGGCTAACACTATTAGCAGACTCTTAGCTACATGTATACAAAATTTCGAAGAATATAATTAATCTGTTGTGTCAGAATCGCAAAAATAAGGAAAAACTTTGAATTTGACCTAGATTTTGACCTAGGCATTTTGGTGTCCAAATTTTGAAGCTAGATGGCTTATGAGGTCCCCTTCTTTTAAAAGCTTTCATTATATTTAGCTGAACTCAGTCTATATTTCGTATTTTTCACTTCAAAAAAATCTTTTTTCCCATTGACTTAACATGGGCACCAAATTTAGCGATTTTTGAGCTTTCAAAACCCCATAACTTCCGAACAGGAAGTCGGATCAAAATTTGGTTTGCAGATTCGGATTCCTGAGAAAATTCTACCCTTATTTCATAGCTCATATGTTAAATTTGGAGAACTTTTTGGTTTTGACCTACTTTCAGGACGCCATATCTCAAAATCGCTAAGAGTAATCAAAAAACGGATGGCACACTCTCGATTTGTTTTTTTCTAAGCTACATGTTGAAAGTAAGATGAAGTAGTTACGACAAACAACAACGAAGATAATTGACAGAATGTTGATTTGACCTTGATTTGACCTAGTTCTTGACCCTTGACCTAGATAAAAATTTGACCTAATTTCCCATCATCCCAGGAACTGCCCCTAGTTGATCATGTAAGCAGCTTAAAGTAAATTCTTTTAGTTGGTGAGAAATCTGGGAAGGAGGAAGATTCTGAAAGAATAATAATAATAATAATAATAATAAAGAAAACTGACGAAAGCAATAGACTCCAGATTTTCATCTGGAGTCTAATAATAATAATAATAAAGAAAACTGACGAAAGCAATAGACTCCAGATTTTCATCTGGAGTCTAATAATTGTTAATATTCCTGAGGAAATACACCAGAATTCACGAATGAACCTCTGCAAGTTGTCAGCCCTGTAATACAACATTATCTTTCTTAAATGTCCAATATATATGCTAATTACATAATAAATATGCTCTAAGTAAATATACAAAACGGTTCTACAAATACATTACACTGTTACCCTTTCCAATATTTTAATTTTGGTTCTTTAAAAGAGAACTTCATCCTACTCTGACTTTAGGATAATCAAGCCATAACCAATCAGAATGCTGAAAATGTAGTCAATAAAACTATAATACAATATGTGATTGGAATTATGTGAACCTTGTGTGAACCTTGTGCACAAAGCATATAAATCATGGGACATATATACTGATTTAAATCAACTCATGATTTTGTATTTCAAATATGAGAGAATGAGCCTCTCTTATTACTTTATTAACATAACATAAATTATTGAATATGTAGAACAATTTAGATAATGTAGTATATAATAATAGAGAAAATGCTGTATATAATATGATACCTGCATCTCTCTTTTCCTTATTCTTTCTTCAAATTTCTATTTTGCAATTCATATATTCAACAAGATAAATGTTAAGTACATATAATAAATAAGCCATTTTTATAGATATTGTAGTAAAAAGCTCTATACATCCAGAAGGATGTCCAGCACATGAATTAGTTATAAATTAAATGTAAAAAAATTACTGCTTAAAAAAGATTTGAATTGAAATATCAATCCCCTAAGCATAATACTGCAAAACACATTTGTATGTATGTTTATTGTTAAATGCTACTGGACACAAAATGCAGAATCAATTTCCTCTAGTCTAATTTAAGCATCTGTGTATTCCTTCAATGCATCAAGCTTGTGTCAAACATTCTCATGCAAGATCATTGTAATTGTCATTAATCTTTGATCACAGGCTCAAGATATATCAAATCAATTAATATTCTAAATCCAAATTATTACATTGTTTGACCTGGTGACATTCCATATAATACATGAGCGTCCCTTTTTGAGTCAAAGTTTTGTTTGTGTAACTTTTCCCTGGGATTTCATTCAAAGTGCTGAAGAAGAGAAGGCTTCAAGAGCAAGCTATGATGATCGAGACTCTTTTTAGTTTTTTTAGATGTACATGTAATCGCACCCCTTGAAAAATATCTGGGGTCAAGGCCCCTGTAATATCGAGGTAAAAATATGCCAACCAAAATCAGCTTTTGCCACTGAACTATAAGAGGTATTTGCCATGGAGTGTCCCCTTTATGCAGTTTATATGAGGCAGGGGCTTCGACTCCTCCCTGAATACAGAGGCCTTAATTAATGTTTCCTTATCGTATCACACACCGAATGCTGGTGGGTGAAACACAACTGCAGTAATGATTTAGTAGTCTATACCTTGAATTGATCATAAAAATCACTCAGTTTTTGCATGAATTTTGTCTCTACTTGTGGAGTGTATTTTGTCCAAGCCAGTGGTAGATGTGTTGACACAGCCTTGCGATCTGGAAATAAAACGTAACAATATATTTTCAAAAATTGGTACTAGATTTCTAAATTAGAACTTATTGAATACACAATCTTTTATATTGAGGTGTTGGACACAGCTTTTAGAGTATGGAATTCAAGTCTACTGAACTTCTGTTTTTTCTCTTATCGCTTTATCACAACAAATTGTAAGCAAATCCCCATCTACATCATTTGGTTGATTATTTACATGCACTTGTTGTACAGGGTGTCCCTAAACGTCTATTTACACTAATGCACTTGTTGTGCAGGGTGTCCCTAAACGTCTCTTTACACTTTAAAGACTTTGTATTAGAATTGTAAAGAAACTTCATGGGCATTCTGTGTTTTTCTTATTATTGGTAATAATGCCGTTTCAAGGGAATATTCAGAAATGGCTAAAGAAGGATTTGGGAAGGTGTATAAAGAGTGGTTGATAAGGCACCAACAGATAATGGACAATCAGGGGAATTACTTTGAGGAGTAATTTAGCTATAAATGTGTATGAATGTGTCAAAAAGCTAATTCCAATACAATTTAAATACTGCTATTACAGTCGAAAAGGTGTGTAAAATTAACAAAATGTGACGTAAATCATCATACTCCGACAACTCCGGGTCTGTGGCGACATGTTAATCATTTGAGAATAAAATCAAAAATATAACAGCTACAAGGCTGAAATTGATGTCAATCATTCCTCAATGTTTGCCTATTAAGTGCTCCAAAGACAAAAAAACTATCCATGCCTTATATCTCCCTCAAAAAATTATCATGACATCTGGGACACCCTGTACAAGGTTTGTCCAAAAAGTCTACATTTTACTCTAATTTGTGGCAGATAAAATCATTCAAGAATATTTTCTGAATATGCCCTACCTTGGTAGAATAGTCCGCTCTTGTTCTGAAGGGCAGCGTCTGATATTGCAAGCCATACTATTGTATCAGCACCTTGTTGGGGGGTCCTAAGGCTCCACCTATGCTCCTTATAGAAATCTTAAAGGTAACCGGTACACTAAGTAGGGATAAATTATCATTAACATACACAGCCAATCTCTAACAGTACCCTATGGTATAGTTTTGGCTACAATACTGTACAGCACTGTAAAATATGGTACCATACATACAGTACCATAGACTCAAACAGTACCATGAACACTGTACTGAACACCTTACATGAATGGTACTGGTACAATACTCTCAATGTACTGTATGGAAATGATTTCAGAGTGCGAATCGGGGTGTATGGGAATAATGAGCACAGAAAATGAGCTGTATTCAACATTCTTAATTTCAACATTCTTAATTTCAAGTAGACTGTAAAATACAATGGACAGCCGCAATAATATGCTCTTTGGTTCAAAATACGAGCAGACACCTACTTTTCATCAAGCTTACCTGGCATAGATGTTTGAACTGCAGGAGTGTCAGCCCATCCTGGGTGCATGCAGGAAAAATGTACACTAGTATAGAGTTTTGCATAGTTTTCTGTCATGACAACTTGCTGCCTCTAGAAACATAGAAACAATGCTGATTTTAACATTACATACCAAACATAGTTGACCAATTCAAGAGTATGTGTAACTATTAAGGGAAAGCATAACTCTTATACAATGTTTATTTGGACAGAAATCTTTTCTTCTTTTCTTGTTTACACAATACACACAGAACTGGAATGTGTGAGATTTATATTCATTTCAAACAAAAAATTTTTTCATTTACAACATTTTTTAATCTTAAACTTCAACTTTTCAAATTAAATGGCAACCAGAACAATGGCAACGCCAAAGCGTAGCGAATCCCATCGAACAGAAATGGCTGGCATTTTTACAAACGAAATATATAGCAAACATCATAAAACAACACACCAGAAAGGCCACCATTTTCAAAATGGTTGCTCACTAGCCAAGTTGTCATCAGAAGAAATAATATGCTTTTAAGTAGCCACCTATAAAATCTTTGAAAAATCGCATACATGTACTTGTAAAATAACACACATAAAAATGGTGGCCATTTTTCAAAATGGCTGACTTAACTCCCCAAAGTTTTATTAGACAATGTGCCATGCTTAAAGTATTCACATATCAAATATGAACAAAATTGCTCCACTACTTTTCGAGTTATAGTAAAAAATGTAAAAATGACAGCCATTTTTATAAAATGGCTGCCTACTATCTGAAGTGTCATGAGACAGTGTGCAAGGCTCATGAGTATTCACATATCAAATATGACCAAATCGCTTCACTACTTTTCAAGTTATAGTAAAAACATAAAAATGGTGACCATTTTTCAAAATGGCCACCTACTACCCAAAGTGTCATTAGACAGTGTGCCATGCTTATAGTATTCACATATGAAATATGAAACATACCAAATATGAACAAAATCGCTTCACTACTTTTCGAGTTATAGTAAAATACGTTAAAATGGCGGCCATTTTTCCGCATTCTACCAAAAGTGTCATAGGACGGTGTGCCATGCTTATAGTATTCACATACCAAATATGAACAAAATCGCTCCACTACTTTTCGAGTTATAGTAATATACGTTAAAATGGCGGCCATTTTGAAAAATGGCCGCCTTCTACCAAAAGTGTCTTTAGGCAGTGTGCAATGATTTTTTACATTTAAAACATATTGCTATTACAGTTTTACATATTGCACCTAAATTACTGTAACATATTGCATATTAACATATTGCTATTACAGTTTTACATATTGCACCTAAATTACTGTAAAATCGGCACTAAAATGGCCGCCATTTTGAATTGAGCGGCCATTTTGAAAATCGGCTTTCGAGCAGAACTTCTACCCCCATAGGATATATGTGTACAAAATATGAACAAAATCAGGCTAACGGTATTTGAGTTATCGCCCGGACGGACGGACAGACGTACGTACGGACGGACGGACGGAGGCGTTCCCTATATCCCTCCGAACTTCGTTCGATGGGATAAAAACAGAATTAACAAGTCATTAACATGACAAAATGTCACCATCACCACCAAGTTGCTCACAATATTATAAGTTCAATCTTAAGTCAGATTTGAATGTCTGAGAACTCTGTAGATGATTTTGAAAAAAAGGTCAATTTGAAACAAGTTTTTTGACCCTGAAAAGTTCATTGAAGTTGAAATCTCAAATCTAAAGTCAGATATGAATTTTTGAGAACTTTAAGATGATTTTGAAAAAAAAATTAACAATATGTCACCACTTTTTGGTGATGACATAAAAATGATAGAAGCAATCATTTCAAAAGGCTTGTATGTTTCCCCACAATCAAAGTACATGAACATGAATATTATTTGAAGAAAGAATTGAGATTATATCTCTTTGAATGAAAGTGAAGAAATGTCCAAATTGAATTGATCTTTATAAAACTTCAAAGAATACTGTCATCTCTAGTCTCTGCTGCACCTTTATGGCACATGAATATTTGAACGGTTTCAGTTTGGTTTTGCAAAGTAATGTACCTTGTTTTTTGCATATGACTGTGTACCATCAAAAAATGGTGCACGTTTTTCCATTTGTAAGTCATCAGGGTCAAGTCCTTCCACATACATCCCCCCTGAGGATACTGTGATCTGAAGACATAGAATATCAGCAATTGAAGTAAAGGGTTATATATTTCTTGATAGCACAGAAGTGACTTCATAGAATAATGTAGTTGGTGGTATGAGACACAGCATTATATTTAACTCACTTAGTGTCCACAGTACTGGCAAATATTATTGATTAAAAAATCAAATCAAAGGAGATTTAATGGCATTTGGCATTCACACCCATCCAGAGATCTGGAGACGGTTAAACTCAGCCCATTATTCATATATCGCAAATAATTTTAATTTTCTTTTCAAAACAATAATCAAAAAGACACATTAATACAACAGGATACAGTTCACACGCCAAGATTTTTTATCATCAGGATTATACTACTTATATACTTGTATCTGATGTGTTTTGCTCAACATATCTCAATATTCCACCCTTTGGCAGAGTGCAGACAAATTCTCAATGGGTTAGCATATAATTTCAACAGGGAGATGCTGGAGAGATCACTCATTTAACCAAAGACAGTAAATCAAAACATTGTACCACTCTTGGCTGCTGACTCTGTTGTAATAAAGGCATCAATGAGGTGGTTAGTACATGTGTACCCAGTACATTGGTTGCAAAATTCTTCTCAAGGCCATCCTCAGTAAGTTCACGTTGGTTCACCATACAACCAGCATTGTTGATCTAAAATAAGACCAGAACACTAGACATATACAAAACAAAAACTTTCCACAGAATTTCCTCCTCAGAAATCAGCCAGTACACTTTAAACATTTCGTTTTTAATGAATTCCAGTTAGAAGGTTCAAAGCCAACTTTACTACAGCATGATCCTGATATTTTGATCAATTCTAACACTTACTAAGACATCTAGCTTCTCTCCTGACTCAAGGAATGTTTGAGCAAATCTTTGAATGCTTCTGGGTAGAGACATGTCCAGTTGATGGAATATCACTTCCTGAAAGAAAATATAAGGCCTGAGGTCAGCTGGCAATGTATAATATAATATGTAATATGTGTTTAAGTATATGAAATAACTAACAGTATATGTTATATTCATATATACATGTAATTCATGTATATCATGTTAAAACATTTGATTGATTTTGTATTATAATATAAATTGAATATTGGTGAGAACCTGCCTAGTTCACCCACCTTGGAACCTGACTCAGTTATAACATCTTGTTGAGCAGCCCTCCCTCTCTCCTCACTGCGACAAACCATGTGAACTTTACCCCCTAAAATAAACAAATTATACATGTATGCAATAATAGCTCCTCAGACTATATTGTATATATTGTATATACATTTATACCACTTTAAGTCCAATTACAGTTGTATAACATGGGTCTATAACAACGATATACAGTTGAGAGTGGTATATCGTCATCGTATACAACTCCTCTGTATACACTCCAGCGTATACCACTGTAGAAGTGCATTCTGGGAACTAATGAATAAAAAAATCATGAAAATTTTCATGATTTTCTAGAATCAAGTGACGTCATAAATAGTTCTGGCATGATTTGCTAGAATCAAGCCACGTCATAAATGGTTCGAGATCAACATCAGCATTATTGAGTTGGCTAGATGGGATATTTTTATGGTTTTTAATTATTATGACTGTGTTCGAATCAACTGTAATTGAACTTAGAGTGGCATAATAAGATTATATAATGGTTCATTCTGTATATCGTGCATTTTATACTCTCATGAGAATATAATATATTCACTCGTTCGCTACGCTCACTTGTGAATATATTATATACTCACTCGAGTATAAACACGATATACAGAAAGAACCATTATATAACCTCATAGTACATTATGGCCTAGCTAAACAAACCATCAACTCGTATGTGTGCGCTGCATCAGTTCACATAAAAGAACACAGGGCTCCTTTGATAAGGGATTTCTGGATCTGTCTGTCTAGCATTATTTGGAATAGAAGTAGCCTATAACATTATGGAACTATCTTGTGTACCCAAGATCCAAATAAATAAATCATCCATACATATAGACAGATTAGTAAATAACATGTACCTTTCTTGGCAATCTCCACTGCTGCTGCTTTACCAATACCAGAGTTACTCCCAGTGATCATAAAACTTTTATTCTTAATGTCCACCTTCTCCAGGTCATTAGGGTTGAAGTTTTTACTTGCTGCTGCATAGCCATCTCTGAAAAGGAATACTGCACTATAACCAGACAATAATATAGACACTCTCCTATTTTGAAATTACAAGGTAATTATATTAAAATGGTACATGTATTGATTTTATTTCTCAGGTCATATACACGCGGTCCTAACTTCGACCATTAAAATTTGAATTTTTGACCTACCGGATGTTTGAAAATCAAGGATTGCGACTCTCATACTGCACCGTTTTTCTTCAAACTTATACCATTAAAAGCAGAACAAAATTGCCTTTCTGTCGGTGCATTACTTAATTGTAAAGAGTCCCTCGTTCTAGCAGCGCCTTAGAAGGCCTTCTTACAGCTGGGGACCAAAATGCCGCTGGAAGTAGGGACTCTGTTTAAGAGAATAATGTACCATCAGAAAGGGATTTTTGTTATGCTTTGAATGGAACAAGTTTGAAGAAAAACGGTGCAGTATGAGACTCGTAATCCTTGATTTTCAAACAGCTGGTAGGTCAAAAATTCAAAATAACGGTTGAAGTTAGAACTGCGTGATATAGGCCTAATCTCAATTTAATGAAAAAAGGAAACATTTTTTCAAAACGTTCTGTAGGATAAGGAATAAAAACTTACTTAGTAAATTCCTTTTTGGCCTTAAGATACCAGACAACATTTCTGTATAATGTTCCAGCTTGCATGATTCTTCCACCATGTACCCTCCTTGTTAGCCTGCCTGGAATACATAATTCAGCATGGAATCAAATTATTTAGAAAGTCATGTTTTTGCCACAATGAGGCTCATATAATTTTTAGCTTTAATATCGATGTCCCATGCCTGCCCTGAACTGTGGTGAGGAACTCTGCAGGTTCAGCTAATTGTATTTCAAAATTATAATCATCAATTCTTGGCACTTGACAAATACAGTTCATTATGTACCTAATAGGTTCGCTTGAGGTAAATTGATCAGGTAAACCGGATGTAACCTTACTGGGTATGTTGCAATGTACTCAGAAATAATCCCCGGAGTTGATGGAGGACATTTTGAAATACTGGTTGATTTAAAGATTGTAGTGTATACCTCTGCAATATGAGACACCCATGACTATTTTGGCTTTGAGAGAGCATTCAGGCTGGTGTTTAGAATCAATTGAGGAAAGAAATGTGTGCATAGCTAGCGATGATATTTTTTGGCTTTTTGAAATATAATGTGTGATATAATGTGTGATTTACTGTATGTGCGCAAGACATCTACATCAATAATCTGCAAAAGGCTAATAAGCCCATTTAAAGCAGACAAGCTCAGATACATAGTTTAACAGTGATAAAATTTGAATAGAATAAAATTTAAACCTTAACATTTAAAAGATAGATTTATGGTTTACAACTCATTTTAAAATCGAAAGGAAACTCCCTGGTTGGCCCATGTACCCCCCCCCCCCCCCAGGAAGTCCCTTTATGTTGAAATACCCTGGGACGACTGTCAGGCTACCGCATTGACATAAGACCATAATGTATAGATGGTCTTGGTACTAGATAGAATAACGGGGTGGGGTTATCCCGTTCCCGGACTATGGTCCTGTGAACATCTCAATCTTTTGCCTGTGCGATTACAACATGGGAGAATTTTTTACTGATCTTACACTTCAGATACCTACTTCAATAGATTCCTTGGTAATTTAGCATTCTTTTCGTGTAGTTGAATCCACAATTGTCTGGGTTTATCGGCAGAACGAAGACATTTTCGTTTTTGATCGCAATATTTGTGTGTAACATTTAACCTTTTTCAACCGTCAAATTCCTCCATATTGGTACTTCCGGGCTACATCCGGGACAGCCAAACGGGGGATTCCCCGTTTAAATCCAACCGCCATTTTGAAAAGTGATGGAATCTCTCTCGATGAAAAAGAGAAAATGTTCTCGTTCTGCCGATATACCCAGACAATCGGCGGTTCCAATATATTAGAAGTTACATCTTGAGTTCTATAATGCATTGAGGTAGGTATCTTAAGTGTAAGGGGCGTAGATAATTCTCCCAAGTTGTAATCGTACAGGCAAATGAATGCGATCAGTGCAGGACTATAGTCCGGGAACGGGATAAGGGTGGGGTAGACTACTGTATATATTCCTTGTTCGATACTATGGGTGGGGGTTACTCAAATTTATTAAACATTTTAAAAATCGCCAGATAAATAAATCATGAATTAAAATGGAACTGGCTGAGCTCCTTGATGAGATATTGCATGATTTCATCAGGATTTGGCACCATGACATAGGCCCAGCTGTAAGAGTAAGCTGAATCTATTTATTTTAGATTCAGCTTACCCATGGGCTTTCAATTAGAGTTGAAAACCCATGGCTTACCATAGGCATTCAATAGAAGCCCATTAGTTTACTAATATTTTACCTGGGTATGCTATGTAATAGATCTAAAGCTTTACAAATTACACCATCACATTCACAAGTCATCGTGACATGTCAAAAAAATTATAAAACATAGGTTAGATCATGGACGTATATCAGATCGGGTATATTTTCAACCCAGGACTAGGTTTTACCAATATGACAGTTGATTGTTTTCAATGACAATGTAGCCCTTATATTATAGACATTGAAGTCATTATGAAATTATGATTTAATACCTTTTAAACCTTTGAAACTTAGATAATCAATCTGTAATCTCACCCAATTATATGTTTTGCCAAGTACGTCATCACTTTTCACTTACACATAAATTGATGACGTAAACACATATTGGAACTAAAAAGTAAAAAATGCAAAAGTGCTGTGACTTTATCCCCGAATTTTGAGCAAAGCCGGACTCATCCAAGCTACTACTCGTGTCCCAAAGAAGGGCGATTCCACAAAGTATTTAAAAATGGTAAGTCGCTGTTGTTATTGTCGTTATTATTGCACAAAATATGATAAAATTTAACAAATATTTCTGAAAAATGTGAAATAAAAATGGTGGCCTGCTTCTCCCGGAAGTGTAAGCAAAGTTTGAATTATAAACACCCTTGTGAATCAAGCGTCTTACTCTACCGAGCTGACAGAAGTCAGGTCTGAGTAGTTCCATTGGAATTGCAAAGAAGAGAATCAATTCAGGCCGATTTATGACTCAACTGAATGCTTATGTCATGATTCAAGGAGGATTGGAAGCCAGAGTTCCAACTTGATATTCTTTAATCTCCCAAGTAATGCGATATTGCCGAACATGGCTGAATATTTCTCCAGCTGCAAGGAGAATTAACGATATTATCCAACAAAGCTGGCGTCATTATTGTCAATATTTACATTGCTATAAATTCACAATCAACATTCGAAATATTTAAACTAATGACCATTAAGCCACTAATTATCTTGATCGGTTCTTGTGTGTTTTTAAATTTTTGCTTGGTAATTAGACCAAAACTTGTGGTTCAAATTTTGAACCTCCTTGGTCGCCACAAAATTCAAAATCAAACATTCGCCATTTTTCACTTCTGACATCTATTGATCACCACACATGGGCCACCAATAAATGTCAGGTGTTGATACAGGTTCATGTGTGAACGATCACCAATCAATAGGGACATGTACATAATATTTTTTGTCTTTGTGTTAAATTGTTTTCCTAATGTTGCGTCAGTCACTCCTATTAGATGTAGAAAAACTCTCTACCTTGCAAGGTGTACCCATATGGTTCCTTAGCTAACTTTTGAGCCAGCTGTCTTCAGTAACAAGCCCTTATGTCACATTGTTCTGATGTGTCACCCAAATCTTATCATATACACTGATAAGAGTACTTCACTAACTTGCCAGTGTGCCACACCCATCCATAGGTTGCTTAGATGTACCTAAGCTCAAGTCAAGCTTCTAAAATGGTCCAAATCTTGAATTGGCCTTTTTGGGTTTTTCTCAGAGCTACTTACCTTAACCTGAATAATTCTCTTACCACTTTTTTTTAAACAATAGGTTTATTTCATTGATATATTTTTAATGGCATAGCTAATACACAATCATGCGGCAAATCGCCTTTTGACATTTAATTGTATGTCCGCTTTCAATAACAATGTTACACTTAAAATAAGAAAAATTTAAAAAAATAAAACACACCCACTTACCACTATATCTCGTAATATTAATTACTTTATTTCCAGATGCAATTTATGCTTTTATTCAGCCGACAAGGCAAGCTTAGGTTACAAAAATGGTATGAGGCACACCCAGATAAAGTAAAGAAGAAGATAACTCGAGAACTAATCACAACGATTCTCTCTAGGAAGCCAAAGATGTGCAGTTTTATTGAATGGAAAGATATGAAAATTGTTTATAAGAGGTGAACAATTTTTTTGATATATCTGTAAAGCTAAAACCCAGTTTTGCATGTTAGTCTAACATCTGGTCAATTAATCTGACTTCTGAGTTCAATGTATCTGATTTTACAATCAATCATCATCTCAAAGCTCAACCAAGTTACATGGTCCACATCTTGATAGCTTTGGATAATTGGAATTGCATTTGAAAAGACTGCAATATAAACCATGATTGCGTTTAAACTTTCCGTGGGCTTTTAAAACTAGTCAACATACATTAGAGTCTTACTCAATATATTTGTTATATTACCATGTATGAAAATACTTATTTATCTTACTTTAATATACTTTTTTATATTGCAGATATGCCAGTCTCTATTTCTGTTGTTGCGTTGAAAGGGATGATAATGAACTATTGACATTAGAAATAATCCATAGATATGTGGAATTATTAGATAAATACTTTGGCAGTGTAAGTTGCATTTCTTTGATTTTATTCCTTATTTGTAGTTGTTTCAAATCTGTAACATTTTGCGTCAAAATTGCACATTTGAAGAATTTCTGGCATAGGGAAAAGGGTTGTAACATCGACGTGTTGGGTAATATCCACACAAGAAATGGGGTAACTTCAACACCTTCTTGTTAGAAATTAAAATTTCCATTTTCCTCATGTTTGATTCGAAGAATATAAAAACTTGTGAGATCTCCATCCATACGAGAAAAAAAATGGCTTCCACTAAGATCAGAAATAAAAGCAAATAAACAACAATGTTTTAAACTTACCCCATGTGTTGACGTTGCTCCAAAATGAAATGTCAACGGCCCGTTCACCCTACATCATCAGAAGAGCTCCTTAAGTTAAGAGTTCTAAAGTATGCTCTTATTATAATTATTATATCAATAGCTAGAAATTAACTTAAGGAATATTTCATTCATATGCATCTCAGCTAGATATGTTTAATTTCAATATTTCACTTGTAGGTATGTGAGCTAGATATCATATTTAACTTTGAGAAGGCCTACTTCATGCTTGATGAGCTCCTGTTAGGGGGAGAAGTCCAAGAAACAAGCAAGAAGAATGTTCTTAAGGCAATTGCAGCACAGGATCTCTTACAAGAGGTGAGTATATCTGGTAATATATATCTACTGTTGCCATGTTGGCTCATGGTGGTCATGTTGATCTCAAAGGTTTCTTTAAACTGGATAACATATGTGTGCAGAAAACACAATGCCATTCCATAACGCACTGGAATATGATGTATTATTACTACATTGTATCTGTTTAAAGCATGACCAAATTGCAATTAATTCATAATATTTGCCATCTTTCTTGTTCTTTCCTCAGTGTAACAGGGACAGGGTGGTCCAAAAATTCTGGATTGAGTCTGGTGTAATAACCAACTTTCAAAAAGGGGAAAGTCTTTGGTAATATTTTCTGATTTGAAGATATCAGCATCTCTTGTTCCACTTGTGTCAGTTACTTAAATTTACAATTCAAGAGAATATCAATACATATTTATTTACCTGAAACGTTCAGTGAAGAAAATATATACATTTGCATCATCAACATATAATGTGCCAAATTAAAACAAGTGAAAACTGAATCCCAAATTCTCACCTCCTCAGTAGAAAAATCATTATAACCTATAATTATAAGAATTTTTAAGGTTATGAAAACCAATTGTATTGTATGTATAAGTGGAATTCTTCTTTGGAAAAGGATCATACTTAAAAGGAAAAACTTCATTAAACATGTTAAACCACCTATGTTCCCAGTCCTCATTTCATCCAAACAGCAGTACCTCAAATAATGCTAATGCACTCCCAATTTTTCATCAGTTTTTCATTTTCAGATCATTACACTGAATCAAATGATTTAACATTGTTTTCTCACTAACATTTCATTAGTAAAACCTGTATGTGCAAAGTGATGAATTCTTGGTTGTCATAACAACTAATGATTGCTTGCTTTCCTTTTATTTCTCCTTTATAATTCAACTTGTTGGTTGCAAAATATGGCTAGTTATCAGTTATGTTGACTGTGACACATTTTGTAACTGACAGGACTCTTTATAGTAATTCTTTATTTCTCTAAACTAATGCCACAAATTCTCTTACATTTCCCACCCTTAAACAAAGTTAAGATCTTTATGAGGGGTATTCTATCACATGGAGTCATCGATGAATATTTGCATGTGTACATATGTTAAACCTCTGCTAGAATACATATTGTTTCATTCAGTCCATGCATGTGCACAGATCCATGTTAAGCGCATGTTAAATATTTTGATTTGTTCATGTATATCATTCCTTGCATGGTACGAGGGGTAATTCAAAAGTTATGATCAGAATTCTCCATTTCGCTGTTCGCTCTTTGAATCAGAACGTTCGCATATATGGTGCATATATGTACTCAAAAAGGACAAAATTTGATTGGTCAATATTTTTCAACGATGCATTTCGTGTAGCTATTTGTGAGACCCGAAAGTTCTAAATCAAATTAATTACGCAATTTTGTTTTTACACCCGCAAGCTAAATAAAAAAATGACACCATCGGAATTCTTCTTCTTTGTCATTGAATTAATAGTCAGTATACCAGATTTAATCAATAAAAGATTATACAATTAACAACAAAATTCGGAAACGAGTATGTAAGATTTGCTTTCAAACCACTAAACTTGACCTAGATAATAGCGACGTGTCTTCTTTGGTCAAATGCTCAGTTGTTTGTGGGTTTTCAACGTAACTCTATAATGTAATATGAAGATGAGTACTTTTATTCAGTTGTTGCATCGATGTTACAGTTTGTAGTGCGGTAATATTGGCATGAACGTGTTGAAAGTCGAATGGAATTGCTTTTTCCAATATGGCGACTAGTCACGTGACTTCTTCTCTTCCGGAATATACTCCCATTTTCAATCATTGTTTTCACCCCGTTAGGAGCCAATAAAATGAAAAAAAATATATGTTATATAAAGATTATTAAAAGACTAATTGTTTCTGATAGTTTGTTTTCTCCGATCGCATGGAGATTCGATCGAAAATATCGCTTGAAAAATGGGTATGAAAATCCCCATGTTAAACCAACGGGGAAAAACAAGGTAGAAAAATTTTGTTCCCCCGCGAACTGCATCATGGGAAATATTTTGACCTTATAAGGAAAAACTTTCGCGCCATCTTTATTAGAGATTCAATACTACCGAATCCGCGATTTTAAGAATTGTATAGGCAAACTCAACTTAGTTTATATATAAAATTATGCACGTTGACTATAATGTGACATATATCTTACACGAGGATCCATGGGCTGATTGAATTATTTATGCAACATGGATTGATGGCCATTTTACTCAGTTCAGCAATCTTAGTACTATATATGCATGTCTTTCAATGATTTGGAGCTTTTACAATTGGCAAAACTTACTTAACTAGTAGAAACTTAAAATCCTCATCTATTTACTTATCACAAGGTTTCGATATCATATAACACATACTTTTCTAACTCTTTAAGCCTGTTTTACACAATGTATTGCTTCTTAATTCAAGAATCTAAATGTTCTTGGTTTAACAGATAAGATATTACTTGATTACGTGAAAATATGTATGAATGAAATTAATGGATCAAAGTATCAAAGAAACACAGAACAATAATGTTAAAACTGCATGGGAATGGGGATTGTTAAAGGAAATGTTGTAGCGTATTTTTTGAGTTTTAATTCAAAATTCTGATGTTCAATTTTTAGGAGGAAAAAGATTTGTATCTTCAGAATGATATCTTAAGTTTGTTAGCGCCACCATGGTAACCCTGTGTTGCCATGGTAACAGCAAGCTTGGGTAAGCCTTACTCATCAATAACCTTAACATAATAACCCCTGGGTGCATTTCTAAGATTTTTATGCTGTACATTGGTTTTATGGTTTAATGATTATTATTATGTCACCACCAAAAGTGGTGACATATTGTTATGGTCTCCGTTTTTTTGCGACGGCGGTTGGTGGTTGGCGTCCGGCGTCTGGCGTCCGGCGTCTGGCGTCCGGCGTCCGGCGTCTGTAACAATTTCTTACAACTTCCTATAACTTAACAAATACTGTTTAGACTGACTTCAATTTTTTTCTAAATCATCTACATGTTCTCAGAAGTTCAAATATGACTTTAGATTTGACATTTGACCTTCAATGACCTTCTCAAGGTCAAAAAAGGTCAAAAAGGTCTGTTTTCAACTTGTTTCAAATTGACTAATTTTTTTTTTCAAAATCATCTACGTGTTCTCAGAAATTCAAATCTGACTTAAGATTTTACTTAAGATTTGACATTTGACCTTCAATGACCTTCTCAAGGTCAAAAAAGGTCAAAAAGGTCTGTTTTCAACTTGTTTCAAATTGACTAAATTTTTTTTCAAAATCATCTACGTGTTCTCAGAAATTCAAATCTGACTTAAGATTTTACTTAAGATTTGACATTTGACCTTCAATGACCTTCTCAATGTCAAAAAAGGTCAAAAAGGTCTATTTTCAACTTGCTTCAAATTGAATAAATTTTTTTTTCAAAATCATCTATGTGTTCTCAGAAATTCAAATCTGACTTTAGATTTGACTTAAGATTTGACATTTGACCTTCAATGACCTTCTCAAAGTCAAAAAAGGTCAAAAAGGTCTTTTTTCAACTTGCTTCAAATTGACTAAATTTTTTTTTCAAAATCATCTACATGTTCTCAGAAATTCAAATCTGACTTTAGATTTGACATTTGACCTTCAATGACCTTCTCAATGTCAAAAAAGGTCAAAAAGGTATTTTTTCATCTTGCTTCAAATTGACTAAATTTTTTTTTCAAAATCATCTACATGTTCTCAGAAATTCAAATATGACTTTAGATTTGACTTTAGATTTGACATTTGACCTTCAATGACCTTCTCAAGGTCAAAAAAGGTCAAAAAGGTCTTTTTTCAACTTGCTTCAAATTGACTTATTTTTTTTTTCAAAATCATCTACATGTTCTCAGAAATTCAAATCTGACTTTAGATTTGACATTTGACCTTAAATGACCTTCTCAAGGTCAAAAAAGGTATGTTTTCAATTTGCTTCAAATTGACCTAATTTTTTTTTCAAAATCATCTACATCTTTTCAGAAGTTCAAATTTGACTTTACAAGTTCTCAGAAGTTCAAATCTGACTTTAGATTTGACCTTTGAGCTTCAATGACCTTCTCAAGGTCAAAAAGGTCTTTTTTCAACTTGCTTCAAATTGACTAATTTTTTTTTCAAAATCATCTACATGTTCTCAGAAGTTCTTCTTAAGGTCAAAAGGTATTTTCCAACTTGCTTTAAATTGACCAAATTGTTTTAGGTGGTGACATTTTGTCATGTTAATGCCTTGTTTTAATTGATTTGAAGGCCAAGAATTTGATTTTTTGGAAATGGACCCAAAGCTAATAGAGAGCCTTTGAGGCTTTTCTTAGTTAACTGATTGCAAGCTTTTAGTTATAATTGCACACATTGGACACCTTGTATGTCGCGATATATACAAATAGATTAGCATATTGACTGGAAATGTGTAAGTTCATGTATTATTCGAACTAATTAGCATCAGTTTCTTCCTCCTAAAAATAACATTATTTCCACTAATTTAAGGCGAAATTCACAAGCAAGATATATTTGGCAAATTACAGTACATTGTTGCAGTCTTATTAATATTCAGCAGAAAATAATCATAGAATAGGGATATATTAATTAAGCTTGATTATAATTAATTAACCCCCCTTACCTACTTTGAATTTATAAACAGCAGAAAACAATGCCAACATACATGCACTATTTCCTATGCAGTCTTGTTGTCTCATATACATTGATAACTCATTAGACAATTTTATGCCTGGAATCATTACACTTAATTGTGTTTCATCACAATGTTTATGTGAATGCTAAACATCAAACACATTCTAATCAACAACACTGGCTTTTGCACTTTCTCTCTCTCTCTTGACTTTCTCATTACATTTTAATAGCTTGTAGTTGCTTGTGGAGAATAACGCAAATGGTGATAACAAGGAAATATAACTGCCTAGATTTTCCCAACACCTCATTTGTGGTTGAGGCAAGGAAGATGAGAAGTTATTCTAGTAATTAAAGGAGCTGAATGTTTGAAAGAAACAACACATCAGCTTATTTTCATTTTCTTGCTGAGTTGCATATTTCCAACCATGACATTTGCGATGATTATTTTGAAAATGTTTCATTTGTTAAGACATGTTGATTCAGTGTCATCTTTCAAGTGAACAGCTTGCTAAATAGGTGTCATCTATTATGACATGCTAAATAGGTGTCATCTATTATGACATGCTAAATAGGTGTCATCTATTATGACATGCTAAATAAGTGTCATCTATTATAACTTGTTGAATAGGTGTCATCTATTATGACATGCTAAATAGGTGTCATCTATTATGACATGCTAAATAGGTGTCATCTATTATGACATGCTAAATAGGTGTCATCTGTTATGACATGCTAAATAGGTGTCATCTATAATAACTTGTTGAATAGGTGTCATCTATTATGACTTGTTGAATAGGTGTCATCTATTATGACATGGTAAATAGGTGTCATCTATTATAACTTGTTGAATAGGTGTCATCTATTATGACTTGTTGAATAGGTGTCATATATTATTAATATTTTTGATCAAATCTTCAACAAAAACCTCCCAAAATATCAGCTTCTTATACAGACCAATAACAGATATCTTCCAAATTCACATAACATTGTGACTCGATCAACAGACTTTCTATATCATCTGGCTTTGGCCATGTTTAACATGGTATGTTATCCTCTGCTTGCTGCTTCACTTTGCACATACGGTACAATGTTTTGAAAATGATTTCATTCAGCTGAGATTAATTATGAGGAATGGGTTTGAATGAAATACATGTACATGGCTTATGAAAGGACAACATTTGCATATCATTATAGTTTTGTAAATTCAACTAATATAAATAATTAAATATATTTTTCAAATTTCTACTAATTCCATCTTAAAATTGTGAATGATATGCAGGTCTCATTTGTCAAATGTTTTGTGGGTCATGATTTAGGATTTTCCACATATATTACAATTGAATTTTGTGGTCTAAAAAGTAGATTCTCAGTATTAGATAATGCGGGTAATGTTATAATATATACTGAACTGTGAAATAATAATTGGAATCCAATTTTTCAGGATGAAGCTATTGAAACAGCTCTAAAAGAATATGGCTTAACATAATCAATGCTGGATTGTGTGCAATATTTAAAAATAATATATACACAACTTCATCATGACATACATTTGACAGAGATAACACAATCATTTGGTTTGATTTGTTATGTATACCTTTCAGCAGTTCATAATTGTTCCATATTTGGTAATATAGACACTGCTATACTATGTTCCACTCACAATATTGTTCATTATAGTTTTAATTGAAAAAGTCTCAACAAATTTGAAGAGATTGTGCAATATCCCAAATCATTCATTGAGTTATTTACTGTCAAGGGTATGGTGTGGACCTCAACTTGTGTTGAACTACATATGTATGATGTCAGTTAGTTGGATCTGTATATTTAATAGTACATGCATGTACTGTTAGTGCTTCAGGGGCACTGCATTGGATCTTGAATGAAGGTCCAAACTGAAATTAAAATAATTGCATCACCAGATACATGATGTAGTTGAAAATATTAAGTGCTTTAGCAATTCCTTTAAAATCTAATGACATGCCCATTCTATTTATTACATGTAATATTTAAAGGAACATAGGATGACTTTATTCACATGTTTAAAAAAGCTAACATTAAAATCGATGCACCATTCAAGATTATTTCAACATCCAAGACAGTCAAGCAAATAAATCCTCCATAATATCTCTGAATGCCAATAGTTTTATTTCTTTTCCAAATTAGATAAAAGAGGCATTGATTATTCATTTATAAATGTTTCTGAAAATCTCTAAATGATTCTATGTTCCTTGAAATAACCATGATTTACAATAATTCATGGTTGACATTTCAAACTCTAAATTTCCTAAACTTCAAAATGAGTCCTTTATTCCACATACTGGTATTCAATTTAATAATCAGTTGTCAAATTGTAATTGTATAAAACAAACTGCTGGTAGAAATGAAACGAGGCATAAATTCAACATCATGTAATCTCAGCCAATTCTTGCTCAATCATTCAAAGGCCTTCAACATTATATCAGTTTATCAGTTGATATGTTATTATCTTGCGCTTGTATACAGTCAAGAATAAAGGCCATTAATTATTTCCAGGTGTGAAAATGATAATCAAGATTTTATTTGTTTATAAAACTATTTTTGCTGTTGTTTATTTGATGTGGTTATTAATGGTGCTGTATATAATTGTGTTCAGTTATGTGATTAAACCTGTAACTAAGATGTTACCAAAATTCATATGTGCATACAATGCCCTATATGGTCATACTTTATATAATTATGCATATCTGGAAAATATGAATAAATGCTGTTTTCTCATATGCAATTTATAGTTACACTTTGAACTACCAATGATCACCTCTTACATTACATGTATCATACTTTGCTTTAAAGGTATGATCACATTGGCATTTTATACACATTCACTGCCATTTACAAGAGAATGCTCCCTATTTAATATGTTTTATTACTATTCGTAGGAGGAGACTCCCCAGGGATTTTTCGAAGACCATGGTCTTGGCTAGTCAATGAAAGAAACAGACAGTTTTACATTAGTAACAGAGGCTTTGTCATCAAATATAAAGTTACACATCAGAATTCCAAATATGGTCATATATTGTGAGAATCAACGATGTTATGCCAACACAGCTAATAAAGGGAATGCCTGGGTTAAAGGAAATGATATTTTAGTAGAGATATTCTCCGGTGATCTCCCAATGCTATAATGACTCTAGAAAGGGGATTATATTGAATAACAGTGAAAATGCCAAATATATGTCAAAAGCGTTTAGTATTATTGTTTGTGGACACTCTGTAGTTTGTATGTTTTATATTAGAATGATGCAGCCTTTCGTTTAGAACTTACAGTATTTCTGGCATCTTGTTTCATTTTATCTCAACTTATTTTGCCAAATATATTAACTAAGGCATGATACAACTGACTGCGAATATGTGGATATTATTCATATATACTGTATATAAAGGACTATAGATAATCATGGCATTAGATTAGAATGGTTTAAATACAGATCTACAGTATTCTGTCATTCTCTCTTTCTTTGTCAAGCAATTTATATAAACCAGAGAATATATTAGTAACTATGTTATAATGCAAGCTCTTCCAATAAAATTGTTCAATTTTGTTATCCACTAATTTAGTGTCACGTTATGAAGAAATCCAATATATTCATGTAGTATTCAATCCAAAAATGTAATATGATTTCATGTTGTATGATATACTACCAGCGTCCTAAAATGTGTTTGGAGTGTTAATTCACAATGTATATAATTTATTGTGATTGCTATAAACTGTAATTATAATAGAGAGCATGGCCATCATCAGATTTTGGTTGTCCTTATAAGAGTGTGGGGTATATCTAGTATTTAAAGGCATGTAAATGTCAGTCGTATCCTTGTCCCATGTCATATCAAGACTATATTCCAAGCTTAATTATTGACTTCATAATGTCCTGGGGGAAATTTAGTGAATTTGTTTTTTGCATGCTTTTATTTTTTTATTCATTTAATATGAGTGTTTTATTTGTAACCTGGACAACAGTGTGGTAATAATATGACTGTTCATATTCTGTTGTCCTGGTTACTCTTGTATATTGTAGATGGCTTTTACTTATGCTTTTTATCTTCCGAAAACCATTGTCATTTCTGATTTCTTCGAGCTAAATGTATTCACATTTAATGTGATCACATAAACCAAGTGTTGGGAGATACATGTTTCACTGTACCTATGTTCTAGTACCTTTTGACAAAAAAATCTTGTGCTAATATGGTTATTTATTCAGTCAGTGTACTTTACCTTGATATGGGAAAATTTGAGTACAGTATGTTGAAAATGACAATGATTTTAAACCTGTCATCGTTCAAATATGGGGTTACAGAATTATTAAAGATGTTTTCATGGATTAACTGATTCTATTACAGATATATCTAAATTCATTGTCAAAAATGTTCTCTTCTCAATAATGAATTCTACTGAGATTTTGGGGCATTTGTTTTTTGGTGTTGTGTTACTGAGTGCTTTGAGGTTGCATGCAAAGTGAACTGTAACATTTACTTAAATACATTTTCCGAACATATCATCAATACTTTCAATATTTAATTATGTAAGGAAAATGAATTAAGATAAGAATTATCATGACAAATTGATTTTCCCTATATCCCATATAATAATTTTGCTCAAAATATTTTAATCTCCTTCTACTTCACTATATGATGATCAACTTAACTTACTTACATTGTTGGAATTTACTCTTGAATTCCAAGTGATACACACGTTATTGTCAGAGATATCTAATAACATGGCTTTAACTTTGACGAATTTTATTCAATTTATACAATTTAAAATGGATGCTCTGGTTTTCAAGAGGTTAAATTCAGGATCTTATTACCTCTATTTTCAGTTGTCATGAAGCATGTGCAATGGATTTGGATAATCATTTTTGAAGGAACATTTTTTAATTGACACATATACAAACTTAAAACAAGTCTAAGAGAGAGAAAAGCTATTTTAAAATGACATAATTTCTGTAACACATCGCTTGTTGTTTAATAAGAATAATTAGTTTTATAGATAGCATAACACAGCATCCTATATGAATTCAGCTTTACATTAGATTTTTTCACTTTTGTAAAAGTAGTAGCTTATCAATGATATTGCACATGTTGTCGTATTGATACAAGGGCGTTACAATACCCGGGAATTTATCGGTTCGTCCAGTACTTGTTTGTGATAGCGCCCTCTGTAGGTCACTGTGCTTATAGCCTACAGTAATACTAATTATATTGGATAATCACATTTATGCGTGCGCGCGCAGCTCATCCAATGAACGAAACGCCACTTCCCGCTGAAATCACCGGGTATTGATCTTTCCCTTGATTGATATAGAATATGTTCTGGTAACTTCACAAAACTTCAACATATTTGAAGTTTTGTCTACAGCCCCAGAAAGCAGGCTCGATTAGTATGGAGTCTGTACTTAAATGGAGTTGATTGTTGCTTTTCTTGGGTATGTGCATTGGACTGAGTAATTTCACATACATGTTAATGATAAATTACCAGAACATTTTCTCAAGTTGTTGTTTCTTGTTGTTTAATGGTAGCCATGGTGATGTAATCTTCTAGAACATTTTAGATTGTCATTTTCTACATTTTATTCCATCTCTTTCTGTCTAACATTCTGACTACATATGTTACTTCTAAAGAATATGGCCACCGTGTTATTTTCTGGGCTGTTGGAAGGTGTTCAGGAATGCAGTGAGTCAGTTAAAATACCTCTGAATATTTGCAAAATAATTTGTTAGATAGATTTTGGAAAGAATAGCATTATTGCCTAATTTGATTCAAAACTGACTTTGGCTCAGATTCTTGCAATACTCCTGATGTAAGTCAAAATGATGTCTGTAAATAGATCATTACAAAGTACACCACCTTGTTGAGCACCTTCTGACAGCTGAGAGTATGTTGTTTCCTGCATGATTGTCCTTCCATCATGAGTGTAGTGTTGCTTAATTTTCTATCTTTCCCTCCAGGAATCCGAAGAACCAAAAACTCTACTGGAAGAAATGGGCATTTACACTTGATCCAATTTCCCATAATGCAATTCAAAAAGCAGACGTACATTTGGTCCATTTTCCCAGAATGCAATTCTAAAGCAGACATTCGCTTCATATGTTAAAGAAATTAAAAAAATATGTTCAAATTATGGAGCTATTTGATTGGTTGTGGACTACCTGTGATGCTATTATCTGATCAAAATGGATACTATGTATTAAAATTACAAACTAGTAGACTGTCAATTTTATTCAAGATTAAACAGATTTAATAACATTCCTATAAAAACAATGATATCTGACTCAATAAGGCTTTGTACATGTTGTTCTACTTTAAGCATGTATGTCGTATCTTAAACTACTAGAGACTTGAAAATATGTACTTGTCACATCTGCCTAATGTCATGATATGTATGACTGTATTCGAATGCTAGGTCTCTCTATTGGGAATCAACTGTCATGTTAGTAATGCTAACAAATCATACATATGGGGAAGAATCAACAGTGGACAGGAGAATGTAAGGAACGCTTAAACTTTGAATTCTCCTGATATCTGATAGATTAGCATGATTATAATGACAATTATTTTCCCAGATTAAAATGTAACTTTACATTATATGCAGTAAATAATGAATATAATTAATTTCATGAAAAGGTTTACCATGTAAAATGTGATGGTTTTGTTGTGCATTTCCACAAAATATGAGAAAAATGTAAGAGATGACCTTGACAGACAATTATATCAATTAATCTATTACCAGTTATATATATGTTCAGCTGACTATGCTTCATTCTTCCAATTTGTTTAGAAACACTGAGACATGCTTCAATACATTTCTTAATCTTTAAAGCTCATGCTATTTCTCTTCATTATATATTGTGTTGAAAAGCATGACAGACTATATATCTTTATGCGATAAGTATTTTGTGAAACAGCTTATAATATTTGTGTAAACTACCTATTAGCTTGATCACTGCCATAAATACAGCCCATAATCTACATGGTGAAGCTTTTGCTACCAAATAGAAGATAAGGATTATCCCATATTTGTTTCCCATAGTTACAATGACATTTTCATTGGCTCCCTTTCATTGTTTAAATTGAATTAATGAGAACCTTTACAAATCGGGGCGCTATGTGCTTACTTTTCATTTATTTTGAATAAAAAATTTGCAGTAAAACATGTGTTAGTGAACACTTCTCTCTCGTGAATACCTGTGTTTAGTGAACACCACTTCAAAACATATTTTACATTGACTTATGTATAAAATCCCCTCTGTAGTGAACACCTAACTACAAAGAACAATTTTTTGTGGCTCCATAGGTGTTCACTTTATACAGGTTTTACTGTACGATGAATGTTGGACTGTACAATAAACCTAGTACCTAGTTAAGTTATAGAGAGCTGACCGGCTTGCTTATTTACTGCAATAATTTCCTTGTTTACTGCATAGAAGTTTTACATTTGTCATGGCAACCAAAGGTCATGTGATTATTTTAACCAATAGCATTCAATGAATTTGATGACTGTTTGATATCTATCAGTATCAGTGTGGCTATTGATGCTGGAGGTTGAACTTCAAATGTAAAAGTTCTAGTTTTAATACGAGTGTATAGATGTCACTAGTCATAAACTTATTGAACAAAACAGATGAACCTTTGAATTCCATGGTCTTCAGATAGCTGTATTATATTCTTGTATTATTATGATGAAAGTCAGCTGGCCATGCTTATCTATGCCTAAATATTGACTTATTAACAATGTTTTAGTTCTTTCAAAATCTGTTAATACTTATAAGGTACTCAACTTCTAATTCTCACATCAAAAAACAATGTTATAAAGAGCAGTTACCTCATTGATCTTGGGACTTTTTATTATCTTGCTTTCTTGGTTAAAAATTTGATATATTTGCATTAATATAGAAAAATCCCATAATGGTTCATTCATAAAGACAGTATGTTGTAGGTTACTATGAATTTCTTTTTGTGGGGGGGGGTAAGTACATTACTGACATTAGTAAGGTAATTGAGGTTGAGTACCCAAAGTGAGACATCAAGAGAGTGTTTGTTATTAATGCATGGATCAGGTACTCTTAACACTAAGATGTCCACTCTCTCAAGTTTCCATATCAAATGCACCTGTTTCTTTCTTTACATGGAAAGGCATGACCTACAGTACAGTCAGTCAGACTGACAGACACTATAATTGTTCATGCATGGGTATAAGTGATATGTTCTTGTGGAAATTAAATGTTACGTTTAACACATCGGGAGTGGCTGGAATAAGGCTGTATAGAAAGTAAGCACATCACATAGATATTACACATTCATATCAATGGATATGCTTACCATATGTAATTATAATACTAGTTCTAACAATCCACCTTGAATAATTTGACTTAGCTAAGATGCAGTAAGACTTCTCTACTTTGTAACTGCCATTCATGTACTATTTGAATGTATTTGCAAGTTTATGGGGACATAAATTTCTTTCAGGAACATATCTCTTTTCAGGCACGTCCTATCCTAGCAAGACCATGGTTTTCAAACTCTCTGTTGTCTCATATAATAAATACGTCATGTAAAACACATTAAATACTCTGAAATTCTCATTTGTATGAAATATAAAACATGTTATATTCTTTGTAAATGTCATATTGTTCATGCATATTTCATGGCTCTCTTAATACAGACTGCCACTTGTAGGCATGAATTAAGCTGGGACAGAATGACATCATAATTATCATGTTCTCTTTGTTAATTATATATATCATGTTCAACAAATTGAAATGTGCAAATATTTGTATATGCCAGTAGAATATCTGTTTCTCAAATTGAAATAAGCAGTAAGGTCTCAATTGCTTTAATTTGATGACTGTTTTAATTTGGTGGATTGATAAAAACCACAAAATTAAGTCTCCAATCATTTTTAAAATCCCTGGAAATCCCTGGTAATTTTTGTCTTGTGACTTTACCAAAGACATTTTGGTAGTTTATCGTTTATATTTATATAGTTTATCGTGTATGATAAAACTTCTGAATAAACCGATGCAAATCTGGAACAATATGGATAAAATTTTAATTTTAAACTTTTTCCAAATATCTGCAGAGTCACTCCTGGTTCAGATTTGATAAAATTGCATTATCAGTGGTAAGCTGTGAAGTGAGTTATGCAATTGGTGATGATCAGTATGGTAATTGATATTTCCATCTTTGCACTACGTAAATCTCCAATATCTGCATTTTACTGATCCATTAAAAATTTGCCCTCTACTAAATTAAATAGCACCAAATTAAAGCAATTTACAGTAACTCACAGTCCTGATATATGCCATCTATGATGAGGTGAACCTCTACAATTTACTAAGACCAAATCTCCATGAATTGATGTTGTCACAGGACTATGGGTTAAACATGGGAAACCGCTTTGATGTTAAATTATTTAGCAATCAATTTATCCAGTTATAATCCAAGCTGTTATGAAATATGTGCTGTTGTTGTACTTCTCACAAAGATCAGCATTCCAATTGTGAAATGAGTTCATTGTCTTGCATCAAGCCCCCTCCCCCCCTCCATGTGTCCTCATTTGACAGGTGAGAGGGAGACATGTGACTTGATGCTAGAATAATGTGTTCCTTAGTGCACAAAGTAAAAATTAATATGGTAAATTGTAACTAATAATACAGCTTTTATTAATAAATATGTAAAATTTACTCAGTATGTGAGAAAACATAAATGTGTCATATTTGTGGTGTAGATATGTAGGTGAAATTGAATAAAACAAAGGATGTAAATAAAATCAAAAGTCTTTGTTATTTAGAACTCTGATGTAGGAACTGTGTTATGGAATATATCTCATTTTACAGGGTGTCAAATAAACACGTTCTCCCCTCTTTAATTTAATTTTAGATTTAACATCCACATAATGTTGCATAACTTTTTTGTCTGTATGATATCTGAATTGTTCTTTGGCATACCAAACTAGGCTTCATGGAGCAACTCCACAAGAAAGGAGCATGAAGGTTATCGCAAACAATTTCAAACGATTCTAACTTGAATTATGAATATTTTCTGATCATGAACATGGGTGTATCTTTTAGATCCATTCATTATCTTCAAGAAAAGTATATATAATGATAATTTAGTTAATCAGACCTAAGTGATATTGAAGGGGCAATGGACCAATCAACATACTTTTTCAAAACTGTTGACCTAATTCTCACCAAAAATGCAACCTATTATTATATTGTTGAATGCATAATTAGAATGTGCTTTGAGACATGTTCGATTTCCTAAAAGGAAAATTTGATTGCTCCAGGGACTTTAAAGATATTCTATTTGGATGACCAAAATAAACTGAAACCAATGGATAGCATGAGATTTTTCAATGGAGAAATAACATGGGGAACACTTATCTTAATGCAATTAAGTTTTTCTTTCAAGAACTATTTGATACATCAAAATAAAGAATAGTAATGCATTAAACATTGTAAAAAATGATTGCACTTTTGGTGAAAATGGGGTCAACCTCTTCAAAATGGGGTCAAAAAGTGTGTTGATGGGTTAATTGCTAGTTAAATATCTCCGAGTTTGTTTGAATTTATTATTACTGTGCATAATTTTCTTTGAGATAATGAATTGATCTAAAAGATAAACTTGTCGTCATTGTCAGAAAAATAGTCATAATCCAAGATATAACCTTCTGAAATTGTTTGCGATAACCCACGTGCTCCTTTCAGATGGTAAGCTCAACTAGATGCACTTTTAAGCTCAAAAGTTCATACTTTTGAAATGAAATCAAGAAGGGGGCATATTTGTTTGAAACCCTGTAGTAATGGCAAGAAGTAGGTTTAGCTAAATGTAAGTCATTTATTTACAAGTAACAATTTGAGTTACCACTGCTATCCCCTGAACTAAGTTCATGTTAGGATATAAAGAAACTTATCCAAAACTGTTTTCTGGTGTGTCATGCAGAAATATGTGGACCATATTTGAATTATGGCCATTAGGACCTACCTGTGAACGTTTTTAAAATGGCTGCTCAATATAGAGGAGTTGCTATATATATGGATAAAAGGTGGCAGTAGTAGTTTTGGTTGGACTGGAATATAGTGTACCATTCCATTATGCGTGAGCTCTTGTAAGCACCCACTTCACAAAGAACACATTTTATGAAAAATTCAAAGTAAACTATGTCTGTGTGTGAACGTTATGAGTGATGGTCTTTTTCGTCATTCCCAATAAAATTTGCCATTTTACAAAGTTTTACAGGCTAATTTATCAGTAATGCAAAAAACTTTTTCTAAAACAATGGCTTGTAACATTTTGGACACCCAGTGAGTCGAAGGTGAAGGTCATAAGTCGAACGGTTCTTTATAACATTATTCCGATTCGCAAAAATAATAATTACGTAGCTGCTTGCACAAAAAAAACATTCCCGCGTGCGTAATAAAATCTGTTGGTAAATTATCTTTATCCGATTTACTAAGCTATAATTATTGTTGCCGGGATACATTATAAGGCACTGATAAACACAACCAAAAGATAAATAATTGATACGTACTCGGCATCGTATATTCATTGAAAAACTTATTACTGAAATGGACATCAAAATGCAATTAACGAACTCATCTGGAACAAAAGAGGACTTAATTAGAAATATTGAAAATTAATTTTCACAATAACCACGGTCTATCACGCACCCTTTGGATTCTACCATTGGGAAGCTAGAGTTAAAGTTTAATTCGATAACAACTTGAACTACTGGTTGACATGATGATCTGACTTGATAAAACTGAATTATAGAGGCACGAGAATAGGCCACTCAACTTCGTGAACGCAAGTAGCCACGAAAATAGGCCATTTGACTTCGTGAACGCTTAGCCATGCGAATAGGCTACTTGACATCGTGAACGCAGGTGGCACAAGTCGCTTTTTATGGACAGACATTACGCAAAATGACATTGTAGGATTATTAATTAGACTGAACTTCATATACTTTGTTTCGAACATGTCGAAGATGTAGTCAGTAGTCTCGTTGTGATAGTTGTACCTGAGAAATCTGCGACAAAGGAATATATTGAACGATGTCCTCGTGGGATTTAACCCTATTCATGGTTTTTATCAGCTCCTTTTGGCAAGGTATGTATTGTTGGTGCCGTTACTTGGGAATCTGAACAAAATTAGCATACAGTAGGAGAATCATCATTGACACCTGAAACTAATGGCAAAAACAATGATCGAGTTATTTATATTTAATATTTCAATCAATTGATTAATTTGACGATACAAAATACGCAGTAAATACGCCATAAATGTTTTGAAATACCTTCGAATAACCAATTATATTAAGACACCGATATGGAGAAAACGCATAGTTTATGTTTTCTAAACGATTTCCAACCTATAAATTACAAACTTTAGATAAGCAGCTAGCTCTCGGATAAAAGGAACAATGGAAAACATTCATCTTACTATACAAGCGTCTGTTGCAGTAATTGTTAAACGTAACTCGAACACTAAGTCTAACAATGAATCAAAAGTAAAATAACCTACATAGGCAAAAGTTAATGTAGTTAAGAAATTGATCAAATATTGAATGATAAGAAGTTTGTTTAAAATGGCGTAATTTTTTTTAGTTTTTGGGCCCCACATTTTGTAGGCCCTTGTGGGCATAATTTGGTCTTTTTAGGCCTTTTATGGGCAATTTATCAAACAAGGGACTTTAATTTTTCAAAATTTGTGCCCAATTTTGGTTTTGGGTCGGGAATTTTTTTCCAGACTAAAAATTTGCCCTCCCCCTTGTTATTAAGTTTTTGGCTCCGCCACTGACTTCAAGTTGTATGCTTAATAAAACAGATTCTTTATAATAATACAGTAAACCTGTCAAATCCGAACGTCACTCGAACCAGCCAAAAGTTATCGGATTAACATGGGTGTTCGCATTTCTTTTTTATATGAGAGAACACATTTATTTGGAACTGAGAAAAAGTGTTTTGATTTTAGAAATATCGGTTATCATATCCATGTCTGAAGGTCTCCACTGTTTGAGTTTCAACTTGCTACAGGGCGTTTTACAAGTTATTGCTGCATTGCCATGGGAACAGATATTGGGAACAATCTGTTCAAACTTATGAAATCTCATGCGGATCAGTTTTCTATCATCCATTATCAAAGTATGAGGCAATGTACATATTCTTAACAAAATATATTTTTGAACTTGCAGCACATTCAATTTCTTTTGCAATATCGAGTTGACCTACAGTATTCCTTATAATCTCAAATATACTATAATATCTCCCAAAAAATCCATGATATGTTATAAATTGGTGAAATGCTACTCTTCAGGGTCTTGATAGATTGTTGCTTTAGAGAAATAATCTAAACAATGTCAAAGTCAATAAATTCATATTTTTGCAATAATATTGACATACATTTGCATTAATAATCAAAATTATGAACATAGCAACAGACGAAGAATAGAAAATTGACTTGTTTTGTATATTCTAGGTCACGATTCTAAATATCTGATCATTTTGTCTTGATCATCTTGGCACGTTATACCGATACTTGTTACTTCAAAGTGCAGCGCAATGCCACGGTTGATGTTCGAATTTATGATATTATTTACGTCCATTAAAGTTTTCTGCTTAATAATTATGTAAGTCTCTAGTTCAGGGTTCGACCAACCTCCGCGTAAATCATTTCGTAATGTTGCACATCAAAAGCGAACATTCCCATATTCAATTATCTTGCCTTGTTGGCTTGTTATTAAGAAAACAAATGCGATAGATACAGGGCAAGATAGCGATAAAATATTAAAGTAACAAAGCAGGAAAAAATTACTAATGATAACAAAGAAGGTTAAACGGTTATTACATCTATCTTATCTCATTCAATTTGTAATGTATGAATGATACGTTGAATGTTTTTTTTTAGTTTCACCCGATCACGCGTTTCTTTATGGAAATCACTTTATTATCTATGATTGCTTCTTTTTATTTGATTCCCCTTTTCAACGTATTTTTTAAGTATTATCTCATCTGATAGAAAATGAGTGAGAAACAGAACTTTGGTGGAAAGAGAGGAAGTACATGAAAATTCAAGAAGAATCACATTTATTGATGTACATGAGTTGCAATTCCATGCTCTGAAGATAACATAATTCTGTAAAATTGAGGATTTTGCGTATTTCAACAAGAATAATTTTAAACTACAAAAATAAATATTCCGTTGACAGTTCCTTCCGTGAGTAGATAACATCGACTGAATAAAATGGTTGACGTTCGAAATGTTTTTGTTTCAGGAGTACTCTCCAGTAACATAGTTTACATGTCTCAGTTATATGTCCATGTCGGGGCCAAGTTACCAATCTCCAATGCCGTTCTTGGCACCCACTATGCTCAAAGTCCCTCAGAATGCGGGATGCGTTGCTTGCATGATGAAGACTGTTTATCATTCGCGCACAATAACATTGACAAGGAGTGTAGAATGTATGGAGAGTATAAGGATGTGAGCAACGTGCCAGCCAATGAATGGACTTATTTTGCACGGAAACAACTGATTGCAAAAACGGGTAGGAATTCCACTTGGTAGTTTTGGTTAAATTCATTTGTTAATGTTTTTGTCAAATCATGTAGGCTATGTTTCAAGCATTTTAAAATATCAGCATATTTACTATGGCGATGTTTACAATCAAACCCTCTGATATCATTAACAGCCCTTAGCCCATTGTGTGCTAATTTCATGTATTTCATGTATTTTGCAAATGAACAATAACTGTTCCTTTATTCAATCGCACAGTCACCTCATTTTAATTATACACACATGCAATCATCGTTGCATCCATTAGCGTGAGCATATGTAAATTATAGCATGTAAATTATTAAAATTCTATTTATTCCATGATAACATGTTTCCCTGGGAAATTAACAGGGAATAGATTATTATTCAACAAACCCCGTACCAGATCCCGTATCAGCCAAAATCCCATATCAGATCCCGTATCAGCCAAAATCCCATATCAGATCCCGTATCAGCCAAAATCCCGCACCAGATCCCGCCTCCTCCGTATAGAGCATATCAGAAAATATTTTCAGAACTTAAAAATAAATGAGTTTCAAAAAATATAAGATGGAATTGATAGGTTATTGATGGCCGTGATGGAATATGAATTTTTCATTGAAAATATAAGATATTGACCTCGGAAAATATCACATTAACACTCGGGCTATCGCCCTCGGTCAATATGATATTTTCCTTGACCATGCACGTATTCTCATACAGTCAAGTGCGTTATACGTTTATATTCAATACTATGAAATTCATCGATGGATCACTCTTCTCTTCAGATTCTGGGCCAAGGGAGTTCGTTAGAATGTGCTATTTCACCAACTGGGCCCAATACAGCTCACCACCTTTCACAAAGGACGATATTGATGCCATCGACCCCTTCATGTGCTCACATATTATATACGCCTTCGCTAACCTGAAGGACAATGAACTGTTGGAGTACGAATGGAACGACCAAGAATCGTACGTTTGATGAATCAGTCATTCAATACCTATTCAAAATGTTTTTAAGTTGGTAACATAGTTGAACATTTACTACCTCAAATTTAAAACAGAAAAAACTATCGAGAAACTGGAAAAGTGATAACTTCAGTTATGCATGATTTCCGAAATAATATTTTACCTTCAACCAAATTCATTTCTAAGTGATTACTGTTATGTCACAGACGCCAAACAGTCGCCTTGAAGTGAATAGTACAAATCTAGGGTTGTTTTTCCAACAATCACTCGTCAGAATATCAAAAATAGGACCACTGTCACGATCCTCTTCACATTTAACACGCACTTTGAACAAAAACCATATAAATGTTTTACTCTAAATAGAACAACTACACGGGTGATCAAAGGCAAGAGAAGTCATGCACATGGAGACAAATTGCATGCCTCCAAATGTCGATAGTAATAAAAAACGAAGTTTACTTTAGAATTGTTAAATTCTTAAGGTCCCTCCATGAAAGCAATGTCGACTTTCCTTTTGATTTCATCTGTGTCTCTCCACATTATAAACTGTTCATTTGCTTGCCTTTCTATTTAACTTTTCGAAAATTAAAACTCTCATTTTATGAAATGATCATTAAACATTTAACGTTATTAACGCCACAACTATATTATGGACACGGTTGCTTATCACCGTACCTCGCATCAGTTTGGTTTTTCTTTTCAGATACTCTAAGATTAATGCTCTGAAGTCAAGCAACGCTAAATTGAAGACACTTTTATCTGTGGGCGGAGCGAGTAATGGCGAAGCGCCCTTAAATAGCACGCTCTCGTCAGAAGAAAATATGAGACATTTTGTCAATCAGTCCATTGCCTTCATAATAGAAAACGGATTTGATGGAATAAATTTAGAGTTTAGTGGAAAACGCAACAAAGAGAAGTTCGCAGATTTGGTCACGGTAAGAATCCAATTTGGTGAAGACAATGACAATTGACTAGATGCGAATAGAAACAATCTTGATTTGCGTCATTAAATATTCAAAATCCAGTCAAAGTGATGTCATATTTGAAATCTACATGTAAAACTACGTCTAGAAATATGGTTTCGAAAATTGTTTATCAACTTTGAAAATTTAATTTTTTTTGAAAATGTGACTTCTAGCTCGGGTTGATTCCTCATAGACCCCATGTTACAAAATCACAAAAAGTTAAATATCTTTTCTTGTATTGGACATATAACATTTTCTTTTACTGGACATATTTTAATTTGCATAACTTTTAGATACATAAGGGTAATATAAAAATTGAACCACTAAAACAGATGTTATTTAAGTTAAAGGGAACTTTCTACTATACCCGCCATGTTATCTGACCCGAACGAGCCACCTGGTGGCGAAACTGGTAACTACCTACTCGCATCTGCGTTATTAACAATGAGATTATATATGTATGTGTAGTCTATTTCCCTTGTGATGGTCGGGACATGGTCAAAACCCAGGAATTATATGATGAACTAGAGCAAAATGTAGCATCTATTAATGATGGTTATAACATCCTTATAATGGGTGACTTTAATGGTAAGATTCCTGGTTTTAGAAATGACGGACATCATAGCCCAAATGGTGACCTGTTAAAACTATTTAGTGAAGTGTCAGACTTATCTATTCTTAACTGCTCAGATAACTGTGAAGGTACAATTACTTGGACACGCAATGAACAACTATCTACGATCGATTATGTTTTAGCCAATGACCATTTTCAGCAATCCCACTTTGTAAATATGATTATTGATGAACATAAAGAACTCTCAGTTGGTAGTGATCACAATATCATAACTATAAATAGTAAGTTTGTCCCTGTTTACAAACCTGACTCAGAGGCCCCTTCTTCAAATGATAATATTGCCTATACCAAATGGAATTTTAATGACCAAACTGACTGGGGGATGTTTAAGTCAGAATTGAGTTCTGAATATAAAAATTGGTCAATTGATGGGTTAAATGTTGAAGAGATTTGGAACTGTTTTAAGGTTAAAGTAATAAATGTTGGTAACAAAAGCAATTGGTATGAAGAAAGTTTCTAAAAATAGCAGAGATTTTTGGGATTCTGAATTGAAGCAATTGATTAAAAATAGGAAAGAGGCCAGCCGTTTTCATAGAATTTGGCAAAAGTCAAAATCAGCGGACCCAACTGTTATTAAGGAACTTTGGGAGATTTATCAAGATCTTAAACATCAAGTTGCAACAAAAATTAAAGAAAACCATATAAAGAATCACATTAGAATAATTACCAACAACGCCCGTAATAAGTCGAAATCTTCAAAAAGTTATTGGAAAGCGCTGAAAAAATACAAAGAGCAATTTCCCCATTAGAATGAAAGACCCAAATGACCCCAACCATATTATATGTGACCCAAAAGAAGTTAACGAAACACTTAAAGAATATTGGAAAAATGTTGGTCCTAAAAGTAAAAACCCTGAAACCCTCCCAAATCAAGCTTCAGACACCTTCAATAATATTGAGCTTGATAACATTGTAAGTGATAGAGCACTCAGTCATATTACTTTTGATCTAGCACGTTTATCAAAACATATATCTGGTCTTTCAAATTGAAAGGCAGTCGGTATAGATCAAATTCCCAATGAATTCTTGAAAAATGGTAAAGAAGTTCTATCGCAGCCTATTTTAGATCTTTTCAATGCTATCAGAATGTTTGAAAAAATTCCATTTGATTGGCAACAAGGTATTGTCAAACCCCTCCATAAGGAAGGTGATCCAGAAGTTTTCAATAATTATCGTGGAATAACGATTACATTCAATATGTATAAATTATTCTCGAGTCTGTTGGAAAACCAGATAATGGACTTTCTTCGTGAAAACAATCTTTTAGGTGACCTTCAAGGCGCATTTCAAAAAGGCAAAAGATTAGAAAATCATATCTTTTCCCTTAAAGGACTATGTAGCCTTCGTAAAGATAAGAAACTCAAATCCTATTTAGCTTTTATTGACATTTCTAAGGCATTTGACGTTTTAGATCGTGATTTGCTATTTCTAAAACTTTGGGAAAAGGGAATCCAAGGTAAAACTTGGAGGATTTTGAAATCACTATACTCTAACACTTCAAACAAGGTCATCTTTGGACAATATGAAACTGACTGGTTTGACTCCTCATCTGGAGTGAAGCAAGGTTGTATTCTATCCCCGACCCTTTTTTCCATAGTAATGACAGACCTTGAAGACAGTTTAAGAATGTCCAGTTTTGGTCTGCCCTTTGAAGATAAAAAAATCCCCTGTCTTCTTTATGCCGATGACATTGTGTTAATGGGTCAATCTGAGAAAGAACTCCAGTCAATGTTAACAATCACTAATAATTTTGGACTTAAGTGGGGATTTCAGTTCAGTGACAAAAAGTCTAAGATAATGATAATAGGGAAAAGACTTGATTCGGAAAAGGTATGGTCATTAGGGAATTTGAGACTGCCAGAGGTAAATGAGTACAAATATCTTGGAGTAATGTTCAATAGTTGTCTCAAAGAAACTGCACATCTGAAATATTTATATGAAAAGGCCAGGAAAATGAAAAATTATTTAAGTTCTACTTTAACCAAACATTGTAATGTCAAGCGCATTGAATTTGGAAGTACGATTTACAACTCTATGATGGCACCTGCTATCCTGCATGGATGCCCGACCTGGGTACTCCCAAAGTCAAGCCTTGCCAAAATTACCTCATTTCAATATGGTGCCGCCCAAGCCATTTTTCAAATTAAAAGTAAACCCGCCAGTGAATCTATATTTGGGGATTTAGGCTGGAAACCGATAGCAGAGGTGATTGAAAAAAGACAAATTGACTATTTGAACTACCTAAATTTTAATGTACCAACTACATCCCTCCCTCATAAAATCCTATAGAATTTGCTAAAATTATTAAAAGTCGGCAAAGAATCATATTGGAAATTTGCATCAAATGCACGGAATATTTTAAGAGATAAAGGTTTAGATGATGTCATTTTTCGGAATGACAGCGAATGGTACCCCTCATTTTTAACTATATCTCAATCCCAAAGCATTTATAATTTCCACACTAGGGTAGCTGAACACCCCTCCCTTGAAATATATAAGGAGGTTAAAACCCATAACCGCACCGAAAGGTACCTTAAGAATGACCTTGATTTTTATGGATCTAAAATGAAATTTCTCGCAAGATCGAATAATTTCTGCCTTGAGACAAATTATGAAAAGTGGGGCAAAAGTGACGGTATATGTATAATGTGTAATCTTAATTTGAGAGATACTCTATCACACAGATTAATGATGTGTCCCCATTTTGCCAAAGCCAGGTCCGACTTTTACAACGATGTAGAGAAATATGTTTCTCCCATTTTAAGTAGCAGTTTATTGTCTTCGAACATTCATGATAGGTTAATTACACTACTTGGTGATAAGGTTTTTATGGAATGGGGGCATGACATTTTTTATATGTTTGATAAATATGTGAAGATGTTTTAGCAACACTTTTACTGTACACGTATAGTGAAGAACCCCATTTTAAAATTTTAATACGAGTGGATTTTATTCATTTCATTACGATCACTAACAGTAATATGTTTTGTTCGATGTAAAACTCAAAAATCGCGTGCACTTGCAGATGTTACGAGAAGGCGTTGATAAAGTTTCCGCCACGCACCCGATGGAGATTGCAATGTTCGGGCCTACTGCACAAGATTTCATTGATGGATCCTTTGCCGTGGCACGTCTGTCCCAGTGAGTATAATCTCTGTGGCGAAATGAGTTGAATAAACTCATCCATTTTGATAACACTGGCTGAATTAATTGAGTCATGGAAAGTCGACTCTTCTTTCACCATGACTAAACCAAAAAAGAGTGAATCTTTATTGCCATGGTTACATCAAAACGGTCACCTTATTAGTTATGTTTGTAGCACGTATATCAGTACAAACCAGGGCAATATACACTAGGGGACAATGTTAGATTACATTGTACCGAATGTTTTGCCATTTCGTGATAAAAAATGACCCATCATTGTAATTAAGATAAAGCGTATGTATTTGAGATTAGGTTGACATCACAACCACGGCTAGAATCGCAGCTTTCAAAATAAAATGTTTTATTAAGATACAAGTAGTGGAGCTAACAGGTAAAACTCAACAAACCCATTGATTCCCTTTCAGAGAGCTAGATTTCGTCATACTCGGTACATTCTATTTCCAAGGTGACCCCAACACGCTAGCTCTTCATACTGCCTTGTACCCCAAACGACCGGACTCCGGGGAGTGGTCAACCTCAAACACGGCAAGTTTCCAACTGATCAATTGTGAACGTCTTCTCATAAAATATTCTGATTTAATCTTTTTCAACAGCTTCTATGAATAGTTTAAGTAAGATTATCATACTAACTAGAATATATAAAATGTACAAAAAACTGAAGTCAATTACCAGGCAATTGGTTCTAGGCATGGGCAGTGGACAGTTGGATGGAAAGGGGTATGCCTAAGGATAAGATAGTGATTATAGTAGCGACGACTGCGGTGAAGTACACGCTTGATGATGTGACTAACCATCGGCCTGGAGATGGGGCTACGAAGGGAGACACTGTAGGATTCCAAGAGGTAAGTTTTCCGTTACTCTCGTCACAAATCACGGTCCTACGCAAATAGTACTTGATTTGTTGACGCTATTAGGTCGGTGTTTAGAGGGGAAAAGAGATGTTTATCATATTCTAGTTAACTGTCTGCTTTATACGTATTTGGTGGCTTGGAATAACCGCCCATTTATAATATCCACAAAATATTCGACACAATCCCAGGGAAACGTAAATGAACTATAGTATTGCACCTCGATCAAAAAATATTTACAGAAAGACTGAACTGGGTAAAAAATAAATTGATTGTGTATGGGGCACCATGCAAGTGTGCAGTTCAAAAGTGAACGTTTTTGAAATGCAGACATTGAATTAAGCTCAAATCCGCCAGAAATAGCCGCCAGATATAAAAATTCTGAAAGGATTGGTATCGATATGGCGCACTGAATTCAACATAGTTTTTCTCTTAAACCACGGTCCTTTATGTAATGGTCGCTGATTGACAACAATTTAATGCGAAAATTATTTAAATATATTTTTTATAACATTTTTTGATTTTTAGTGTAATTGTTTTTTGTTCCTTTCTACCACAGTTCAGTTCAGTTCGGTGTCTTTATTTCCTCCACACAGGTGAAGATTTAAACATTACATATAATTACAGACAATTCACATTAACAGATTATGCACATTTGTACATATTAATTGTTACATATAGATTTACATTTAGATTTTTTACATTTCTGTTTGTTTGATTACTGTTTTCACCATTAGATCAATGTAATATGCACTATTCAATAGGAACTGTTCAATTGTACCATCTTGGCAATTTTGAAGTACATCAGTCGTGCTTCCTAATAAATTCTTGAGAATGAAATAAAATATCTTTCCTAACCTTGTTGGAACAGACTAGCATATACCATATTTTCTTAGACATCTCAATATTATAGTTATGCAAAGGAAAATTTGGTTGATTTAACAAAAGTATAAAAAACAAAAATAGATAAAAATTAAAGTAAACCTTTTATTTCATTAACAAGATACTTTTTTGAATCAACCAAACTTTCCTTTGTACAATTACAATATTGAGAAACCTAAACATGTTGTGTATTTGTCGTTTTGTTCCAATGAGGTCTGATGTGTTTTCTAAAACAACATAGAAAAAGATATATTCTTTTCTGTTACCATTCAAAAGATGATCATTAGATTGACGATGTGTAAAATTTTCAGAATATTTTGATGATTGGTTTAAGAGAAACATGTATTTAATTCAGTTCGCCATATCAATACCAATCCTTTACCAAATCAAATAGCCAAAGTACAAGTTAGAGTATTCCTAATAAAGATGTTGTATTAAATATCGCCCTGTTATCATTTTCTAGCGAAAAAGTCCCGATGATGCCGGAGACACTTTATTATGAATGAACCAAAGGGTTAAGAATTTAGAAGCACTTAATTCAACTTTTAATGCATACTTAGTTGAATTATATAATTTAAAAAAATAAAATATATGATTTAAAGCATATATATTAATACGCATTCGAACAATCCCGTATGTTTTTAAATTAGTATATGTGCTTTGAATCATATATTTTAATTTTTTTGATTAAATAATTCAACTGATCTGCTCCGGTTACGTTCCCAGCTCCGGTTACGTTCCTAAGTAATATTTTTAAAACTTTTTTTCAATTAAACAAATCAGAGTCGTGTGAATCAGAAATAACAGAATTATTCAAAAGTATAAGGACTATTCTGTACTTTTTTCAAAAGTCTACACTTAAATGTTGTGAAAAGTTATAATCGAAAAACCATCTTTCGGAGTAAAGTCCGTCTGCGCCGATTTCAATAACTTCGTACTTGATCAGAACTGGGTTCCATCAGAATTCCTACAAAGTCATGAATGAAATAGTTATTGCATGGAATACTTACTTTTGTCAAAATCAAAATAGAACTCTAGTTAAAAAATATATTGTGCTAAATTATTGCCATTTCTTAGTAAAATGTCGTTCTCCGGTACGTTGCCAAAATTATTCGATGGTACCCCGTGATTCAGCGTTCTTGTACAGGCCCGTAACCAGGATTCACCGTGAGGCGTCACTTTTTATAAAATTCCAGGAGGTTCCCTTTTGACAACTTCGGCCCTAAATTGGCCAAAATCACTTGAAATATGCTCAGAATGGTGAAAAACTGCATGATTTTGAAAGGATTTTTGGCCAGTGCGGGTCCGCTCGAACCCCTGCCAAAGGGACATGTTGTAAGCGCACAGTCTTAGGGAGTTCCACCTATTGATCCCTAGCAATGTTAATTTCTATTTTGGCAGTTTCAGGGGTTATATGAAATACTTTATTTCATATTTCTATAGATGTCTCCTTCGTTAAAAAATATGACATTCTCAAGTACAAGTAGAAGACAATTAAAATATCAAAAAGATTCAAAACTATATTTCCTGCTCGAAACATTAAATGACGATGAACGGAAGAACCTGCTATTGATAATGTAATCACCAGATATGTTGCCTAATCAAATTAATGTAACATGATAGATTCATGCAATTCAATAGAAACACTTCTAGAAACCCCGTCTTTTCTGCGTATGATGATTTACTCTAGGTAGTGGTTCCGATTTCATACCTGTATATATTTTCCTTTTGTAGACATGTACATTTATAAAAGACAGCAACGCCCAGTGTTACCAAGACAACCAGCAAGTGGGAGACTATTGTGTTCGTGGAAACACATGGATAAGTTTTGATGGTTCCTCAACATTAACATACAAAGTGAGCTATAAACGGGTATTCAAACCTTATCATATTACAGTGAGCACTTTAGGAGATCATGTCACCAAGTTTTCAAATTAGATATGGATAGCCGAATGGCTGATCTACTGCACGGTTACGCCTGCTTAGGACAATTTTGATATTTTACATCTTGTACATTTAAATGTCCTCTTTTGAATATCCATAATTTAATTTGGGTGATATTTCTATATTTTTCATCCAAGAATTACGCCCAAGAGACGTTCTCCAAACCAAGGACGTCTATCTCCTTTAGAGTTTCTTTCCTTTAATCTTAAAGTGATATCAGCTGTCTCATCAATTGGTATATTTCCAGGCAGAATGGGTAATTCAACACGGGCTTGGGGGTATTGCAACATGGACTCTTGATAGAGATGACTTCTCCAATTCATGTACCATGGGCGCCTACAACCTCACAAAATCATGGACGAGTGTATTATCAGATGCATCCAAACAATGATGTTCGATGTATAATTGGCTTTTATATTTGTAAACCTTGACATTTTAATTTTGAACAATCGTTTGTTATTGACCTAGATGGAATGCTTATCGTAAGGGCTTCACTTTAATAACTGATGGAGGGTTAACCAACTCATGCCATCAATAAGATGTTTTGTCAAATAGATTAATTTATGCATTCGTTATTTGATATTTATACATACTCCTCTTCATAAGTTTGGCAACCTTTTATCCCCAAATATAGACATACGTGTTTAAAGCCCCTCTATGTTTTTTTTATTTTCATAACCTGCAAGAAAAACTGATAATGAAGGTGGAGCCTACTCTTTACATGTTATGAAAATAAAAAGTCAAACCTTTAACACATACATACAGGGTGATCCAGAAGTAACGTCAAAGACATTGTAATTTCAAAAGTATTCATCAGATCTTCATGAAATTTGGTATACATGTACCCACAACATTTCTGAGTTACCATCTCAAAGATTGGAATTCAATCATTTCATTGGTTGAAATTATGGTTGCTATAGTAACCCGATATCGCGTAACCCGGGGCAAATTACTTAACGTGTAATGCGTAATCTCAAAATATCAACAAGATCTGAAATTGTTATATCCTCAACATTTTATTTCACAACAATATAAATCATACTATTGCACAGTTACTAATAATAGTTCATTCTACATAATTGCCACCATTTGCAACACATTTCTCATGTCTGGATACCCATTCCTTGAACACAGAATTAAGTCCATTAGAACTCATTCCTTGTAGGGCTAGTACTACGGCATTTTTCAATTCCTCACAGGATTGAAAATTATTTCCACTAAGGTTTCTTTTTAGTTCCCCATACAAATAAAAGTCACTGGGGGCAAGATCAGGTGAATAAGGGGCATGTTCAAGTTGTTGAAATCCAAGTGTTTGGACTGTGTTGCTGGTCAGGATTGCAGTGTGCGTAGGGGCATTGTCCCAATGCAAGATAAACTGCTGCAGATGTCCGGGACGCTTTTTCCTCAGGGAACGTTGAAGATCACGCTTCAGAACCTGAAAAACAAATGTTTAATGGTTGTTAAACCAGTTGTTTCATTGATTGGATTTGGATTTGAATCATGGCCATGGAGTTATAATTATATTGACAGTGAACAACATTTAAATACTTTAATTTAAAAATAAAATTCACAGTATGATGTATTATTAGAACAAATGATATCTTACCTTTGCAATGTAAACGGCATTAATTCTCTGGCCAATGGGAACAAAATGGGTTAACACCATTCCTCTAATGTCAAAGAATGTCACAACCATTTGTTTCTTTTGTGGAATTCCTGGTACTATTTTAGGCTTGGTTGGTGTTGGGGAGTTGTCATGTTTCCACGATGAACTTTGTTGCGTGGTCTCTGGGATGTAGAATGATAGCAATGATTCGTCACTCGTAATGATCTTGTTAAGAAAGTCATCTCCATCTCTCCGATATTTTGCAAGAAAGTCCCTTGAAGCCTTAACACGCCGGTCTTTCTGCTCCTGTGTCAAGTCATGCGGCACCCATTTAGCAGACACCTTCTTTAACAGACAGTTCTTTGTCAGTATCCGTTGCACAGTCCCATAGCTCAGATCGTGTTTTTCAGCCAATTCTCTGATAGAAATTTGCCTATTGTCCATAACATCAGCTTCAATTGCTTTGATGGTTTGATCATCGAATGACGACACTGGCCTGCCTCCTCGCTGCTTGTCTACCACTTCATCATATCCACTGGAATACTTGTTAAACGACCTGTAAATGTTTCTCTCAGCAATGGCAGCTTTACCATATGCCTTCTTTATCTGTCTTATAGTCTCTTTTACACCTTTCCCCAACTTTACACAGAACTTAATGTTTGTTCTTTGCTCTATTTTACTCTGACTTGGCGCCATCTTGAATTGGGTGGGTTAGTGTCCTTGGTCATGTTAGTATTTGTCATGGATGATGGAAGCAATTCAAAGAAATTGAAAGCTTTTTATGAATGCCTATTGTGACATCACAACTATTACATATTTGTTACCATGGCAACAAATATAAAAATCATAGAAAACAAACAATGAACATTTTCAAATGTTACTGACTTTTTAAATTAGAGAAATTCACAAAAACGTTATGGTTTCTCTTCAATTTGCCCCGGGTTACGCGATATCGGGTTACTATAGCAACCATAATTTCAACCAATGAAATGATTGAATTCCAATCTTTGAGATGGTAACTCAGAAATGTTGTGGGTACATGTATACCAAATTTCATGAAGATCTGATGAATACTTTTGAAATTACAATGTCTTTGACGTTACTTCTGGATCACCCTGTATATAGGGAAAAGGGTTGCCAAACTTATGGAGGGGAGTGTAGCACTAGAATACTTTATCATTAAAACGACGATTTAGCTGGGAAGAATTAAAACATAGATTGGATCGAGTGGATTGGATTGAGTTGATTTCATGTAAAAGGTGGATTGAATCGAGAATTTTTTAAAAAATGTGGAATTTCCACAGTTTAGATTAAAATAGACGAGATATGTTAGTAATACTTAGGATATAGAGCTATCCAGGCATTTCAGGGGTCTCCGGCCCTGTCAATATATCTATATGTCCCTCAGAATATCCCAAATACCCAGAAGGATAAATGATTTCAATCTATTAGTTAATAAATTAATATCTATACGACTTTAAGAGCAGTGAATGAGATGTGGATGATACACAAATACACATGGTAAAAAATACACAAATATAACGAACAAATCATATGTTGTTATTTTTATTTGATAACTATATTTCATTTTGATCGACTTGATTGTCACAATCTTACAGAAAAATATTCATACAGGCGTTTTGCATGGTAAAAAAGTGATATGATCGTACAGGCCTCGCCTAAATATATTCCATTTAAATCAAGTTTCCCAATTTAGCCAATCCTTTCTTGAAAACGAAAGCACCCACCCACTTGGTTTTTTATTCAAAATGTATGGACGCGGCTTGGTTTAGATGACGATGACGGTCTTCTCTCTGAATTAATGGTGCATACACTCCCCTCCATAAGTTTGGCAACCTTTTCCCCCCATTGAACTACGTGTTAAAGCCTCTTTACGTTTGAATTTTTATTTACTTAACCGGCGATGAAATAACTTATAATATTGATGGAAACGTAACTTGACTTTATTTTTCCAATACCTCCAAATTTTCTCAATTTTTTTCCTCAATTACAATAGGTCGAAAATTGATGATAAATTTGATGAATTTTTGAAAATCGTCATTCCCATGTAATCCAATGGGAAATGAAAGGTTCGGGGCAAATCAGAAATCAGGATATCTTTTCAGTAAAAGATTCAGCAAAAAATATTTTTACATAGAAAATTGAATTGTCTAACTTTTTTGAACACTGAGTGTTTAGTTTATTTGATGAATATTAAAGTTACAGCGCTTCAAAGTCATTTTTGAAAATAATTTTTCGCCTCCTGTGTTATTTCAATGGGAGAGGTTTTTTGAAAAACAATTTTGACTTTAAAGCCCTATAACTTTGTTGAACCTGAAGAAACATATCAATTTTTTGTTAAATAAAGTTAGCAAATTCAATTGCCTGTCTAACTCGTATTTTTTGCAAGGACTCGGATGGATGGATATTCTATCATATGACTTGCGGCAAACCTACCATTTCCCATTGGTTAACATTGGAATGTCGATTTTCAAAAATTCATCAAATTTATCATCAATTTTCGACCTAATGTAATTGAGGAAAAAAATTGAGAAAATTTGGAGGTATTGGAATTAAAGTCAAATTACGTTTCCATCAATAGTATAAGTATTTTCATCGCAGGTTAAGTAAATAAAAATTCAAAGGTAAAGAGGCTTTAACACGTAGTTCAATGGGGGAAAAAAGGTTGCCAAACTTATGGAGGGGAGTGTATACATAGTGCAACACTTCATATCATTCCTCAAAGGACAGAATCTACATTCTGGCATACTGTATTATAGGTCAAAGATACAAAAAATCTGATCATTAATCATTGGTTTGAAGGCCTCCAAAATGTGTTATTCTAATCACCTATAGGTCACCCGTCATTATAATTAATAAATCATCAGTAGATGCAGACTAGATCCAGCACACCAGTCCTTGTCTATTTTCATGTTATTCCTCGCTTATTCCTCTTGTTAATTAAGAAAACGTGACTTGGATTAATCAATGCTTTGAATGCTAACTAATGCCGCTTTTATCTCTGCCGTGTTATTCCTCTGATATGACTGAATCATTATATCTATAAACATTTATAATCGCCCAGGGTAAAATGACAATAGATTATCTTAACTAGCCATGCATGCACTCAAGGAATTGGGGAGATAGCACTTTACTTACTCCACTGACGGTATTTGTGTCTCAACGTTCTCGTTCTGTCAAGATCTTTTAAAACGCACCGTGACATATATTGTAAGGGCATATACTTTACCGGATAAAGAAGACAATGGATTAAAAAAACAATATGCTTATAATATTATTTAATAAAACTTGAGATAACAAAGATATTAACGCAATATACTTTAAGTTGGATCTGTGCTTGACTTATGATCAATCACTGGAGTTGGCCTAGGACTACAAAAACATGGATAGAAGAGAAAACGTTTGTTTATTTGTATTAGGAATATTCGCTCTGTATACTCCACAAGTTACAGGTAAGACTGCCATTATTTCACACTTCATCAGTTCTGCAAATGAACAATTGGAGAAAATATATCGCATGGATGTTTGAATCCTGCAGGTGCTAGCTATTAATCAAGTTGTTGTCATAGCATTTAGTTTCCTGAAATAGTTTATTGGCGAAATGTCGATAAATTGTATGTTTAAAGTAATTTAATCAACGACACGTTTCATTCCTAATGTACTCACTGGTCATTTGATCTGTAAAAGGGCCTAACGTTTATCTGGTCCTACAGTACAATATGTATTGGAGCTAAGGAAGAATCTTGAAGTTCTTAAGATTTTACTAAGACAATATCTGATCTTGAAAAATATTGAATACAGTATACGGTATCCCCTTATTACATGTATTATGTCACCATCAAAAAGTTGTGACATATTGTTATGGTTTCCATTTTTTGTCACGGCGATCGGCGGATAGCGGTTGGTGGTTGGCGGTTGGCGATCGGCGTCTTTAACAATTTCTTGCTTCAAATTGACCAACTTTTTGAAAATCATCTTCAAGTTCTGAGAAGTTCAAATGTGACTTTAGATTTGAGATTTTTCCTTTATTTAATGACCTTCTCAGGGTCAAAAAACTTGTTTCAAATTGATCATTTTTTCAAAATCATCTACAGAGTTCTCAGAAATTCAAATCTGAATTAAGATTGAACTGATAATATTGTTAGCAATTAGGTGGTGACATTTTTGTCATGTTAATGCCTTGTCATTGATCTTACCATGGGCTTTCAATATCTATTGAATGCCCATGATCTTCATCTTGCTTCATCAAGCTTCGGACCTATCCTAGAACGAAGTGATTGAGCATGGGAACCGACGATGCATGATCTTACGTATCATCTGATTTTAAGATTCTGTTTAAACTTAAGTGATATATGTTAATAATCAAAATACTCATCGATCACACGTAATCGTATCGATAATATGTATCTGAAAATTGAGACACAGGAAATAAATTTAATTTGAATGAGTAATTCTTCAAAAATATGCATTAAGATTTCTCCTGCAAAATATCTGTGCACGATGTACTTAAAAGAACAACGATACACTTCATATTAAAACAAAATATCCCTTAAAAATCAACCTTTCAATCCAATACAATCACCTATATTCAATCACACAGTACACACCATACATAGGCCTATAAATACGTAACAAACAATAAAAATACAATACAAACAATCAAACGCACAATCTAGACAATGAATATACAATCCTAACAATCAATATACAATCTAGACAAGCAAAAATACAATTAAATGCAGACAATCCAAGCAATTCCATTGAATTTGATGTGAAAACTCTTGTTTCATCCAGTTCAGTTAAAAGCAAGTGCAAAGTGCCAGAAAAGGTGCACAGCGCAGAGCGATTGTGAGGTTGGGTTCAGATGCACCGAAGAGCTCTGCTGCTTACTTCCGAAACTCTGCCAGGTGGGAGACCCTCTGCTTGGAGATGACGCAGGATTAGTAAGATGTGACGGAGCCCCTAGAAAGTGCCCCCGTGGCTATACATGTACTAATGTAACTGAGAACGCCGCAGCCTGTTGTAAAGGTAAGAATGGGAATAGGCGATGGTTAAGTATGGTATGATATGATAAGATATATTGTATGGTATGGTATGATATGGTACGGTATGATATGGTGTGGTGTGGTATGATGTTGTATGGTATACCCCAAAATGCAATCTGATTTTCGACGCCGTTTCGGTGCAGTTTCGGCTCCAAATGGACTGACTTGTCCGGTGGCAAATTTTGGTGTCGAAAGGTTTCGGTGCCGGAACGGTGCCGAAATGGTGCCGGAACAGCGCCGAATGTTTTCGATGCCGAAACGGCGCCGAATTATATTGGCTGTGATATGATGGGGTACGGTATATGGTATGGTATGATGTGGTATGATATGATATGGTATAAGTGATATGGTGTTGTATGACATGGCATGGTACGATATAGTATGGTATGATATCGTATGGCATGGCATGGTATGATGTGGTACAGTATGGTATGTTATGATGTAGTATGATATGGTACGGATAGTGTGGTATATGCTATGGTATGGTATGAGGTGGTACGGTATGGTCTGATATGATATGATGTGGTATGATATAGTATGGCACGATATAGTGTGGTATGATGTGGCATGGTATGATGTGGTACAGTATGGTATGATATGATATGATGTGGTATGACATGGTTTGGTATGGTATGATATGGTATGGTATAATATGGTGTGATATGATGCAGTATGTTATGGTATGGTATGTTATAGTATGGCAGAGTTCTAAAGTATGCTACATGTATGGTGTATAATGATTTTAACAGTAAGTAGTGACTTAGACTTATATGAGCCAATGTGATAAGCATTCAACCATTGGAACTATCAATACACAATTACATTCAAAAATTTTATTTCAGTTATTAATTCAAAAGTAAATGAAACAATTTGATGTTGTTCGATGTGTTCGAACTGATCATTTTATTGCATCCATAAATGACATCGCTGCATCATAGAGAGTATAACAATATTGCCAATGCGTGAATGAGTGAAATTAAAAGCAGTTTATGTAGTTTATCAACAGGTGATATCATAATTACTCATTCTCTTCATGTTCAATCTATTCCAATGTGTTGACAATAATTGATTGCCCTTAAATGAGATCTGCTGTGAATACATATCACCATGACATACATAGATAATAAATGGGGCTTTCCTTAATGATAATACAACTACAAAGTGTTCCAAAGGTATCGGGACTTCCTTTTTATAATCGCATTTACGTTGAAGACCCCGGAAGGTAGCAGAATCTTTTGATGTTTTTTTCTTTATTGTGCTAGGTTTCATAAACTTAACAGTGATTTTACTTCAATTCATATTTATGAAATATTTTCCAATTATCCATTGATTTCCTCGACTATGATACACCCTCTTCAATTTAAGGAACGGGGATTTTCAAATATTGAATAAAACGCTTTTTGTAATTTCATTTCCCAGGAAGTTGTCTGTCAGTGTCCATTAGAGAGTTGAGAAATATCTCGGTAAAAGAGCGAATTCTTGATGCTCATTCGGAATAACAACACATTAATTTCCAAATGCTCCAAATGTAGGTAATTTTCTTACCGAAACATGAGCTAAACAATAAATTGTGACGTTTTCTTAGTGTTTTCATTAAAAACAGCATGGTCTTTCTTTCGATACCTACCTGTGAATATATTATATTTATATGGAAAAACTTGTCATTAAGCCATTTGTTTATGCAATCAAAAACGTGTATAATATGATATGTGTAGTGGCAACGTAGTCAGGTAGTTTTACATAAATATTACGGACTTTAAGCTTGCGTATAAAATCGAAACGCCAACTTATACGTATGACCAATCACCCATACAAATGCATCGATTAAATATTTTCCGTTCACGTATTGAAGCCTCACTTTCCGATGGTGAACCAACAACACTCCCAAAAGTTCATTTTATCATTATATTATCTGGAATATAAAGTCAGCCTTGAGAGCAGATATTTTACGCCACGTGACATAATTGCGCCTGTGGTGGAAATAATTTGCCGCAAAATACGATTTTTTGTAAATAATAATAAACTCCGACCGCAAAAATCAGTTATTCGCTCTTATATTGTGCCAATTAGTGCGTGATTTAAAGGTTATTTTTATCAATTTTGCGAAGGGCATAATACTATTTGCACTTGAGTGAGGAACCAATCGAGCTGCAACGCTTTTGAAAGCATCAGAGCATGTAAACTATATAACAGCAACGCATTGCCAGTGGTATAGGTTATTGGTTTCCGGTCAAACATAGTCTATTTCTACTTTGGTTCAGCCTTCGTAGTATTTTGCGAAAACAACTTTTAGATTTGGCGCCAGAATAACTTGGCACAGGGTACGTCAAAACTTTCACGGTCACATGCTTTGAAAATATAACAACATTTCAGAGGTTGACAGTTTTGTCTTAAAAATCCAAATCGTGTTTTATAGGAAAATATCCTGGAAATATCACTCGCTTTGTAACACTGTGGCTAGTCGATCTATGTGGATGCAATCATTCATATGCAATGTATCGTGGGTGCTCGCGTACATTATAGGGAATGGGATCATTGCAAAAATATGACAGCAAATCGGGGTAAGTGATCTCAGAGTATCTACTTAACATTGTGACTTGAAATCTTGCATACATATTCAATATGCATAGTATGACAATGTGTGAAAGTTTCAGCCACCATATTCATGTTATAGGGAAGATATTTGAAAAACATTTCGTAAACGTCAAAATATATGTATAAAATGGACGCCACTATGTATCATTTGGATTCAGAACGGTAACAAATGGATGCTATAATAAATTATAATTTTATCATGATGATTTATTTACTGATGGACAACTGGCCAGATTTTCTTTGTATCCATTGTTTGGATAAACATTCCTCATTCAGTAAAGTAATTAGCCACACCATTACAAGACACCCTCATGAAGAATTGAAAATACTATATATAAACCCATCAACTGGAAAATGCCATTACAGATGAAAAAACTATGGTTTTATCCCTAATACTGTTAATTTGAAAAACGGGTCCATAACATATAATGATGACAATGAAAATGTTAAAATTAGGTACGCCAATGAAGTGAATTCAGAGCCAAAGACCCATCAACCCACTGGAATACCCACAAATCAAGTTTCATAGCCTTGCCCAAGTCGGTCTCTTTTACTGATCTTGATTTCTATTATGACCGCGTTGTACCAAAAAGAAAGCCACGTGCTTTACCGACCCAATGTTTTTGTCAGTAAAATTTTACCAATCAACGACGGCCCTACATTGCCGGACTAGGTCTTCGTGCATTTCCATCGCGAATTCAGTTTTGATTTTGAATCAACATTGAATTGCATGATTGCATTTATACGAGTAGTAATGACTGCTTATATTCCAATGTACATTTAATAACATAATATATTGTAATTCTCAAGAAACACTCGATCAGATCAGATAACATTTAGAATGATCAATCAGCCTGAAGTCACACGTCGTGTCCATGCGATCTTGTCAATCAATAAGGTTTCGTGATACCCTTAGGTAGCGTAGGTACTATGGGAATCTCGGAACGGCTGAATAAACTTAGCATAATATCAGCGATGATGCATTGGATTGTACAAGGTGGTAATAATTCAAGATCATAAATAAATAAGTAAATAAATACCGACTTGGGCAAGGCTACAAGTTTCAGAGCCATTAACATTCCTTAAAAGTGACAATGAGCAGTCAACAGATGAACCATCCGTAAATCTTGATGATTTTGTCAGTTCAGCTGAACGAACCTACAGACTCCTTGAAACAAATGACCCAAATTCAAGAATAATATTACCTATTTACACTTTTTTGAAATCGTGGTAAGTGGAATCTTTCCAATTACCAATATATCATTATTATTGTTTTTGGACACTATGGATTAAAATATTAAAAATACACACTTTCAAAATGATTCAATTAAAACTTAGCCAATCTGTTCACTGAATCCATTAAGAACGTCTACTAATCCACATGATACATCATAATTAAATTGCTTTTTTAAAGCGGATATTTTATACCATAACCCCAAAAATATTATAAAATGCGTTGTATTTGTATTTTACTTCACACAGACATATTTGTGCACGTGAAATAATTATATTACTTGAATTTTTTATTCCCCATTATAAGGTAAACCTATGGCAAATTATACATACCTTCTCACAGCTATGAGCGAGATGATAAAACTGGTCGAGTGAACTCGTTTGAGTTATCTATTCTCCGTCAAAATATCAGAGAATGTGTGTTTATAGCATAGCTTTGGGTTTGTAAATCAATGAAGTATGATATACACGGATGAGTAAATATAGATTATTTAAACAGAAGTGCAACATTCTTCCATTGAAAAGTACAGAGACTAGTACCCACGATACATTGCATATAAATGACTGCATCCACATAGATCGACTAGCCACAGTGTTGTAATCAAAATAACAAAGGAGTTGTTATTTTTGCTAAGTACAAGTTAATAAGTGCTTGTGGAATTGGTTTTAGTGCAACTTTAAGAGTCCTGATTATAATGAACATTGATTATACCGGGTGATTATTTGCAAATATTGGTATTATACATTTTACTAACTGCAACAAAAATTATAAATGAGACATATATGTATATTAACATCAAGGTTTACTCGTATAATAAATACGTTATTTGACAGCAATTGAATAGACCTGTCAGATCAGATTCACCTTGAATAAAACAATAATTAGATCTTAGTTAAGTCTTCAAAGAGTATAATTTTGTCTAGTAACACCACGGATGATAAAATACGATATACTTTTCGATCTTTTTATATGAACGTGAACGACAATTTAGAATCTCATTTCTATGAACAAATGTACTGAAACTTTTATAACCCTTTCAAAAGGAAGCCCAGTATCGTAAAGGCAACATGAAGGCTTGAAATGATGGCTGGATTTATTCCATCCGTAATGCTGTCACAGCACTGTGCATTGACAGCCTTTTGTTTTCAGTCCTATTGGCAAAACTGCCCTAATTCACGTCACCATACTAGTCAATGAGCAAAAGGGCAAACGCCTGACTTTTTATCTCGAGTTATGGATTTATGTGGCCTCATTGGCCTATCTGAGGTTCTAAAGCTATGTCTAAGCTACATCTTGACACTAAACTCAATAGGGGCCAAATATCTACTTTTTGAAATAATTGGTCAATTGTGACACTACCCCCTCTCTCTGCAGACACAAATTGAAATTCACAAAAATGAAGGCAAAATTAATACGCCACTTGACTCGAAATTTTCCTTCAGATAACCCAAATAAACGCATTTTCAGAAGAAATGGCACGTTGTCATTGCAAAAAGATTACAACTGTGCCTACATACTAGCTTACTGACTCGTCATGATCACAATTGTGTTGGGACTACATTTATTTTTGAATACTACTTTTTTCTATTCAGCGGAAGTGACGTATTAGGGCATTTTGGCCTAATAGCCACATCAAGGAGGATTGGCTCCCAGGATCGAAACTCGATATTTTCCAACAATGAAAACGTCGAAATGTCGTTATTTTCTGAAATTAAAACCGACTATAAATTCAAAATAAACAGTTCAAAAGATTCAAACCAATATCTCGATCATTTCTTGTGAGTTTTTGAATTTTTCGTTTCGAAATAAGACCAAAATTCACGATTTAAATGTTGAAGTGAACAAAATGGCGGCTGTTTGAATTCGAATTTTGTATTACGACATACCCATATATGGGACAGAATATCGGTGGTGCACTCTGGGAGCCAATCCTCCTTGTAGCCACATGGTTGGATGATTTCTGGCTTTAAATTGCGTTTTTCCAATTTACTAGAGTTTTTCAAGTAGTTTTGTGCAGTTTAAGAATATTCTGACAGCAATTATTATCAGTTATGTCCCTATCATTGAATATATGCCTGAGGTCTGTCACCAATATAGCCCGAGCTTGCGAGGGTTATATTACGACAGACCGAAGGCATATATTCAATGATACGGACATAACTGTTGCATTACATACTTTTATATCATGGCTACGTTATATCAATGACGCCACATGCCTGTGTGCGAGTGAAATTAGGAAGAAATGAAACATGACGTCCCGATGACGTCATAAGATTGTCATGGTAAAAGGTTTGGCGGCTATACAGGAATATATAGCCGACCTTCAGCTCCATTGACTTCAATACAAATGCTTCGCTGGGTATGTAATACTGAAAAATATGGCTACTTCATTACCCCTGGGGTCATTTTTCCAAGAACCCAATGGTTTTCCTTTAAATTTGACTAGTTTTTCATTTACATCATGAAATCCACTGCCTGATGGTGACATTTTTCAGTATCGTGTCAAGAAATTGAGTATTTTATTGCATATTGCGATTTTTAGCCAAAATCACTGAACCGTGAACCAGAAAATTGGACAACTTTGGCCCACTTTTTGGCAAAATCTTACTAAAATCATCACTTTTTCATACTTTATTCCATTCAACAACCTCCTGATTTGAAAAATGATGACAAATTTGATCAGTTTTGACTCTGGCCTAGAGAATTGGGACTTTTGAGATATTTTTAGCTCGAATGTAGTCATTCAGAGTGAACAAATACATCAAAAATTGACACTTAACTCACCAATTTCTGACTGCACCCCCGATATGTACCTTCTTTCTATACTGGAAACCATAAGATGGAAAATTCAATCTTTATTATGAATAGCAACTCGTTGGCTTCCCCATTTACGACAACAAATGACATTTAGGGGTCACTAAGGACAAAATTGTAGCCAAATATCGTCAAAATCAGTGGTTTTTGGGGTAAAAAGCGAAAACTGCTGATTCAGCAAAAGCATTAAATTTGTTCATGAAAATTCCCCTTTTTGCCTCCGTCCAAAATATGTTTCACACTAATAAACTTCAATTCTGGGCGATTCTGAGTAGTTTTAAAAAATTTTGGTCACTTTCACATGTGACTAATAGGCAAAACTGCCCTAATTCACGTCACCATATAGCTAGTCAATGGGCAAAAGGGCAAACGCCTGACTTTTTATCTCGAGTTATGGATTTATGTGGCCTCACTGGCCTATCTGAGGTTCTAAAGCTATGCCTAAGCTACATCTTGACACTGAACTCAATAGGGGCCAAACATCTACTTTTTATCGCACTTAGAAAAAGTGCTATATTGTCGTCGTCTTGTGCTGTTGGGCGGGCGTGCGGGCGTGCGGGCGTGCGACGGCACATAAACCAAATCTTGTCATCAAATTTCCAGGATAACTGCTTACCTGTTCAACTTGAAATTTTTACAGATGCAAGAGCAGACTAGTACCAAGATCTGATTAGGTTAAGGGCATGCTGGGTAAACTACGTGGCGGCCATTTTGAATTTTTCAACAAATCTTGTCATCAAAATTCCAGGAAAACCACTTATCCGTTCAACTTGAAATTTTTACAGATGCAAGAGCAGACTATAGCCAAGATCTGATTAGGTTTTGGGTATGCTGGCTGAATGACATGGTGGCCATTTTGAATTTTTCAATTTGGCGGCCATTTTGAATTTTTCAACTTGCTCCAAATTGACCCAATTTTTTTTTAAAAACATCTACAAGTTCTCAGAAGTTCAAATCTGACCTTAGATTTCAGATTTGACCTTTCGTTCACCTTCAGTGACCTTCAAAAGGTCAAAAAAGTTGATTTTCTAAATTGATATTTTGGATTTAAATTTAGGTCAGCTTAATTACAAAACACCTACTGAGGTCTGAAAAAGTGAAATATTCAAGGTCGAAGGTCAAGGTCATTAAACTAGGTCACAGACTTGACCTTTCATTCACCTTCAGTGACCTTGAAAAGGTCAAAAAAGTTGATTTTCTAAATTGATATTTTGGATTTAAATTTAGGTCAGCTTAATTACAAAAGACCTACTGATGTCTGAAAAAGTGAAATTTTCAAGGTCGAAGGTCAGGGTCATTAAACTAGGTCACAAATTATGTTATCCAAGTTTCTCAAAGTTTGAGACTACAAATCAATTCTTGTCATCAAAATTCCAAGAAAACCGCTAACCTGTTCAACTTGAAATTTTTACACATGCAATAGCAGACTAGTGCCAAGATCTGATTAGGTTAAGGGCATGCTGGGTAAACTACGTGGCGGCCATTTTGAATTTTTCAACAAATCTTGTCATCAAAATTCCAGGAAAACCACTTATCCGTTCAACTTGAAACTTTTACAGATGCAAGAACAGACTATTGCCTAGATCTGATTAGGTTTTGGGTATGCTGGCTGAATGACATGGTGGCCATTTTGAATTTTTCAATTTTGCAGCCATTTTGAATTTTTCAACTTGCTCCAAATTGACCAATTTTTTTTTAAAAAAACATCTACAAGTTCTCAGAAGTTCAAATCTGACCTTAGATTTCAGATTTGACCTTTCGTTCACCTTCAGTGACCTTCAAAAGGTCAAAAAAGTTGATTTTCTAAATTGATATTTTGGATTTAAATTTAGGTCAGCTTAATTACAAAACACCTACTGAGGTCTGAAAAAGTGAAATTTTCAAGGTCGAAGGTCATCAAATTAGGTCACAAACAATGTTATCTAAATTTTCCCAAAGTTCAAGACTACAAATAAATTCTTGTCATCAAAATTGCAGGAAAACCGCTAACCTTGTCAACTTGAAATGTTTACAGATGTAAGAGCAGACTAGTGCCAAGGTCTGATTAGGTTTTGGCCATGCTTGGTTAATTGCATGGTAGACCAGTTTGCTCTTCAAAGTGCGATATTTATCACTGTGTGTCTTGTTGAAATAATTGGTCAATTGTGACACTACCCCCTCTCTCTGCAGACACAAATTGAAATTCACAAAAATGAAGGCAAAATTAATACGCCACTTGACTCGAAATTTTCCTTCAGATAACCCAAATAAACGCATTTTCAGAAGAAATGGCATGTTGTCATTGCAAAAAGATTACAACTGTGCCTACATACTAGCTTACTGACTCGTCATGATCACAATTGTGTTGGGACTACATTTATTTTTGAATACTACTTTTTTCTATTCAGCGGAAGTGACGTATTAGGGCATTTTGGCCATTGTTATCACAGCTCTGTGACAGCAATTCTGTGCTAGATCTGTCACAGCCGTAGCTATGGTCCTGTCTTAGCCATTGCTATTTACAGCAAAAGCCATTTTGAGGCTTGCGTATGATAAGATGATGGTCCAAACTTCTATCCTTTGTGATAAGCTCAACAATATGGGCATTCGACATCACGCCATTAGATTGCATACTTGTTTAGAAACCAGGACATTTTAAGACTTCAATCTTTCTATTGATATATTGACTGAAAATATAATTGTTTATATCGTGTGATCTGTAAAATGAAGCCTTCTGATGGGTCAGTTCTTGTGCTGTACCAATCTGTATTGCTATTGAGATTTCTACATTGATCATCTCCGTCGCAATAGTTAAAATATTGCTACGGAGGGGACATTCTCAGTAGCAATACAGATGATCAGACGATAAAAACGTTATAGAATAATTTGAAGTGCAATACAGGATATATTCTGCTCTCGATATTTTGTATTGGCACTCGACTTCGTCTCGATCCAATACGGAATTTCTCGAGCAGAATATATCCTGTATTGTACTTCAAATCATTCAATAACTTATAGTATTTGTTTATATGTCTATATATTATTATTCTAGCAACATGTAAACTTGGAAAAGAAGTATTTCAAGTTGGTAATTCAAAACAAACAAAATGTTTGACGTGTGAATGTACGAGTAAAGGTCTAAAATGCTCAGCTAGGCGGCGAGATGAATGCAAAAACGGCTGCGTTGATGGAAGTAAATTCCGCAGAGAGGGATCTAAGTGGACGCAAAATGACACAAAGAGTTGCCGTTGCAATAACAAAGGCAATATAATTTGCTCAGGTATATGGCATTATTTTTGCTTCTTTATTCATTAAATTCAAATATATTCGATATATGAAACATTCATATTCGCTAAATCATTTTTCCATTCGGTAAAAACGTTTATATGTTTGTTACAGCAAATTAAGTTTTCAAAATAGCCAATCACTTAATACTATGTGCATTAAATTACATATTTCATTCGTTAAATGATATGTTTTGCGTAAATTGTTATGGTATTCCTTAAGAGTAACACATTATATGCACAATATTGAATTTCTATTTGAACCCTACCGAAATAAGTTTGCCTATATTTACCAAATGGTTTATTTTTCTATGACATAGTTGATGCATTTTTACCGAAAGCTAATTTGCTATTTACCGAAAGCTAATTTGCTATTTACCGAATGCAATAAAGTAATATTCGATAACTTGCGTTGTTGTTCGATATTTTGTCACGTGACTTCGAGATTTTCAAAATGGCCGCGCAGCTATTCTACATCGTACAAATATATCATGTGACTGAAAGTCTCGTAAATAAACGACAAATAACGAAATTTATCGAATGTGGCATTCGGTATTTACCGAATATTAATAATTTAAATACCGAATGTACAAATAATTAATTGAATTATATGTGCGTTAAGGAAAACAAATTGATTCGCTGCATCACACAAATACATGTATACATATCAAATGTGAATGTCAATACAAAGAACAAGTGAAATTATTTAGCGAATATAAATTGTATAGATTATTACATTTGATAAAATAAAAAAACATTCGATAGATTGGGTAAAGGTTTGGTAAATTGTTTCTTTTATTTGGTATTTATGGAATATTAATGTACCGAATAAAGAAGCAGTTTAAACACCATACAGGTACGTCACAATTATGAAATATTATATTGTTCTTATGAACTCTGTAATGATAGAGAACGTGAACGTTTTGGAAATTAAATGTTATCTTGAACATCATTTTAATAATAACGTTCTAGATTAATTTAATTCAACTCTCTAATTGTAATGTGTGTCCGGTTAATATCAATTAGGAAAAACAAAAATGAAATATTTATGTATGAGTTTTATCGTATGATCTGTAAAGTGAAGCCTTCTGATTGGTCAGTTCTTGTGCTGTACCAATCTGTATTGCTACTGAGATTGTCCCCTTTAATCATCTCCGTCGCAATACAGAAAATATTGGTACGGAGGGGACAATCTCAGTAGCAATACAGAGGATCACACGATAAAAACGTTATTGAATGATTTGAAGTGCAATACAGGATATATTCTGCCTCGATATTCTGTATTGGCACTCGACTTCGTCTCGATCCAATACGGAATTTCTCGAGCAGAATATATCCTATATTGCACTTCAAATCATTCAATAACTTATAATATTTGTCCTTACAGTTATTGTGGGTAAGTGGTCCGAATGGAGTAAGTGGACAAATAAATGTCCCGCGCAAGGAGGGGGTAAAAATATTCGTTATAGAATATGTGAAGACCAAGATGGCGACAAAGTAGACACTATGCATTGTGATGCTGGCAAGGATATCGACGTAAGACCATGCAGCTCAGCTCTTGGAGGAAGTATGTCACTCACATTTTACGGAAACTTCGCATTTAACAAAGCTATTTATCAATGAAAATAATTTTTTCTACTTGTTGGATTCCTGAAACTTGGTATGCTTTAACAAAATACAGCATACTACTGTAAGTGTTGGATTGTGCTGTGCTCATTATTTTGCTGTGCTGTGCTCATTATTTTTTAAGTGTCTGGCCATTTTAGACTTCTTAAACTCCGACCTAGTAGTCCAATGAAGCATATGATTGAATGATCTGCGTTCTTTTGGTCATAGCCTTCCTCTTTGTATTTTTGATAACAGATGTTTGAATAATTCTATGATTTTAGTTGGATTCTCATATTCCCATGTATTCATATTTTATCCTTGTAAAACAAATAAAATATGACTTAACTAAAAATTCGAAATCATTGATTTTTGTAGGACGAAGGGGTACTGTAAATAAGAATACTAAGAGCAGTTTAATAGCCGAGTATGCCTGGGTTGTCTCCCTGTCCAAGAACGTGTCGTATAGTGGGGAGAAGTTGGGCCACTTCTGTGGGGGGACTATTCTCACGGCTCATTGGATAATTACTGCTGCTCACTGCCCCTGTGGAATTGGAAGTCCGTGTTGTGATGAAAATAGCGAAGGCGTTCTCACCTTCAAGTAAGTACACATTCATTGATTGTTAAGTATATGAAAATAGCCTTTGAAAAGGCATATTGGCCTCTCATCACAAGTCACAAGTCAAATAACGTTTTGCGACCTCTCCCTCTACCCTAAAGACAAGTGAAAATGTTAGTATAACAAAACTTTGTCAACCCGCGAAAATTAAAATGGGCTTCTTTTTGATTTTGACTGTTCTTTTTGACTAGTGCTCTCAAAAATGCATGCAGTTTCAAGATATTGAAAATATTGATATATTTCCCATGACATTAATGTCGATGGACTAAGCCTTTATTAGTTCTGTTGATAACATCCTTGTTCTTCTTCTTCCCTTTTGTGGTTTCCCTTAAATGTCTGACTTATTTTAGTGAAGAAAAATGTGATACAAGCACTTGGGAAGTAACAGCCGGAGAAATTCAGCTCAATCGTCCTAATCCTGAACAAGTCAGGGGAGTCATGAAAATTGTAATTCACCACGACTATGTAACCAACCTAGGCAATGATACAGCGTTAATACGACTGGACACCCCGTTTGACTTCTCCGAATTCAAGGTGCAACCATCTTGGATTCCTTCCAGTATATGTACGGGCTTTATGAGTGAGCAGTGTGTCGAGCATCTACAACTGGCCGAGCACCAAGATTGTGAGGTGATCGGTTGGGGAAGCTTTACGAGTATGTGCACGCTTATTTTGTTTGAATGTGGGCCCAAGGAAGAACTTATTGCAATCGCTGAGTTTTGATCACAAGTGGGACAGTTTTTTTGTGAAAGGGCTAATCTTCATTTCGGCTCCCGTGTCATCTTCGCACGCTCGGTTTCCCGTCATTTTTTAGAAATTATTGAATTCTCACACAAGTTTAAATAAAGGAAAGATGGGTTTATAATGTTCTAAATCGCAACCTGATAAAAATAACAAATTCCGTTCTGAAATCAAGCCCCCTCTCCACTTCTACAATCCTCTTTTTCCTAACATTGTTTAAACTTTACTAAATCCCCTATATATTTAGAGATGCGTAGTCTGAAAGCGTTCATCAGCGATTGGGACAATGAGACATACACTGCAGATACTGAGGGAATCAAAGGAAGTCAGCCCTGCTCGGTTAGTGTGCACACCCAATCCATGTAGATAAACATTTAGATTTTGAAAAATACTTTATAGTATCTAGAGTGATAGCAATACTGTGACTGAACTCACAATGATGAAGGAGGTCTTTTTATGTATTTTTTGAAATCAAAATAAGTGTAGTGATGCAGGTTTCAGTTTGACAATGAAACAATTGTTACAAACATAGCTCCATCTTTTTTAAGCCATGGATTTTAGTTAACGAATAATCTCTTCTGTAGAAATATGGAGATGGTTCATCAGTTCTGACGTCGCGAACTACGCACCGTGCACTCGAACCACGATTCTCACATCGTGAACGTAAAATCTTTAGTCGCGCACCACTATTTATCGTGGTTCGAGTGCAAGGAACGTAGTTCGCTTCGTCAGAACTGATGTTCGCGTTGGTGGAGTTCTAGGAGGCCTGATTATTAAATAGCGAACTGAAAGTTTAATAGCTGCAATTTCCAAAATGATGTGACCTATTGCCACATGCTGAATGTTTCAGGGCGACAGCGGGGGACCCCTGATGTGTACGCCTCAGAACGAGAAGATCAAAGTCTTGATAGGCATAATGAGCAGGTTAACTATGAACACAGAATGTGGTGGTAACAACCAGGGCTTTACTATTCACACAGCTGTTCCTTACTACCTGCCATGGATAAGAGACGAACTAACAGGTGAGAATATAAGTATATGAAATGAGCAAGTTAACTATGAACACAGAATGTGATGGTAACAACCAGGGCTTTACTATTCACACAGCTTTTCCTCACTACCTGCCATGGATAAGAGACGAACTAACAGGTGAGAATATAAGTATATGAAATGAGCAAGTTAACTATGAACACAGAATGTGATGGTAACAACCAGGGCTTTACTATACACACAGCTGTTCCTTACTATCTGCCATGGATAAGAGACGAACTAACAGGTGAGAATATAAGTATATGAAATGAGCAAGTTAACTATGAACACAGAATGTGATGGTAACAACCAGAGCTTCACCATTCACACTACCTGCCATAAGAGACAAACTAACAGGCCTTTACCAGAGCATACCTCTCATTACTTACGTGACACTGCCATCATAATTGCAATATTTTGATTATTTGCACATAAACCAAACTGCTGTACGATTCAGGCAGAGGTGGGGAGGGCTGGGATGATACATTCTCCAAAGAGCCTTGGACTGCCTCACTGTGGAAATCTAAGAGTTATTATGGCGAGCCCATTGGTTACTTTTGTGGAGGAGTCATCATAACTGAAACATATTTGCTGACGTCATCATCCTGTCTGTGCCTCCTAAATAATTACTGTTGCGATGAAGCAAACCAGTTTTTGTGAGTGACCTTCTTTTTTGAAACTATTTAATTGATATTTTGGTGATGCTTATGTTGAAAACGGACATATTTTTAGAACACAGTTTGGAAAATATCCCTGTATGAGAAAATGCTCATGATGTAAATCTCATGGATTGTGATTTTTCACTTTCAATGGGTACATGAAGATGTCAAATTTCCCTTAACGTTGCTCTGCTGAAATGTGTGTATTTCTTACAGACATGATAAATGTGACCTGGACGACTGGTGGGTGCAAATAGGCCAATGTAAACTTGAAGACCTTACGAATCCCTTCCTCACCAGGCGGATCAGATCCCCAGTAATCCATGAGTTCTACACTAATCCGGAGACAGGAGAACCCTTGAACGACATAGCATTGGTTGAGCTAGAGGACCCGCTAGATTTCGACGATCCTAGTGTGGAGCCTGTTGTGCTACCTGCCAGTGAGTGTTCCAATGAAGCTGGGAAGAAGTGTAAGGAAGAGCTAAACGAAGAAACGGTCTCTAATTGTCATTTTGCTGGATGTGGAGGGAGTTCCCGTAAGTATATGTTCTTTGTATTGTAATTCGTCCAAAAGCAATGAAGATACCCGTTGAGTAAATCCCTGCTTCATAAGAAAACTGGTCTACCACTGACATACAATGTTGGACATTCCCGTTCTCATCGTCTTCGTGTTACTTTTAACTTGTTGCTTTTTATTTAATCCCAAGTCAGCGAAATAAGACTTTTAAAGACTACAATCCTTGAGAGTGTTAGTTACTTATTTACATCACCAAAAATAAAGAATTGGCAATATTATCTGTTTAACATAATATCACATTATTTAGACTACTTTTTCTTGTAGAAGGTAGTGGCTCATCAGATAAATTGAAGATCACTAATGCTACTATTCTCTTCGCTGATAATGCTACAATTGTAGCCCAGGGGACAACAGGGAGTTCTCTGTGTCAGGTAATGTCATTAGCCTTGTCTTCAGCCCATTCTGTGAGCAATTGCAACTTACGGCCGTCGTAGCTTAAAACATTGACTGGTGTATTGTCAGTTTTTATGCCCATTGGACATTTTATAGTCTTGCTCAAAGACTGTATCCACCCCCCCCGTCACCTTCACTCTCTTTACCTAGCAATATACAGAGAGAAGGATAAGGGGGGTACAGGGTCTTTTGAGCAAGACTAGACATTTTAGGACCACTCTTTAACAGAATGTAGGATGACATGTTTCGTGACGATATTATTAAAAAGTGTACTACAAGTGCCTTTTTTGATTTCAATTGTCTTGACAGTGATTATATAAAATCAAATTGTTTTAGGAAGATGCCGGAAGTCCATTGATCTGCAACATTGAAAATCAAACAGTTGCTTTTGGAGTCGTAAGTCAACCGTCTGAGAGAGAGGATTGTTCTGCAAATGGCAAAACTGCCATTACTCCAATCGCACCACACCTTGAATGGATAAGCAGGAAGATAGGTAATTAAAAAGGGGACTTCCAAGAATAGACTGGTTGAACCATTGTGTTCGAAATAGAATGGACGCCTAAACAGGTCCCTTTAATTCATATACTCTGGGCTGCAACTCAATATTTGGTTTTCCATTACTTTCAAGAATAGACTGCTTGAACCATTGTGGTTTCGAAATAGAATGGACGCCTCAACAGGTCCCTTTAATTCATATACTCTGGGCTGCAACTCAATATTTGGTTTTCCATTACTTTCAAGAATAGACTGCTTGAACCATTGTGGTTTCGAAATAGAATGGACGCCTCAACAGGTCCCTTTAATTCATATACTCTGGACTGCAACTCAATATTTGGTTTTCCATTACTTTCAAGAATAGACTGCTTGAACCGGACCCTTGAACCATTGTGGTTTCGAAATAGAATGGACGCCTCAACAGGTCCCTTTAATTCATATACTCTGGGCTGCAACTCAATATTTGGTTTTCCATTACTTTCAAGAATAGACTGCTTGAACCATTGTGGTTTCGAAATAGAATGGACGCCTCAACAGGTCCCTTTAATTCATATACTCTGGGCTGCAACTCAATATTTGGTTTTCCATTACTTTCAAGAATAGACTGCTTGAACCATTGTGGTTTCGAAATAGAATGGACGCCTCAACAGGTCCCTTTAATTCATATACTCTGGGCTGCAACTCAATATTTGGTTTTCCATTACTTTCAAGAATAGACTGGTTGAACCATTGTGGTTTCGAAATAGAATGGACGCCTCAACAGGTCCCTTTAATTCATATACTCTGGGCTGCAACTCAACAATTGGTTTTCCATTACTTTCAAGAATAGACTGCTTGAACCGTTGTGGTTTCGAAATGGAATGGACGCCTCAACAGGTCCCTTTAATTCATATACTCTGGGCTGCAACTCAACATTTGATTTTCCATTACAGCGGATGATACCTGGTTTCCATGGGGCGCATGTTCAGTGACGTGTGAACAATGTCCCGATGGTAAATGTCCTGTTGGAACTCGCAAGAGGTCCAGGCCATGTCCTTACCCAAGACACGGCAAGTATAGGGCCAAAGGCAAAGATTTGTATCAGAGGTTTGACATCAACTGCTTGATTCACGAGGAAGGCAAATGTCAACCTAAATGTAGAGGTATGTCGAGTATTGTACTGTACTGGACTGTACTGTTCTGTACTGTACTGTACTAGTATTCCATTCCATGGTGTGAGTTTATTGGGTCCTCTCCTGTTGACTGGATTATATTAGGATAATGGGCTACTTCTTTTGCAAAACAGTTCGTTTTAGATCTATAAATAGTAGTATTTCAACATCGTATCGTAACGACATACGTTGTCCGGTGGTCGGCATCTGTAACAAATGGCAGCTGGTGACATTTTGCAATGTAATGCCTTGTACGTATTCACTTGGATCACAAATTGTAGATAAATGTCCAACAATTCAATCCTCTTCCAAGTTACGTGTACTTGGTGGTCCTCCTTTCAAAGAGGGACAAGAGGCGAGGTTTCAGTGTGACCCTGGGTATGCTCTAGATGGCCCAAAGTCCATTAGGTGCAAGGCTGGTGGCGAGTGGAATGCTGGACTCCCCAGATGTAGGAAACTAGAGGGTGAGTAGATATGCAAGGGGCACGAAAAAAATTTATGAAATAATCCATCAGAAACGTGTTATCAATAATGTGTTAAAATCTATTAAAGACCGCATGTACTATACAAGGAACCCAAAAGAATGCATGATTTATGACTGAATTATAGAAATACATGTGTAGAATTGTTTTAAAGTAACCTGCAAGAAGTTCGATGTAAATCGAGGTGACCACATCACTGTCAAAGGAAAGGCCCCATATAAACCTGGTCAGAAAGTAAGGTTTAGATGTGACGATGGCTTCAAACTACAAGGGAAGCGTGCACTGCAATGCAAAAATGATGGCTCTTGGAATGGAAAAATTCCAATATGCAACAAGAAAGTTGTTGCAGATGAAAGTAAGCCTTACAATATTTAATGTTGTCCTTTTGCATAAATTGTGACTTAATCATACATACCAAATTTCGACAACAAAAAGCCCAATGACAAATTAAAAATCATGTTCTAAACAATTTCTGTAGTTTACCCTATTTGAACATCAAAGCGTCAAGAAGATTACTTTCTCATCGTTAGTCTGATACGCCCATTTGATTTTCGTATTTCTAGAAACTTGTTCTGAAATAAAAGTAGGCGATCAAATGAAATTCAACGGACAAGCACCATACACACCTGGTGATAAAGTGACGTTCACTTGTGCTGATGACTATGACCTACAAGGTGTAGGAAGTCTAGTTTGTGGGAAGAACGGACAGTGGAACAAGGCCCCTCCCAAGTGTATCAAACGTAAGAACCATTTAACTTTAAATGAATATATAAAACAAGGAGCATTTTCATTGATAACCAGAACTCCTCTAAAGAACTTATTCTAAATAATTTAATGAAACAATTGTAAGATTGCGTAATATAGTAGTATGGTGTAAAATATATGTTTTCTACTCTAGTTTACGGTATTTAACTAAATAACATTTATTGCCAATTAAATTCCTCAAATCCTTACAACATGGAAACACTGATTTTTAACTTATTTTCAGGCACTTGTGAAATCAACATCCGTGACCGTGACAGTGCGCATATGACGGTAAGGGGAAAAGCTCCATTCACAATTGGGGAAACGATCACGTTTACTTGTGACGCTGGCTACAAGCTAGAGGGCGCTGCTTCTCTACTGTGTAAAGGGAGTGGGCAGTGGGACAAGGAGACCCCTAAGTGTATCAAACGTATGTATTTTTAGAAATGAAACAAACATAACTGGTTTTGATATATACCAGTATATCACAAACCGAGATATGATAATTTATGTTTAAAATGTTACAAGTTGGGCAGACTCAAAAACGGACTCGAAGGTAGATGCATTTTATAAAAATATTTTTTTTATTGACTCATGAATCGTGTAAATTGTCTAACAAATAGAAGAACAGGTAGACGATACTAAACATGTAAAAGTACGTTATGTTGTCATTCTATTTCATCTTGATAATGTTTACACTCGATACTTTAGAGACGTGTCCTGACATCGATGTGACTGGATCGCCGGCATTGAGAGTAAGAGGAAGGTCGCCATTCACACCTGGCGAGAACGTAACATTCAGTTGTGGTGACACCTATGAATTGGAAGGCCCTGATACTATCCAATGTAAACTGAGTGGAGAGTGGTCTAAAGATCCCCCAAAATGTGTAGAACGTATGATTTTCTATTTCCTAACCAATCACATTGCAAATACATGTATAATCTCATATTGTATCATCAATATTTTTTCATCAATACCTTTGTGCAAGTGCAGTTTATAACACATTTTAGCACTGGATTTCATTCTGTGTTTTTTTAACTTCTTTAACTACGATCTGGAATTATTTTGCATTGTTTTCACATTTGTGTACAATGTAAACAATTTTGGACGTCTGAAATGGACGTTTGTCAAGCATTTACTTCATTTTAATGGACTGAATACCGGCCTGGAATATGAATAGGGGATAAGAATCTTAAAATAAAGAATGTGAAGGCAAAATGGAATGCTTACCGCACCCTTCCCCACTGCACTAACACCTCTTCATGATGCTCTGGTGGATTTGCCTCCTCTTGGTATCTGTAGGAAAAATATGGAAAAAGATTTTTACAATTTATTTTTACATTTTTACCAAGAGAAAATGTCTGGCTTTGGAAACCTATGTGACTTCGGACATACGGAAATGTTTCAATGCTAATAGATTAGCAACATTGCAATGCTCATACACTGGCAACATTGCAATGCTCATACACTGGCAACATTGCAATGCTCATACACTGGTGACATTGCAATGCTCATACACTGGCAACATTGCAATGCTCATACACTGGCAATATTGCAATGCTCATAGACTGGCAATATTGCTATGCTCATGGCAATATAACAATGCTCAAAGACTTGCAACATTGCAATGCTCATACACTGGCAACATTGCAATGCTCATAGACTGGCAATATTGCAATGCTCATAGACTGGCAATATTGCTATGCTCATGGCAATATGACAATGCTCAAAGACTTGCAACATTGCAATGCTCATACACTGGCAACATTGCAATGCTCATAGACTGGCAATATTGCTATGCTCATGGCAATATAACAATGCTCAAAGACTTGCAACATTGCAATGCTCATACACTGGCAACATTGCAATGCTCATAGACTGGCAATATTGCTATGCTCATGGCAATATTACAATGCTCAAAGACTTGCAATATTGTAATGCTCATAGATTGACAATATTGCAATGCTTATAGACTGGCAATGTTGCAATGCTCATAGATTAGCAATATTGCAATGCTCATCATCAATTGGCAATGCTGCAATGTTCTTAGATTGGCAATATCGCATTGTGCATAGACTGGTAATGTTGCAATGGTTATAATCATATATGACACTGCTGCAATGCTCATAGATTGCATGTGTTCGTTTTTCAGTTGCAATATGTCCTGATATAACCATTGATAAGCCAGACGAGAGACTCAAGATACTGGGAAAACCGCCATTCAGGGTGCATGACAAAGTCCGAGTCGGTTGCATCCCAACTCAAATAATGAGATCACGTAAATTTGATGTAATTGGGTCATCAATCTTAGCATGCAAGCCTGGTGGCGTTTGGAATGATACTCTTCCCAGTTGTGTATTTAAAGGTAGTTATAGGTGTCAATTAACATATAGTGGACTCTTAGAAGACTATAAATGATTCGATAAATTCTATTTAGATGCTTGTAGAGCGTTGTAGAGGCTTGAAAATGAGAAGTTCTACTTAAGATTTCGGAGGCTTCATGTGCACAACTCTATGTATTTCCAAAAGGATGGGTAGATGCATGATTTGCAATGGCCGAATGGTACTGGTGTTATATAACTCTAATGTGAATTATTACCATGAGAGATGCGTTGAATATTCCAGGTAAACCAGCATCTGGTTGTAGAAGAGATAGAAACTTCCTTCCTGTTATCGATCATATTGATGCAAGTAGTTCCCCTCCAAGTAAGTTCATTAAAGATTTACGGAAAGAATTTATTTGCAAGTTGTCGTTTTGATTAGATGATGGAAATGTCAAAATAGCAAAACACCCAGTCCAATGATGAACCTTTTGACTTTATTTTTTCTGAAAATGGCTTTCATGAAATCAAAAGCTCATCATTAATAAATCGATCTGTCAATATTGATAATGCTGAACCCAAGTTATCATATGATTTGGGATCTGCTACCCTTTATGGACGTTTATCGTGCACCTATAATATACATGTACTGTTTGAACATTCATTTACAATTATTCTATTTCTATCAGTTTGCGCTGATCTGATGGTAGTACTCGACATATCATGTTCCCTTCGAGGATGCACCAAAGAACGCTTGAAGGACGCGGCGGCTGACGTAGCAAGAGCATTGTTGGAATCGTCTAGAGATACAACTCGAATAGGTGTGATAGCCTACAGCAATGAAATTCTCGAGGTGATACCTCTTGGTAAGTAGCTTGAATAGGTGCGATAGCCAACAGTAATTAAATTCTCGAGGTGATACCTCTAGGTAAGTAGCTTGAATAGGTGCGATAGCCAACAGTAATGAAATTCTTGAGGTGATACCTCTTGGTAAGTAGCTTGAATAGATGTGATAGCCAACAGTAATGAAATTCTTGAGGTGATACCTCTTGGTAAGTAGCTTGAATAGGTGTGATAGCCAACAGTAATGAAATTCTTGAGGTGATACCTCTAGGTAAGTAGCTTGAATAGATGTGATAGCCTACAGCAATGAATTCTCGAGGTGATACCTCTTGGTAAGTAGCTTGTACAAATCTGATTTCCCAGTCTACACGTAAATGGACTCGTACATCGCAGAGTTGTATACACAGTAGTGTTAATATACTTCTAATACTTTAATTCTTACAGAAAACAATCACTCTGAAAAGAAGATCCTGAACATAATTGATAGACTGAACACCACAAGTCCAAAATGTAAGACACTCACTCACGCTGCTTTCCAAGATATCAGGAAGCAATTTGCCAGCGTGGCGTCACCTATCGGTACAAAACAAGTAGTGCACCTCTACACAGATGGGCTGACTTTTATGCCAAAATATAAACAAGAGTCATTAGATGAGGCAAAGAAGTTAAAACAAGAAGGTGTAAAAATGAATGTTATTGCTGTACCAAATATGTAAGTAATCACTGATATGTTTGAAGCAAATTCTATATTTGATAAAGGGAATCGCGTTGCAAAAAGATCTGCAATAGATACAATGCATTGACGTTAATAAATAATGCTCTTTCTCAATCGCAAGTGAACAATCATTCAACAATGATCTCCAGTTCTATCATTCCTACTTAACGCGACGTTATTTTTCTATCTAATATATCAACTTAACCAACATAAGAATTAGAAACCATCGAAAATAAATACTTTGATTTGATAATTCATTAGTTTTTCTTAAAATTTTATTGTGCGCTTGTTTCACGGCTAAGCTTTTTCTATACTGTACTCCTTTATCGATGTTTTTTAGACACGGGAAGAATGGCACAACAGAGTTCGAACAAATTCCATCCAGCCAAAAACATCTATTTAATATAACATTTAGCGATGTGACCCAGAAATTGTATACTCGCCTCCTCAAAGATGCAGCTTGTTCCTAGGTACATGCATTTAATCACAACAACGTAATGACATAGTTCACATATACTTATGCATATATTCACACAAAGTTATGCAAGGTGTGTACAATTCCAGCCAATGAGAACACACTATTTCACGTAACTGCATTCCGTTATATAACCAATAACGCAATTGTTGTATGGTTGTCTAGGTGAAAACTTGGGATTACAGATTAAAATTGATGCTTTGCCAACTTTACCCTTGCAAAAAATTCATTGAAGATGTTCTTTAAGTGATTTTGTATGTTTTAGGTGATTTTGTACAAAATATTTTCCAATGTGTGTCCAAGACTCAATGCATTGTGACTGTTTCATTCCACTCGATCAGGAATTGTTTCCTACACTCTGCATTCTCGTTGCACAGTTGAAAAGTTGAAAATTTCAATGGAATGATTTAGCATGCAATGCACTGAGTCCAATCACAACATTGTATAGTCATGCTATATCGGGTAACTAAGGATATAGGATGTTCTTTACTCATCAACTTTCAGAAATGGACTGGTTACAATTCTTATATAAACCAACTTATTTCAGGTGGGTGTGGATGCCTTTGCATATGCCAGCAGCCAATCCAGCCTCAATGTTCCGATATGACACTTAGTCTCAAGACTAGCTGAAACATGGTCTATAATTTGAATGGATGTAATAATAAAATATGTTTATAAAACAATCAACTCTATCTCAGTCAGAATTTCTGGATCCAAAAATGGAACTAGATCAAGGTCATGCCAAGAGTGTTAGTCACTTAATTTATTGTAAAAGTATTGGTATATCCCTTCCAACCCTATTGAAGGTTGCTAAAAACCTATTAACTATACTTGGTAAATGTGTAAGTGGTGAAAAAGTGATAATTTGAAAATACAGTATTCATCTCCATTATGCTGCCATCTTTCAACACTTCTGCGAGAAGTCACGTCATCAACTACTAGACTTTGCTAAGCACAAGGAGAGCAGAAAAATGATAGAAATGTCTTGCTTAATATCTAAGCTTGGTATTTAAAATGAAAACATTTGGAGTTGAAATCTTAGACAATTTTAAAGTTTCTTTTGCTTTTGGAATACTGCTACATGCTGATTTAGGAGTCAATAATACAAGTTTCTGTCACATTTATTTTTCAAATATTTTTTTTTAATGTTGAATTGAACAATTCATTTTTAATGAGCAAATCTGACCTAACCAAAAACTTTTTTTATTTTGTTTGACGTGTATTAGTAGTTTCAAGACAGCAACATGTTAGTAAGGTCAGAAAAATTGTCACAGTTTTACAGTGTTTTTACTGCCCTCAATCCATGTGTGAATATTTTAAAAACAGATTTTCTTGGAAATTCTCTTTTATACTGTAGTGCTCCAATAGTCAAGTTTTGGTTTCTTGTCATACTCCAGGAATTTGGCCATTACTTCTGTACACTGTTCAAAATAACAAAATAAAAGAAACTGATTTTGAGATCAAACATTTTATTGAAAAGTTGGTTATTAAATTAAAGCAGCTACAATGCGCCAGCTTTCTACAAGTATGTATCATATCACTGGTCAGATGCGCCATCTATATTTAATTATATACAAGATGTATAGACTTCAACTATGTACACACACTTTTATTGTCATGTAATATACTCAAACAAAATGACACTGGCTGGGACAAGTATGTTTGCCCCAGACATGATTACTCCAATCCAATCCAATCCTGGTCTGTACTTCCAAGTGATGCTACAGAAATGTGACATTCACATGTTATTAACATAAACATAACATTGATAGTCTTTGTCAACCCTTTTGCTTCCATTCTCCATTCTCTCTCATTATATAATGTGAGGGGAGAGGCAGAGTTAGGCAAGACTATTACATCAATAGGTTAATGACATATGTAGCTAAATTCATTCATAATGGAAATAAATATTGCATTTATTGCAACACTTCAACCAGAATAAGATTACATCTCAACAAATCTCTCAAAGAAATATCAACTCAATTCAACTGTTCTTGTTTGCACCGCAAGCACAATTATATTCTTTATTTAACAAGTTTACATTAAGGTAGATCAAATCAGCTGACTGCAATTATTACTTACATCTTTTACAAGTAAGCTTGTAAACATCCATCGTATGCAAACAAACATTTCCTAATATGCCCCTTCTGATTGGCAAAATAACCAGTATTGTACTTGTACATCTCCATTAAATTTGATTAAAATCTTGCCAGGGCATTTCACAATTCAGGTTTTCACGAAGGCAATGTTGCAAAATAAACATACTCCATTTCCAGGATAAAACTGTTGCATAGAAACTGCCTTATAAAACTACATACATTGTATTTACATGTGAGATTTCAGTGGTTCAACTTACCAGTAGCTAGCTTTACCTCCTCTCTTGACAAACAAATACTTGTACAGTACTATCAAATAGTTTTCTAAACTAGAATAAAGAAAAACAGGTTACACAGTTTCAGACCCCATCACACCATTAGCTTGCTTGTAGTATCATCTGAGCTCAATGAGGGACTGTCCTTTCTTCTCAAATGCATATGGCCCCTTGATCAAGCTATGATACAGCAATTAAGTGAATGGTATGATGGGGACTGAGTGGTAGAACCGTCATTACACATAAGGTAAGAGAGAGATGACAAAATAATCAGGTATGTTATCACACTTGGGTTTCAATGAACAACTTATTATAATGCCACTGCAACTCAATTGTCCAACCATATATTTCTTAGAACAGCTTCTACATTGACATAATGTTCACTACATAAAGTTAGTAAAGAGAAAATCAATATGTTAAAACACTACATATTTCACTAAGAAAATGATAAAATATATAAATGGACAGCACAGAAAAATTCTGCCTTGTTTGCATGAGAAAAATGTTTGGAAGTGGCACCACTACTGTTTGGCTTCATTGTTAAAGCCATACATATTGATATTTTCTAGGCCTACTGTTATTTTACAAGGCCTACTCATGACACATGATATTGTTATTTCACAAGGCCTGTTGCAGAGTTGCAAGACATCACTGGGCCTGCTGTTAATTTACAAGCGTTTCACTAGGTGTTACTTAGGCATATTATTTGAGGCCTATTGATATTTCAGATGGCCTGCTGTTTTATTGTTTCTTCACAAGGCACACTGGATGTGTTTGTTATCTTACTAGTCAAATTATGAGTCACAAGACCCACTGCTACATATCTAAGCCTAACAGATCAGTTGCGGTAGAGATCTCATTTAACAAGATTTCAAAGTTATTCAGCAAAAGGTCTATTGCTTTATATTTGTTCAGTGGGCCTTTGAGTTATTTCATTAGGCCTATGAAGTTTATTCATGAGACCTACTTTTATTTCATGAGGCCTACTAGCTATTTCATCATTAGGCCTCCTATAGTGTTATTTCATTAGGCCTACTGCTGTTTCACTGCATATAACTGGTTAAATGAGCAATCTCGTTCTGTTCTCTTACATATAATACTCACATCTGTTTCACATGATCATTAAGATTTACTGGGAGACTATATGAAGGATTATCTAAGCTAAACATTGAAACAGAGTGCTTCTTTAGCTTAAATTATCCAACTAAGTTTAACTGATTTTCAGAAGTTTAACGAGTCTTTTAAAAATAATCCAAAATGTGAACATGAATAAAGATATGTTATCGCATTGAGAATAATGTTAAAAATCCATCTCCATACACTTAAGTCTCCTATAGTCTTATGTGTGGTCAGGAAACTAGGAGAACTTACAAACGAACATGGACAGTGTTGTTATGTATTAAAAGCATTTACAAATTGGACATCAAATGGTTTTATATAAAACAAAAATTGTTTCAAAGGGAGCAACATTAACATGTTTACCAGAGCTACATTCTAGACCTTGACATGTCTCCCAATTTTACACCAATCATTAGACATTAGCATCTTGTGATAAACCTTTTAGTCTCTCATTGGAAGTTTCATTCCCCACTGTCTTATCACCCCTTATTCTACATCTTACAGGGGTCTTATGAGAATGGACTAGTCCATTATGCGACCACTATGGGGGTGCTTTGTTGATCACTCTCCATTCACCATAGGTGTGGATTTACTATCAACTTTAGCTTTCAGATTCTTAGGTTCTGATTCACTTTGTTGTCCATTTAGTTTTGCTGTTGCATTATTTGGTTTAGGATTTGTTGAGTTAGGTTTGGGGTCGCGTTTACGTGGCGGACGTTGATCTTTTGGCGGAGATTTATCCTTACTATTAATGTTTTTAGAGTTTTTATTATTATCAGCAGGAGCTACACCATTCATATTAACACTATATGTTGTCGCAGATTTAGTAGAGTCTCCCCCGCTAGAGGGAGCTGGCTGTTTGCCGCGAGATGGAGACTGATCAGATCGTCTGTTTTGACTGTTAGATCTGCGAGTACCAGCACCTGAAGTCCTGGCTGACTGCACATTCTGGTTTGAGGGATTTCTATTGGCTGATCGGGGCTCATCACGTGATTCATATGGACGGTTGAAATCATCATTTGAGTTGTAGCCACCTCCTCCACGACCTCGTCGTTGGCGCCCTCTATATCCTCCACCATACTCGTCTGCAGATTGGTATCCCCCAGAACCACGCCCTCCTCGGCCACGTCCCCTGCCCCGTCCCCTGGAGCCACCCCGAGGTGCGTATCCACCACCCCCTACTCCAGTGTCTGTATCAACACCCTCTCCTTGACTGGCATAGTTTGACACACTATTATCAGTCTCAGTGCCTGTCTCAACTCCATTTCTGGCTTTGTTCATACGATTACGACGACGTCTTCGTCTCCTATTAGGTCCATCAACTGATGACACACTCTCTGGAAAATGGATGAACCATGTACACTTCAGCACTTTAAAATCTCAACAATAAGCAGTACAATACCATATTTGTGAGATGAGTATATACTATTCGATCCAATGTCTTTAAGGTAGACTGAGTAGAATGAATTATCAGACTCGGTTATTGATCCAGATATTTTCCCCATTTCAATAAAGATTTTTAAACTGTAACCATGGTGCAAGCCCATTCCAAAACACTTACCTTGATCTTGGCTGGTGACGCTAGACACATCATTGTTGTCAAGAACAGTTGTTTCCTCATCACCATAGCGACGCCTTCTATTGTTGTCATAGTCAGAATCACCAGGGTTCACTGGAAAACAAGTGTCACATCCACATTAGAAAATTGAAAATGTAAAAACAATGTGTAATTTGGAGATGAAGAAAATTAAAGGCCCATAACATCCTCCACTCTAGACTCAATGGCCAAAATCTTGCAAACCATATCCTTAGATCACATTGAAGTCATTCAATAAGACTTGTTTTTAGATAATGAACTAAAAATAGAATTATATGCTGAATTATTAAAATTTTTGTTGGTCCAATATTGGAGTTATGGGGTTTCCACTAACTGTCAAAAGTAGAGGTATGATAAACACTGGCATATTCTGTCATTCAAACCCCTACTCCAACTTAAGAGTCAAAGAAATGTTAATTGTAGTCTTACAGGAAGAAATCTATGAATTGATATGAATAAAAAGGGTCTGTCGATGGAAATACTCAAAAAGCTATTCTTTGGTACATAAACAAACTACATGCTATTGAAATAACCTGATGCAAAACTTATTTTCTAATTAGTAACTAACTCACTCGATCTAAGTTTTGGAACATGCATTGGTTGTAGGAACCTGTGTGTCTTCATGCCTCATGTGGTAACCCCATATTTGGTATTCCTTTAATCCCTTATATAGCAATCCCTTATTTGGTAATCCTTTAACCCATTATAGGGCATTCCTTAAATGGTAATCCCTTATATATACTCTTCAATCTTTATATCTGACCACCAGGGCATTGATATATTGTGGCTTTTGTACTATGTGCCCATCTCAGCTGACATGCATCATTCTCTGTGGACTAACCACTGTGTAAATGTATTAGTGCATGCTATTCAAGGGAGAATAGTCTATTGTGTGACTACCCAATGAAACAAAATGGCTTGTTTATTTCTAACCAACATATAACACAAACTCGCAAGCCTTAACTTCTAGAAACCCAAAATAAGCAGTCACTCAAGTCCAAACTGTCAACCAAGCACAAATTGGACCAATCAGAACTCACCATTGGTCATTGACCCACCACGTCCCCTCCCCCAGCCCCTCCTTGTTCGCCCCCTACTGGAGCCCCCAATGAGGCTATCAGTTAAGTAACCACTCTGACTTCGTGAACGACGATTCTCTTCACGCATAACCTCTTCGTTCCAATCCAGGATTGGTCGATTTAACGGAGGTTGAAGGTCATTTTCATCTGGTCAATGAAAAAGTTTGCCATATAGTGAGTACTTTTTGTCAATGTTTAATGAATAATCCCAGTTTTCTCTTAGACCTCAGACACAATCAAACTCTGTCATGTAATGAACTGGGATAGGCAAATCTGTTTTATTTGTGACCAAGGTAATAAACTCAATAAAAACCATAATAATTACAATGCAGACTTTTGTAGATTATACATTTGTACAAGTTTCACATTTCTATACATAGTGCTGCTTCTTTTACATAAATAATAAAAATGCTAAAATGTTTGCAACTTCTCACCTCCTGAGTTGAAGTCTCCTCCTCTACGGCCTCCTCTGCCCCAGCCACCTCGTCCACGTCCCCGCCCACGTCCTCCTCGGCCCCGCCCCCTGTCTTCCATATATGGTTCATAAGGCTGCTGTCTGCGCTCTCTAGGGGGAGGGAAATATGGGCCAGGCTGTTGCTGTACATTCAAACTACGCAACTGCTGATCTAACTCAAGCTTTTCTTGACGTAGTTTCTCAACATCCTGCAATAATATTCTTTCATATTAAAAAATACTTCTGAAAATATAACGCAATATGCAAGTCAAAGTCAGCTGAACAAGTATACCACAGTTACTGGGCAAAAAGCTGATTGTTGGTCACAAAAATACAACTTACTACTTGCTCAAATGTCCATCACCAGAAGCTTAAAGTTTCTCAAAACATTTTGCTACCCAAGTCATGAGTTTTGTTTTAACTACTTCTTTCAAGACTACAATTTTATAGGAATGTGATAACTAGGCTGTTAACCATATATAGTTAAGCTATAGTTAAACTTGTATCTCAGACATGGGCTTTGCCAGAAGCAGCTTGATCTTAGGTGTCTGTACTTTTAATTTGCTGATAGCTTGCTTACTAGCATTGCTGATATCATGTATTTAACATACCTTTAGATGTGTCAAGTGATATTCTAGCAATAACTAACATTGCTGATATCATGTATTCAACATACCTTTAGATGTGTCAAGTGATATTCTAGCAATAACTAACATTGCTGATATCATGTATTCAACATACCTTTAGATGTGTCAAGTGATATTCTAGCAATAACTAACATTGCTGATATCATGTATTTAACATACCTTTAGATGTGTCAAGTGATATTCTAGCAATAACTAACATTGCTGATATCATGTATTCAACATACCTTTAGATGTGTCAAGTGATATTCTAGCAATAACTAACATTGCTGATATCATGTATTCAACATACCTTTAGATGTGTCAAGTGATATTCTAGCAATAACTAACATTGCTGATATCATGTATTTAACATACCTTTAGATGTGTCAAGTGGTATTCTAGCAATAACTAACATTGCTGATATCATGTATTTAACATACCTTTAGATGTGTCAAGTGATATTCTAGCAATAACTAACATTGCTGATATCATGTATTCAACATACCTTTAGATGTGTCAAGTGATATTCTAGCAATAACTAACATTGCTGATATCATGTATTCAACATACCTTTAGATGTGTCAAGTGATATTCTAGCAATAACTAACATTGCTGATATCATGTATTTAACATACCTTTAGATGTGTCAAGTGATATTCTAGCAATAACTAACATTGCTGATATCATGTATTCAACATACCTTTAGATGTGTCAAGTGATATTCTAGCAATAACTAACATTGCTGATATCATGTATTTAACATACCTTTAGATGTGTCAAGTGATATTCTAGCAATAACTAACATTGCTGATATCATGTATTCAACATACCTTTAGATGTGTCAAGTGATATTCTAGCAATAACTAACATTGCTGATATCATGTATTCAACATACCTTTAGATGTGTCAAGTGATATTCTAGCAATAACTAACATTGCTGATATCATGTATTTAACATACCTTTAGATGTGTCAAGTGATATTCTAGCAATAACTTGGCATTGCTGATATCATGTGTTTAACATACCTTTAGATGTGTCAAGTGATATTCTAGCAATAACTAACATTGCTGATATCATGTATTTAACATACCTTTAGATGTGTCAAGTGATATTCTAGCAATAACTAACATTGCTGATATCATGTATTTAACATACCTTTAGATGTGTCAAGTGATATTCTAGCAATAACTTGGCATTGCTGATATCATGTATTTAACATACCTTTAGATGTGTCAAGTGATATTCTAGCAATAACTAACATTGCTGATATCATGTATTTAACATACCTTTAGATGTGTCAAGTGATATTCTAGCAATAACTAGCATTGCTGATATCATGTATTCAACATACCTTTAGATGTGTCAAGTGATATTCTAGCAATAACTTGGCATTGCTGATATTCTCAATCGTGCCAACAAACAGGAATGGAACAAGGCCCTGCAAGGAGGCAACACTCTTAAATAAAAACATGTAAAACATTGCTTTTTGCTTTAAAACATACATGTAAAATTAAAGATGACAGACAATAAAAATAGTGAAGAAAGGGGATATGTCATGAGCTTTCATTTCTAATGGACATCACAGCAAGAATGAACATAAACATATTTTTTCAGAATTAGAGAATTTGTATTAGTTTTTTTTAACTTATTTGTATATTAATTGAAATAACCAAATGTTGTGTTTGCTTACATCTTCCCGTTGACTGGCATTTTCCGTGTCGTTGTCTCCCTCTATCTTTACACGGACAACACCAGATTTGTCAACCATTTCTTGGATGTTACGACCATTCTTGCCAATTACTTTAGCTGCAAAGATGCGAAAATGAACCATAAAGATTTTCATTTTATATACAAATATGCTAGTACAGTATAACCTGTGTACAGCTAACACTTTGAACCAGTCAGGTTACTAAGTCAGGTTTGTTTTTATCATTTGCTTCTATTGCTCCCATGATCAACCAATTATGCATATTTTGTCATCTTAAATAATATAAAATCTTGTACACAGTAATATTGCTCATTTCTAAAAAAATGCAAGAATTAACAATGTTTTCTTTTAAGGAAGTTCCTTTCTCTTATATCTTACGTATTAGTTCTCTTGGCACATTGTAGCTCTCCTCTCCAAATTCCAGCATGTTCCTGGCCTCTTTCACGACCTCCTCATTCTGGAATACAATACACTCTAATTCAGCCTACATGTCATATACCAGGAGTGAAACATAGGAACTGTTATTCATTTCCAATAATACACCTGCCCATATATTTACTATTTAGCTCACTAATTTTCTACCATTGTGAGAAAGGACTTAACACAATACAGAGAACATGCAAAAGTTGCAATACACTCTTTGGAAAGAGACCAACAAAAACATTATTCACTACTCCAAGACCCACCACTGATGAGCATGTTAATAAAGAACATCGTAGACTTTTATCTCCATTCTCGGAAACTAACCTCGCCATGTACTGTAAACGTGCAGGTGTTCTCATCAAGCTCTATTGCAGTGATGCCATCTATCTTCCTTGCCTGTGAGATATTCACACCATGTGACCCTATAGCCAAACCCATCAGGTCTTCACGCACTGCAAACTCCTCAAAGTAACCAGATCTTTGCATCTTTGTGGACTGAAACATTGAAATCTGTTAATATAATAATATAAACTTTCTCATCCTTCCAGACTGATAATGAGTGAAAGATCGAAAAGGTTAACATTTTCCCTGTAATATGGGAATATCTTTCAAATTGGCACTGTTTCTGATATGATCCTAGTATATTATAAAATACTGATAATATTGATTTTTGGAAAACTATGCAACAAAATGCACTTTTCAGGTATGATAACATGATAGTACAGGCAATGAAATGTAAAATGCAATGGCCAAATTGTTTAATCAAATAAAAGAGTCAATTCACATTGCCAGGGAATTAGCTATGACATCAGATTAACTTTATAGTAAAGATAATACAAGGCATTAACAATGACAAAATGTCACCACCAGTTATTGGATATTGTAAGAATTTGTTACAGACACTGGCCACTGACCATAAAAAAGTTGAAGACTATAACACTTCTGGTGGTGAAATAATAATGTTATATGGTACATGGGAAAACTGACTGCCATGATGTTTTTTAATCAAAGACAAAATAATGAAGTCAGAGAAAGGTCAAGGTGAAAGGGTTAAGGTGAAATGACATGATATATACTCATGGATCAGAGTAACAAACCAAACTTTGGGTCCTTTGAAAAAATATGAACTCACATCAAGTTTTCTCGAATCTTCCAATCTTTTACAAGCCTCATCCATTCTTTGTTTTAAGACGTGCTTTTGGCGCAAATTACGTATATGCATGTCTCCTAGCATGGATGCCTTGCGCGTTGTCGACTCCTTTGTTGCCTGCAATATCACATAAATGGTACAAATACAGAAGTAAGCAATGACATAATTCTTTGAAATATTAACCCAAATCAGCAAAAAATAGATAAGGCATTGGGAAAGAGTTGAATATTAACGAAACAATCTAGGGAGGATGTGACTAAACTTTTCTCATAATAACATATCCATTGATGAAGGCTAGGCCTAGTCTACTATTAATAATATTTGCAGGTGTTGGAATATAGTCTGGGTTCTCAGTACTTACATAAACAATTATGGCATGGTTTTCTTTAGAGTATATTATGAGAGATGGACCAACTGTCTTTTTGAAATCTTTGTGGATTTGTTCATCTTCACACCTGAAATAAAATACATTTCCATCAAAATAACTCAATCATTAAACAAAGATAATAATTCATGACTTATACCATCTACCCAGACAATTTGGTCATGATCTAGTTTGATTTAGTTTTACTTATACACACATTGTTATAAATATTAATATTAAACCATGGGTCTGTGATTGAATGAATTAAACTGCCCTTCTGGATGTAATGAAATTCATGGACCTCAGAAAAAGATAAGTTTCATAAGATGCTACAAAATAATCATGCTTACATATCTTGAAGATCTTCTGGTATGTCAATCACACATTTGTAAAAGCTGCCATTGGTTAGATGATTACTGGAACAACATAAACATGGTAATAATGTCATTATAACATAGTTGAAGTGCATTCCCCATTGAAATCAATGTTAAAAGCAGAATCAGGGATTTAGGGAACATCCAATGTACCATATCAGTTACATCATCTACCAAAGGATCCATAGTATCTTAATTTCTAAATTGCTCAAGTCAAACTCCAGTTAAAGAAAGTAATAACAATTGTATATAAAAGAGCTTTTAATTGGTAAGTGCAATCAAAATCATCACTTTCCACTGAATGGATATAACGACTGGCTTAGAATGGACCAATTGATTTAAAATATGTATTAGCACTGTAAGCTTACCTTTTGTTCATTGGTCGTACCCTATCTACAGGACAGATGTCATTGTATGTGGTCTCCCAGCCCAAGTATTCCACAACTACAAACTCTCCTTTCATCATCTTAACCCTGGCCTTCCACCAGCCATATGGCTCCTGGGGACTTGACTGAGTATACACCTACAATGAACATAGGTTCTTTATCAAGGTTCATTCATTTATTGTCATCTCAAATGCATTGGTGAAACCAACTGACACACTCAATCGTCATAGCAACATGAGCCAAGATACAGATAATCAAGATTTCTTAAAATCAACAAAAATAACTACAAGGGACATGTCACTATTTTACAGTAATAACAAGGATTCAAAAATAATTGACAATAATTAGGCCATTATAATTAAAGGTGATTATATCAGATAAGAATATAAAACTGACCTCCACTTCATCTGCCTCTCTATAGTCAGACCTGCCAGGCACTCTTGGTGGAAGTCTGGCCTCACTGAATGGAATTCTTTTCTCTGACTGCCAGCTGCAAGTACATAAAATACACATATTTTAGTACATGGAATTCGTTAAAAATGCTCCTTACAATTTGGATGGAACAAATTGCAAATTTTATACAAATGATCAAATGCATTTGTATATTAATTATTAAACCATGGGAATCATGGCACCTTGATAGATTTGGAAATACTTTACTAAATCATCCATGATCCCTAAGTTAGCATCAACCCCCTTAGCCTCAAATACAGAAGCATGTAGATATTATGTACACTGACCTGAAGTACATAATACTGTTTCAAACACTTAACATTTAATGAATGTATTAAATAAAGTCATGAATTCATTCATATGATACTTTTAACCAACTCTAATTCATTCTCATCCATATTCTAACTAGGCCTAAAGGAACCAAGGATTCTTTCATTGGAACAGGTTTCAAATTTGATCATATTTCTGTGATTTGAACTGAACTTTGGACATGTTGGAATGAGCCTAATCTGTTTTCCATATTTGCTTTCAAACCTCAAGCCCCCTCCCATATTTATATATACTTATAAAAGTGACTATTTCACTCAATTAAAATAGGAGGAGAATGTTAAACTATCTGGGTTAACTCCCTTCATATACACATTTCAGTCTTCACTCACTTCAGGTTTACTTCACATTTAGTTATATGTTATTACACTACAAAAATCTGGCTTAAATTGTTAGGTTGTTTGATGCAGCATTTGCTAAATGAGTTCTATGATGTAGGTTTTCAACATCAATACTTGTTGACAGTATTTCAGAAGAAAAGGATTAAGCAGAGTGGGCATAGTGGATAGTGGGACAGGGAAAATAAGTTGAAAGGGGATCTCGTCTTTTCAATTCTAATAAAATTTGGACATTGACTTCTGCTGATTAAAACTTAAATAACTTCAAAGATTTGGTTTAGATATCTCAATTTTTTCTGAAAACAAGATTGTATTTAGGAAACATTAGCATGCTTTTAAAAAAGATAACTTTCAATAATACAAATGTATATATAAATGTACTCCAAATATAATAATTTGCTGCCACTTTTTTTAAAGGTGTATGTGAACAAAGACATAATTTCATCAGTTAATGTAACTGCATACATTGAACTTTGAACACATTTCCTTTACTTACTTTGCCATGAATACTATTATGGTGAACATTGTTTAGAAAGATCTTTTCACAGTTTATGTATAATCCCCATTGACTTCAATAGATTAAGAAGACACCACACCCAACCTGCTAAACATTTCAAAGAATTCTGATAACAAAACAATTTGTTATGAAAATATAATACAGCATACACATAAATAAATGCTCTTTCAGATCAATAAAGAAAGAAATACAATCTCCACAAGAATTGTTTGCCTTTCAAGGCTCACACTTAATTTCAAATCAAAAAATTTGTTTCTTAAAAATATTTTATCTGAATGGAAAAGCATAATAAATATGTGAATTGTGTTTTTCTTATAAATATCCCACTGCCACCAAGAAATTGAGAAAATACAAAATATGTGATCAGATTTAAACATGTTCACATCATCACCTTCAGTTCTATAACAATACATTCACTTACCAAAATTATATATTACATGAACTATTCAGGTGACTAGATATAGTGGTAAATATACATGTACATGGTAAATATGGTAAAATCTACATATTTATTAAGAAACCCCCTTTTCTTATGCAAAGCTTAAAGAAAAGTTATAGAATCTTCACTGATTTATACACATGTAGTTAGTTACCTGTTTTTCTTTAGCTTTTGTGTTTTAGTGCTTACAGGACATCTGTTGCCAGGATGTATACACAGTTACACACATCTTGAGTAATTTAAATTGCAGAAGTTGCATTTCTTAGTATGAAAAGATCTGAATTGCCTTTTCTCCACTGACAATTTGTTATAAAATCAATGTCTGCAATTGATTAAATTCAAATGTTGTAAAATCCTCACAGAAAACAACTACCTCAGCATGAACATAAAATGTAAATCTAACTGTCCTCTAGTAGAATTTGAACACTAGAAATTCCAAACAGAACACCTATATATAAGTCAATTTATAATATCAAGAATACAAGAACACCTCACATGATACAATAGTGGAACAGTGGTATCACTTCCAGGGTGTTTCACTAAATAATACAAGAGCACCTCACATGATGTAGAACCACTGACTTGAGATTAATGAACTTCTGGAGTAGAATAGTGGTCTCACTTCTAAGGTGTTCCACTAAATAATACAAGAACACCTCACATGATGTAGAACCACTGACTTGAGGTTAATGAACTTCTGGAGTAGAATAGTGGTCTCACTTCTAAGGTGTTCCACTAAATAATACAAGAACACCTCACATGATGTAGAACCACTGACTTGAGGTTAATGGACTTCTGGAGTAGAATAGTGGTCTCACTTCTAAGGTGTTCCACTAAATAATACAAGAACACCTCACATGATGTAGAACCACTGACTTGAGGTTAATGAACTTCTGTAGATAGATGGAATAGTGGTATCACTTCTAGGGTGTTCCACTTAATACTAGTTTTACTGCATACATCTACTGTAGAATGTAAACAAACCCTGAATCTTTAATATTTGAACATTTGCTCCTTGAAAACATGGAGGGAACCATTTGAAAACATGAAGATTCATTGATACAGGTATAGCAAACCATAGTGAGATAAGAACATTGTTGATCAAACTGAAGAATTTTTTTATATGTATGTTTTTCTCTTAGAAAGATAGAGGAGTAACATGAAATCATTGCCAGGGAATTTGATCAAATGTTTTTAAAGTCAGACTGTTTTTATTCTTTGATTCACTAGATGGGAATCTTTTGATAGAACCCAGTATTTCAGTTTCTAACCAGAACAACGGCAACGCCAAAGCGTAGCGAATCCCATCGAACAGAAATGGCTGGCATTTTTACAAACGAATAGCAAATATCATAAAACAACACACCAGAAAGGCCACCATTTTCAAAATGGTTGCTCACTAGCCAAGTTGTCATCAGAAGAAATAATATGCTTTTAAGTAGCCACCTCTAAAATTTTTGAGAAATCATACACGTACTTGTAAAATAACACACATAATGAAGGACCCACGGTCCTATGCTCACACAGTTTGGAACCTTCAGAGGAATTTATATCCTGACTTTCAAACAAAAATATTGATTTGGATTTGTAGTCTCGAACTTTGAGAAACTTAGATAGCATAGTTATGTGACCTAGTTTGATGACCTTTGACCTTGAAAATTTTACTTATTCAGAGCTCAGTAAGGTCTTTTGTGATTAAGCTGACCAAAATTTACATCCAAAAATCAATTTGAAAAACAACTTTTTTTTACCTTTCGAAGGTCACTGAAGGTCAAGTAAAAGTCAAATCCTAAAACTAATGTCAGATTTGAACTCCTGGCAACTTGTAGATGATTTTCAAAAAAAAAATTGGTCAAATTGAAGCAAGTTGAAAAATAACTTATTTTTACTGTTTTTTGACGTCAAATATTTCAAAAACGGTAAAAATTTGATGCTGACATATATTGAGAAATATGTAGGGAATGCTTAAATCTATTAATGATGTAATTTATTGCAGGAAATGATCAAATATAAGGCAAACTTTAAGAATCTTGTCAATCACAAAACCTGCCATTGACTTTATACATGAGAAAGTTTCCTTTAGTCCTACTTTTTTTCAAATTTTATAGAGTAAACACCAAAAACCGTAATTCCAAGAGCTTTGAAATCTTCAGAGGACATAAGTTGCATATACACCAACTATTAAAAGTTATTTGAAAGTTCTACTTCAACAAAGTGTCTAGTATTTACAGAAAAGTTGACTTTTTGACGTCAAAATCCGCAATTTCTCGGAAACCGGGCGAACTTGGGAAATGGCGATGATAGGTCAAATAGGCATTATGGATATGCATAAAATGAATGTGGATATGACTCAATCCGAATAGCAGTTTTAATTTGTGCGGCCAATGTTGACGGACGGACGGACGGACGGACAGACGGACGGACGGACGGACCAACAGACGGACGGACCAACGGACGGACGGACGGACGCCTGGTCAATCCCATAGGCTCACTGTGTGAGCCAAAAATGGTGGCCATTTTTCGAAATGGCCGACTACTCCCCAAAGTTTAATAAGACAATGTGCCATGCTTAAAGCATTCATATATCAAATATCACATATCATATGAACAAAATCGCTCCACTACTTTTCGAGTTATAGTAAAATACGTTAAAATGGCGGCCATTTTTCAAAATGGCCACCTTCTACCAAAAGTGTCATTAGAAATAGACAGTGTGCCATGCTTATTGTATTCACATACCAAATATGAACAAAATCGCTCTACTACTTTTCGAGTTATAGTAAAATACGTTAGAATGGCGGCCATTTTTCAAAATTTTTTCAAAATGGCTGCCTTCTACCAAAAGTGTCATAGGACAGTGTGCCATGCTTATAGTATTCACATACCAAATATGAACAAAATCGCTCTACTACTTTTCTAGTTATAGTAAAATATGTTAAAATGGCGGCCATTTTTCAATTTTTTTTCAAAATGGCCGCCTTCTACCAAAAGTGTCATAGGACAGTGTGCCATGCTTATAGTATTCACATACCAAATATGAACAAAATCGGTCCACTACTTTTCTAGTTATAGTAAAATATGTTAAAATGGCGGCCATTTTTCAATTTTTTTTCAAAATGGCCACCTTCAACCGAAAGTGTCTTTAGACAGTGTGCAATGCTTATAATATTCACATACCAAATATGAACAAAATCGCTCCACTATTTTTTGAGTTACAGCAAAAATCGTAAAATGACGAGTAAAGGCCACCATTTTTCAAGATGGCTGCCATGTGCTTCTTTAATATCTACATTTGTAGCATTATTAATGTCCTTTATAATTTTTTTACATTTAAAACATATTGCTATTACAGTTTTACATATTGCACCTAAATTACTGTAAAATCGGCAATAAAATGTCCGCCATTTTGAAATGAG